AATGTTTGACCTGGACTGAATCAGTTTTCCAGAACTTCTGAGTACAGATGAGATCAAATAGCTTTGAGACTACTGTATTTCATGTATTTTTTATTTTAGGTAAAATAATTTTTATTGTGTTTTGAACCTTGTTCTGATGCTGAACTTAAATTTTATGAAAATCACACTGAAGCATGAATTTAATTTTTAAACTGGCTCAGATTTCAACACATGTTTATTCCAAAGATTTGCTTTTTCAGGATGTGATTAAGACCCCACACATTAATTGCAGTACAGTATGTGATCCAGCTTTTTGCTTAAACAGTGTTAAGTTTTATGCTCCAGTTGGGTTCAGTTTACTAGAACCAAATTTGCAGCAGGATTTTCAGTTTGTCCCTTGTTGCCTGAAGGAATCTCCCTCTAGAGGTGTTTAACATTTCTGGAAAGAGATATGATGGGTTTGCTTATTCTTCGAGGTGTGAAAAAATATGTACCCCATTTGTCCACTTGTGTTTGCTTCTCCTCCTCTTTAAAAAAAAAAAAAAGTCATGCTGTACCAAAAAATGAGGCTGCTTGCTTTGTTTGTTTGTTTTCTGAACCAAAAAAAAAAAAAAAGTCAAAATGTAAATTTGCCCTTTATTGATTATAAATAACATGAACTGGTATTCTCCCACCATTTTTTTCTACAGATTCTCTTTGGGTTTGCATGCAATCCCTTAGCTCAATGATAGCTTGAATTATCTAAATGCTCACGCCTTTGCTACTCTTGCTTTTATTTCTTTTTGCAGTGCATTTTTTGGCCCAGGAATATGAGTCCACCTTAAAACTTCATCCTATTCTTCATCCTATTCTCTTTCAGGCTTTGCTGGCTTTCTGGTATCTTACTTACATTTGGCCAACGCTCAAGGCACCACATGCATCCCATTCCCTATTGATTCCTGGCCCCAACACTGAGGTCTATCAACACGGCCACTTATAGCAATCATTCCATCTGCTCTATATTGAGCTTAGCCTTGCTTCTCTGAGCAGGCTGAAGAAACTATCTGTATGAAAAAGCCTTTCTCATTTCTGTCTTTCACATATATATAATTACTGAAAATCACTTAATAGAAATGTTAGTTTGTTCCATGGATGTAAAACAATGAAGAATTAATCATATACTGATTTGTCTATGTTTGATGTTGTCATATCAACCCCTTTGCAGATCAAATTCAGTGTTGGTGTCAAAATTACAGCTCCTGTGCCATAGCCAGGTTCCATTTCACTCTGCTAGCTGACTGTGACCGCTTCATCCTACTTTCTGTAGGGTGGGTCTTTTAGCTAATGAGATCTTCATCTCCAGATTGCCATCCTTGACAATCCCAACAAGACAGTTTTGGAGATCTGTCCTTCTGCAGGTCCTGACCTGAGTGTTGTGATTTAATGTCTGCATCCTCTTTTCCAGCTTCATTCCCTCAGCAATGCACAGAAGCAAATCCATCACAAAAGCACGTTATGGCATATCTACATTCTCTGCAGTCCCAGTTTCCAAATGAAAACAATTCTAAAGGAAATCTGTGAGTCACAGTAAAATAAAAAAATTATAGCAAGATGGCATCAATGGAAAGCCTCTGTCATTAGAAGCATCCATCCATCCATCTGATCTTTATGCAGAAAACTGTCTTGATCTCATCACCTCTCCATGTACATATACCTCCTAAGACATGTTATGGGAGGAGATCATAGCTACCTGTTCTCATGATTGAGAAAAGGGGTGAGTAGTGAAAGGAGGCACACTGCGGGAGAGAGATGTTGAAACAACTTCTAGGGAAAGTAGCACAATTATGGAAACCCCATCCCAATAAAAACAAAAGGAGGAGCCTTTCATTTTTGTTTTCAAAGGTAAGAAACAAATGAAAAGACAGAGGAGTAAGAATTTAAATCCTAGTGGCTCTTATTCATATGGCTCCCATATCCTCAGCTTTAACCTAGTTTACACTTGTCTGTCAGTAGCACAGCTCAAATAATTTTAAAAGATAAGATGTGCTTTAACGGATGGCTCTCTGCCCAAAGACTCTGCCGTCTGATTTCATTAAAAGTCAGCTATAAATCTTTACAGGATTTCCATTTTCCTTGAGGCTCAGGCAGCCTGGTCTTTATGTGACTGACAAACTGGAGGCATGATTGATTTGGGGCAGCACCTATTACATCCAGACCAAATGAGGCTGAGCCATATTCTCTGTAAATCAGGCTCTCAACAACTTGGGTTCTCAACCCCAAATTTCTGAGCACATGTTGTGTGTAACCTTCAGCGACTCCTGTCTAGGAAAGAGCAGCATGTGCAACTCTGGCTTAGTTTTGTGCATGTCCATTGGCATGATTGCAAAGACATTTTATTTTGCTTCAGTGGATGGGTTGTGCTTTCAGTGCCTGTTTATCACAAAACTTTTTTTTGCTAAACTTAGAGAAATTAGCAATTTTTTTGAAGTTATGTCTAGAAGTGGGGCAGATCACTGACTTGTAGAAATTGAATGCCTGCTTTTTAGTCAACATGACAGATTCTCTCTTAAAGGTAAATCAGTGGTATAATATCCAGAATATTAGCACAGCATTTTATTTCAAATTCTCATCCAGCTACATTGTGTCTCTTGCAATACCTTGGTAAAAGCCCAGCTTTCAATTTCATCAGCCAACATTTGGGGGAAATTTTGTAATGGCAAATGACGCTTCACCAAGCACTGCTACTCTGCATAGTAAGTAGCTCACAGAAATTACTCTCCTGGCCTGGAGCATGCAGGTTGGCAGCAAGGATGGCTCCATAGCCACTTGAGAAGTTGTCATGAAAATGTGGTTGAATGTTCACTCTGTCCATTTTAGAATGCAGATATTTGGGACTGAAGATCATGATTATTCCCCTGGACTAGCTCTTGATGGTCAGATTTGGCCTTTTTAGGAAGTTTAATTATAGGATATATCTGCACAAGTTTTCCTCCAAGCTCTGAGTGTATGTTTGAGTCTTCATTTACTGCTGTCACAATAAAATTTCTCTCCTTATGACTCTGTCTTTTAATTTCTTTGCTCGAGGAGGTCCTAGAAGTTCATGAGTTTAGAGGTATGTGGAAGAGACTAGTGATAACTGGGAGGAAAGCTGAAGTTGTTGAAAGCAGAGTATGATCACAATTCAGCCCCTCATTTCTTGGGTCAGCCCACTGTTTGCTGTGGTTTGGAGGGAGCCCTGAGAGGTGTGATGGTTCTGTTTGGGGCTCCCATTGCCCACTTGCTGGGCACAGGCTGACCTGCCCTTTAATCAAGAGTCTTGCTGCAGTTGAACTTAGATTGTAAGATCTATTTTGCCCTTAGTGCTGGTGTTCAGATCACAATTCAAGTCATGGCTGGCTTGTTTGAGATGGAGTAATAATGAAGGCTTGAGATTCTCTTAAGAGGGAAAGTGAGGAGATGGTAACCAGGAGAGCAAAAAATGTTTGGAGAGGACAAATTTGAGCTATTAGCAATATCAATGCTGTATTTTATGCTGCCAAAGCCATTGATTGGCTCAAAATTGATGTGAGAGCACTTTTTCTAGATTTCATAATAGCTCCTTCAGAGGGGAGTAAAACTGTCTATTGTGGGGAAAAACCTTAAAATGCTTTTTCTTGAAATAATTACTGACTCATAAGGAGTCAGACCCAGCTGAAGTGTAGGATACCCTTGTTTTGTGGGACCCAGAAAAAAGCCCCAGAAGAAAGAGTTGTGTTATATTAACATGACAGGACAGGATATATAATAAATGCCAAAATCTGCAGATACAGACCCACAATTATAAGTGCTTTCTAATTACTTAACTTGAAAATCACCTAGTTACACATTTTTGTGGTTTTTTCTTTTGTATTCTTCTTTTATTTTGATTTCTGCTAGTAAAGCCAAAGGAAAATAGTAGCTAAGCATTCATTTTTGCTGATGGATTTCTTCTTTGTTTTAAAACTCAAGTTAAAAGAAAAGGAATATCAATGAAACAAAACAACAGATACAATAATTTAGATGTCAGATGTATCCCTGGAGACAGAGAGAGAGGGGTCAGCATGATCATGTAAGAATCTTTAGCTAAAACAAAGTTCAGTATCTAAGAGCATCAGTGAATTTCTTGTTGCTTAGAAATTGATCCATTTTGTATCTCAGAGGAATTGTATTAATTTGAATTTGTTGATTAGAGGGTGTATTGCATTAGCAAATGATACTATTTAGTGAAGAGCTGAGCAAGTGCCAGGAGAAAAACCCAAAAGACTTCAAAATGTATTTGTTCATCTATTTAATGAAACAAAATCTTTTGCATGGATTTTTTTTTCAGTAGAAATGCAACAGAAAATTGAATATTTTATTTAAATGAAATCTGATAATGAAGTGATTTGTTATGGTACTCTCTGTCCTGGTGAATTTGGTGGTGGTGACACTGAGTGATAAAGTGATAAATGGAGTGGTGAGGCAACTTTTCAAATCACTGGGGTGTTAGGAGGAATGAGGGTTGGGGGTTTTTAGCAGTATTATCACATGTAATTTAAAATCTTTAAAATTCTGCAGTTCCAATTTTCAAATCATAAGAATGAAGAGTAATGTGTCTTTGTAGTCCCTTGTCCCTAGTAGTAAGGCTTTAAATAGCTGTTCTTCATATAAGAAATTGCTGCTGCACATTGACATTAAGCTAACGTGTAAGGAGCAAACTGTATTAATTGCTAAGTTAATTTCTCTTGACTGCAAGTTGATAGTAATCAGATGTGGAGAAAAAAACCCTAGTGTGGTCCAGTTTAGGCAGGATGTGCTGTACAATAATTTGTTGCATACTAAAGGTACTTCAGATTCTGTGTTGTCAAGCATCGATTTTTTTTCTCCCTATCCCTTCCTTCCAATCTCATCTCTGTTAGGAGTACTAGGAAGAGCCCAGGAGCCCAAAGGAGTATAGCCCTCGTCACTGAAGGAACAACACAAGAAATGTGTATAATGCAAACAGCTGAGAGAAACATGCTTCGTATGAGCAGCAATTAAAACAGATGGGCAGCATCATTGGAACCATGGGGTGCAGCAGTTCTGTAGCTGACAGAAGGTCAGAGAATGGTGAGTGTTGCCTTTGTCTTCAGGGCAAGTAGTTGTTCTCTCTCTAACACCAGAAGAGGATTGCAAGGTAATGTTCCCCCCCCCCACCCCAAGTTCGGTTGTCAAAATACTTGTTCAGGGAAATTTATTTTCTTTTTAAAACTGTATTAGCTTTTAGATGCTGGCTGAGGTCAGGAAGCAGCTTTAGACCACCTCTAACATTGACAGATTGGGTTGTAAAAGATTCACAGCGTCTGGGACAGAAGCTAAATTTCAGAGGTGTCTGTGCTCGCTCTGTCACTGGCAAAGCTTAGGAGGTAAGGTATTGAGTGCGACCTTTTATGGCTTTTCACACCACAGGATTCCTGGGCAAACCGCCCCAATTTCCCTGCTGTTGTGTGACCCCAATTATGAAACAAGTGTAATAAAGCAGAGCTATTACAATGACTTCAAAATCAGTTTTCTGGCCTACCAAGTGCCTGGCATAATATCATCCCTGACAATTATGAGGCTATCAGTTGAAAGTCTCCACAGGACTTGGTTCAATGTTCAATTAAAGTAATAGATCATCACCCTCCTTTTAATCATACCCCACCTTGGTATGAACTCAGCAGTCTTTGCACAGGCAGGTGGATTCCAGGATTCATTCAGACTTTTGTTCAGACCCTTTGTGTTCTCTTTCAAGATTTTTCATTAAAGCATAATTTATTGGTCAGCAGAGAGCCATGTTACATGGTACTGTGCATAGTCTTAGGACATTATTATGCTGAATAGCCATGGTTGAAAAGGAAGGCTCTTTTTGGCTACCAAGCCAGGGCATGAGTCACAGGAAGTTGGTGACTAAGAAGCAGGAGCACTTAGTCACAGGGATCCCAGCTGACTGGTTTGAGAGCAGCCCTCAGCTTTGTGTATGCTACTACAAAGCAGCATCAGTGCTGTATCACAGCAGTGAAAGTAGAATGGAATCATCAGGAGTCCCAGACCTACCTGTAACTGGGAGGCAGCTCTTCCTCTTTAGGTTTGCAAGCTATGCCTACATGGGCCTTGCAAGACCTTGGGGATGTGCTACTTGGGAATATTTCTGAGTCTGTAAAAGCTTGGAGTGGGCCTGAGGAGCTGTACTATTTCTTGATCAACAATCATCCACACACATTGATGTGGGGCTTAGGATTTTGTGTGCTTGCTGGACTGTGTTTTGTCTTCTGGAGTTGCTGGATGGTTTCCTTTCTGCTCTTCAACAGTAGTCAAGTGATGCTGAACCATCATTCTACCTGCAGCCTGAGGCTGTACATTTCTGTAATGCATTAATAACGCGAATTTAACAGATACTTGTTGGTGTAGAGACCTGCAACTGATAACAATTTCTTGTAGAGATGCAGTTTAGCCTAGTGTGAAAATCATGTTCTGATTCAGTCCTGAGAATAACAGTGCTGTAATAAGTACAATAAAAAAAAAAAAGACAGGAAACATTCTGTTAGATTTGCAACATTAACCACAGTGATTGATATGTATCTGTTTTATGTGATAGAAATGGAACTGTGCCACGTTAAGTGCTCAGGACCATTAAGCAACCCAGGGGGCTTTAATGGGAAGTTTAATGACTCTGATGCTGGAAATCTCTTTCTGTGCTGGTGGTTGTGCTTTGCCCCTTAGGTACTCTTCTAAACATAAATGTTGGTGACAGCCTTGCTGTAATGTGTCAGACTTTCAGGTCTGTAGTGGTGGGGGCTTCCAGAAAGGACAGAAAATAAGAGAGATCTCAGAGTTTTTGTAAGGTCTGAAGAATGCTCTTAGTCATATAAGGATCACATTTCCTTCAGGCAGGAGGATTTTTATAGGATGGATGCAATATCTACAGGATGGGATTTTGATCTTGTCTAGACTAGAAAATTTTACCACTTTAAGTATACTGTATACACATTAACGGTAAAATAAGCAAACAACGTGTTGTTGTAGCATCTGTAAGTATTTTTATAAAAATGGTTCCTTAATGTTATACTCTATTAATAGAATCACTTTCCCATGAATATTTGTCCTTACCTGCATAACTATCAGTAAGGAAAAAATCATTCTCACTCAGGTTCCACTCATCCTAGTATAAAAATTTCTGATATTTGTGATCAGTTACAATAGTTGACTGGTGCAAACAGTTGTCTCTGTAGTACAGGACAGTGCCCATCCCAGGACCTCTTTCTGCCACCAGATGTATCTGTGCCCAATAAACTTTTATCTGAGCAGTTAAAGGAATGTGATCTCTTTGTGGCGTGAATGAGGCCTGTAGGCAGCAGGCTCTTTCCTCCAGGCTGCAGTCTTGATGGTTGTCCTTCAGTGAAGTTTCCATAAGTTTTCCGGAGTGAGATCATAGTAGACGTGACTTCTTAAAGTGCTGAGTGGAATGCATATTCAGCACATATTCAACAATGGCATGTTCCATTGACTTTTTGGGGCGAGTGTTCTTTGGTTAACCAAGCTAGCTAAAACTATACCTCACTGCCTTTCGGCTTGTCTATTTAATCACATATTCTACCCTTCAATACCATTTGTTAACTTTTTATCCTAGGATTTGAATTTTGCTGAATTTGGCTTACTGATGCAGCTCCGCAGGCAAAAACTTTCTGGTAGAAGAGGCTGTTGCAAATATTGTCATTGCATGGTTGTTCATGTTACAGCTTGCAAAACCAAAGCTTTTTACTGCAGCTATACAAAGAAATACATTGTTGATAGGCCAAACTTTTCTTCCTTTCTTCACCTACCCAAAACCCATATAGTGCCCATGAGCTGAATGTGACTGTCTTCTTACCTGGGTACTGTCTTCAAGACAATTAAATGGGGAAGGTTACTAACTACTTAGGCCTGAGCAAGTCAGCTAGCTTGGGATCTGTGTTGGAGGACAGAAACTGTAAAGGCATCATGTCTTTCTTTTAGTCTCACTTTTACTGGGTTTCATTTTATTGTTGACTGTGAAAAATGGACTGCATTTGTCATCTGATTGCAAAATTCTGCAAAGGTGGAATGCATATTTTCCGTGTAGATTACCCTGCATCCATGTGTACTCTACTGCTTTCTGCTTTGACAGTCATTAGAGCTGCAATCCTCATCCAGAAGTGGTACCGCTTCACAATGGCCCGGCTGGAGATGAGGCGCCGCTATTCTCTCAGTATCTTTCAGTCAATCGAATATGCTGATGAACAGGATCAACTACAGGTTTGTAATCTTCCATTCTTCCTATACAAGCAGCTAAGTTATCCCCAGGACTGTGGTTGCACAAACGAAATGGGTGTGTGGTGATATCTTCTACAAAGCTGGGTCATGATTAATATAACTGTTTCCCTGTCTGACACATGAATTAACTTGGGTGTATTATACACAGACATACAGATGAATGTAACTACACAGGCATCAGGACACCATTCTCCCCATACAGCATATCTGGGGTATAGGTTCCTGTATAGCAGCTTTGTTAGCCAGGGATTGCAGATCATTTACAGATCACTATGGGTGATCTTAACTCTCTGTGAGGCAATATATGTCCAACAGAGATATCAGTGTTTCAGCATGTCAGCCCAGGCTTCCTTTAGAGTCAGTATAGGAATTTAGAACTTACAGGCCTTTGTGTTCATCCTAGCATCTGTCAGTTCACTGCATTGTGGCAGTTGTTTCTATTGACTGTGAAGGAAGTCTGGGCAAATAGTCTGGGTGGTGGGCAAGATGAATTACACCCAGAAATATCAACAGCACTGAAACAGCCCTGAAACATTTAATGTATTCATGAAGTGTTAGTTGTGAATTCATAGCAAAAAAAGGAAAGAGAGCTATTTTTGTAATAGGACACAGATTTGTCGTTATTGCAGGCTGATACTATGGGAATATACACTACTGACTTATATCCCCCTAAATGGGAAATTGCAAGTAATTGAGTAAGAAAGATGTTAATGCTTGTTGGATCATATAAACTGATCAGTGTGTTTGTTCTTTTCTTTTTCATACTCAGCTATCCAACTTTTTTACATTCATGCTGGATCATTGTACTCATCCTGATTCAGGTAACAATAAAAATAAAAATAATGTGGAGATTGTGTTTGAAAAACTGGATGTGAGGAAAGTTAATTTTCAATGTGATATTTACAGCCTATAGCACGTGCTGGGGTTGAAGTTTGATCTCCCAAATACTGTAATATGAATTTTATCCTCTAAGTGTTGACACTGCTCACTCTCTACTTAGTGAGTCAGAGCAGTCAGTAAGTCAGAACAGGTACCTGTTGTCCTTATGAGAATATTCAGAGGTGCTCAGAGGGCTTTCTTATATGTTACTTCCCTTCCTACAGAATCCAATTTTCACAGCTTTCTGTGCATCTTTTCTTAAACTATGAGAAGTCAGTATTCAGAAAGATTGTGTTCAGTTGGTTTAAGGCAGGTATAATCATAGAGGTTGCTCTTTCTGCCCCACCACCCTCCAATTCTGGCAGTTCTGTAGACCATTTTCAATTTCATTTGTTTTATATTTCACTGCAACATGTATCAGTATATTAATGATAAAAAAATTAATAAATTTAAACTGCTGGAGATAAATCTTTAGAAACCATCTCATTTAAGCTTCGGTTATTCAAGGAATAGCCTTTAATTTTTGAGGTATTTTGGGATCCTTGGACATAACTTACTTTTGAGGTCAAGCTCAACAGAAGGACAGACTGAAAGTGATTCCTAAGTCCAGAAAACAAACGTGACTTCTCTGAACAAATTCAGAATAGATCTAATCCCAGTGGAGTTAAAAATGAGGCTGTCCCCTTCTTATTGCATTACAAGAGAATGCCCTTTCTCTTTCATTTGATCTAGCCACAGGTTATTCCAATTAAAATTAGCACAAGATACTTTGATAGCAGGATAAAACCACCATCAAAACCTTAAGTGGTTCAGTGTTCTAATGACAACTGGTAGAAATTGCAATTTTTCTCTCTTAAGTACTTTAGAGTGCCTAATGCTTTCTGTGTTCTGTAGAAAATAAATTACATTTTGAGCCTTGCTCCAAAGTCAAGGCAGATGACACAATAGTCCTCACTTTGATTTTTTTCCCATTACTGCCATATTCTGTGAAAAAAAATCTGCTTTAGTCATTTAACATCCTGGGAAGGAATTGGCAAACTTAAAGAAAATCAGATACTGCTCACTTCATCTACTTCTTCATGCTGATAGTGCACCTCTGTTCAGCTTTTCCACCTCAATGGGAAAAAAAACAGTAGTGCTAGGTCAGAGACTTGGCAAAATATTGTTAATCTCTATTATTATTATAATATTGAAATGGAATTTTACAGCTGCTTGTTGTAGATATGATTTATCCACCTTTATTACCTCTGTCTACTGGCAGAAGGAGTAAAGGGGAGGTGTCTCAGGTGACTGCTAGGGCCCAGGACATTGCAGAGCACACTGCTACATGCACGGGCTGTTCATGTGCAAGTGGAGATCTGAGCCTCACCTGTGCACCGAGGGAGATGGAGGGTCCTGTGGGCTGCCTCTCATCACCACTGCACAGGTGACCTGTTTCTTGGTCTTGTAGATATTGGGAATTGCAGATGTGCAATTCAGGTTAAGGCTGAAACAAATGATAAAGTGTATACAGTTTATGGTAAAGCGTCCCTTTGTCTTGCTGGCTTAAAACTTCTGTCTTTTTGGACTGACATTGTTAAGACTTGATAACTGCTCCAAAGGCTTTATTTTTGTCTTGGTTTGTTCCCCCTTTCTAACACCATGTGTTGCAGATACCAGAACCCTAAATGAAACAGAAAAATTCTGGTGTATATTTAATAAAGAGATGGCAAGGCTACCTATGCAAAGGAGCTGACTTAGATTTTTTTTTAGGAATTGCATATCAAATGTGTATTGTATGGGTTGTGGTTATTTTGTCCAACTGCTGGCTACATGCATTCTTTGCTTTAAGCTCTTGATTGCTTGCCCCTGGAAGTGACCTTTGGAGCACTCATGCTAGCCCCACTGATGGAAGCAAAATCAGTGCTGAATACAGAGATTCTTAAAGAACTGCTTCCACTTCTGCTGAATCACCATCTTAAGATGTGAACCACAGTGAATGTAAGCATAAAAACCAGAGAGACTTCAAATTGACTGCTATTCTCAAGCATTTTCTAAAACCTGCAGTTCTCTGGCTTTTTTTTCCTTTTCAGCAGTGTGTGTTCACTTAAATTAAAGTGATAGCATATGGTTCAAAAGCTGTCTCCAAGAAGACAGTATATAATATTCTTACCAAAGAATAGGTTGCCTGTTCTTGTCAGTATGTGACAGGAAAGTTACCTGAACATTTTGTGATCTGTGGTTTTCCTTACATTATAAATTACTCAGCCTCCACCATTAATCTTGCTTTCCTCTTTTTAATCTATTTTTTTTTTTCAGATTATGTTTTTCAATGAAAGAAAGCAGCTGCCATCTCATTAACACAGTAGTTCTTTTGATGTGATTGTTTATCTGTTATGCCCGAAAGCTTTTTTCATCCTCTCATTCTCCTTAAGATGTCGGTATATTTTGTGATTAGGATGTTATATAGCTGAGTGTCTTGTTCTGCTTCTTATTAAAGGCTATTTTGCAAGAGTTTGTGGAAAATAAGAATAAAACCCTTTTCTCCCTCATTTCCTGAAAAAAATCTTTCTACCTTCTCAGCTTTCAATGGAAAGTTCTCTGGTCAGAGAAAACTGGAAACTGCCTTTCTAGCAAAAGATGACCCATTTACTCACTCTTTTATGGGCACATTGAGGGTGAGAAGACTGCAGACACATCCTGAGAAAAATGGTGGGACTGGGAATCTAAACCTGCTCCTCTCAAGGTCACCAGGGCACCTCCTGGAGCCTTCCTTCAAAGGGGAACAAAAAAAAGTGTTGTTTTCTGCAGTCTCACTCCCCATGATGCCTCCCTTACAGCTTTAACACCCTTCCAAGATGTTTTGCACAGAGTGATTCTTGCAGTGGGGAATAAGTTTTAGCTGCTTGCAGTTTGTAGCAGCAGGAATGGTGTGAAGTAAGAAATGTTTGAAGCATTTTAGAAATTTCCTTCCTCTTTGTAGGCTCAGTGTCCATTTGGCTTTGACCTAAAGGCTGTGGGTCAGTATCTGGCTTATGTAAGAGCACTTCTCAGGAGTCAGAGGTACTTTCAGGTACCCCAGTGGTCAGGCTGAAGGTAGAGAGGTAGTGGCAGAACAGAGAACTGATTTCAGAGCTGCAGAAGTACCTGATTCCTGGTTACCCCGAGAGTGAGTACATTCTTGGCAGCTTTGACTTGCCTTGAAAAACTCCCATGACAAGGTGGTCTTGTCAGGAGAATCGAATCTTTGGGCTTTCTGTGGCCAAATTGACTCCACTTAGTTCTGGGTGTCTGTGTTTAATATGGAATATGGCTGTAGGGTAGTTGTTTGGGTTTTGGTAATAGTGAAGGCTCAACTCCCTGAGCCTGGGCTAGACCTCTGGTGTCAGAGTACAAAGCTAGTCATTGCCTGTGCTCCTTCTAGTCAGTGGAGAGATGCAGATGCTGGCAGAGGATGTTTTATTCTGTCTTGACACATGTGCCTGAACCCGGTATGCCAAGACTTTTCATCCCTGTCTTTCAGTATGAACTGAAAGAGCCTTGAAAGCTTCAGCTAGAACAGCAAAATGTGAGGGGTGCTGAATCCTTCAGAGTTAGTCCTGCATGGGGCATGTGGTGAGCTGGGGTACTTGCTGGACAGCATGGTGATTCCCCAGGCTGCATTAGGTCATCCATTACTGACTGTTCAGAGATGGGACAGTCATGCTGTGCAGGAAGAAGCCTTAAAATCCATCTGAAAGACAGCCTGAGGAGCTGTAAGCACACTCCAAGGGTAATGACCATGACTGGCTTTTGACAGCTCATCCAGAAGTGGAAAATGGGGTGTACTTTGCAGAGATATGCCCTACAGGGAAGAATTGAGTTTGCCAGCCTGAAAGTGTGCCAAAATGGAAGTGAGTCTGTGAGGAATGCAAGTTCATGTTCAGAGGCAGAGTGATGGATAGATGGCCTAATGTGTGCAAGAAGGGAGAAGACAGGAGCAGGAGCAGGCATGGACAGGTGTCTGCCTGGCATGAAATGCTGAGGCCACTGACCCTGAAGGAGTCATGTCAAATGAGGACAGCTGGTTAGAACAGGCAAGAAATGAGGCATTTGGGTGGTCTGAGGAGTTGGTTCTGCAGTCGCCCACTTCTAGGGAAGTAGGGTGTAGAGGGTGATACTGTCCAGAGGCCTGCTGCTAGAGCTGGAGCAAGAATTGGTGCAAATGTGCTTGGCTAATCACTATGTAAGAATCAGCAATTTCAGTCCATGGTGATGTTCTGGTGTCCAGTCAGACAAAGCTGTAACTGTGGAAGTGGAAGACTGAAAATCAAACTGCACTTGGTGAAAACGGTGAACCCTGAGCACCTTGCTGTTACTTGATGCCTTAATCCATTTAAATGGCCGAGTATAACATTGCATTAGCACTGAATGTGCTAATCAGCTCACAGCTGAGGTGCTGATAGTAAAAGGGGGCTTTTAAAAATCCAGATTACATTTTTATCTATTTATTTCTTTAATATGGACTTTATCCAGTTGCAAGACAAGTTGGTCTTTATCAATCTCATAATTTATGAGATCACATGCTGGTTTTGGCTACTTTGAGTTTTGAGTCACAGCTACAGGTCAGCTGTAAATCAGCAATAAATAATACAGCTGCAGAGCTGTAAATAATGCATTTTTATTTGCTGTTGCAGGAAATCAGGGTTACAGAAAACTTAACTGTAGCCCAGCAAAAAGTGTTTACAACCATCATCTCACAAGAGCAACTCTGCAACAGCATCTGCTGGAACACTTCCCTTTAGGACCTGGTTCTCTCTTTTAGAATAATATATGACTGAGACAATCTGCAAGAAGAAAACACTGAAATCTGCTGATCAGTCAGTTATGTTTCAAGGTTATGTCAAGAAAAAGAATGGATTGAAGCAATTAGCAGTGTTCCTGCTTTCTCCATGTTCCAGGAAAATTAGAAGCTATGGTCCACTTTCACCACTCTGTTTTTGTTTACTTTATTTCATCCAGTAGTTTTATGGCAGCCAAGCAAAAGTGGGCATTGTTTCCTAGCTGCATCAGAAAGGACTCATTTGCAATCCGCTAAAATAAATAGAATTTTGTTGGTGACTTTTAAAATAATCACCGTGACCTGCTGGTATTTAGCCTAAAAATTTTAAGTAGAAAATAAAAGCAATAGAAGTGAATCTTCAAAACCTATATTAAAAGTGTAATATTGAACTTAAAACACATGATCATTAAATAATCAGTCATGACTTTTGTATCTCCTTGCATCAAGGGAGGAGAAGGAAGTTTGTACCAGGTGATGGTTCTCATTACCTGTGAGTGAACTGCTCTACAACTTCAGTGCAAAATGTTTTGCACCCTGACCACAGCTTCTTTTCCAGAAGTTGGAAAAGAGTTTTTGCCTGTTTTTAACATTGCTTTGTTTTTGGGTTTTTTTTACTTTGTAGTGGTTGATTGGTTGGTTGGTTTTAGTATTGTGAAACAATCTGGGGAACCTGGAGCTTTTCCAGTATAGGAGGCAGGAGTCAGCCACTATAATACTGCAGCAGTTAAAGCAGCTACATTCAACCAATTCTGGTCATGTTGTTACAGCCCTATGGGGAACTGGTGGAGTTTCTACATTTTTGTTTTCTTTCTATCTTGTTCCAGTTTCTCAAATTTTCACCAGCCCTAGTGGTCCTCAGGTGGTGGACGAAGATTTAAGTTTAAAAGAATTTGAAAAGAAGATTGATGTTCCAGACTCCTATTATGGACCACGACTCTCATTCCCCCTTACTGTGGAAGATGCCAATGCTCTCCTTCATGCTTTCAGGAACGAACAGGTAATTAGCAACTAGCTTGCTTTCTTTTTTAACTTATTTTATATGAAGTTGTAAAGTTGTAGGTCCATAATCAAATGTAAGGGTAAACTTGTGCCCAAAGAGATATTTCACTCTTTTTTTACATCTCACTACCTTTTCCTGCTAGCCCATAAATGTGCATGGTAAGCTGCCTTGGGAAGTTGATCTACCTGTAAGCTAACACAATAAAATCAAAAGCAGACAGTTCTCTGACAGATGAGTTTCCACGTTTGATTCACTACTTTGCTGCATGACCACCAGGTCTGGCACTGAGGAGGAGGCAGGGACTAGTGAAATGAAATGGGAACCCTTAGCAGCTGCAGGGCAGGGGTTCTCAGTGAGAGTGCAGGACTGGGGGAGATATCCTAAGCTAAAATAGAAACCAATTATGGTCTTTTTAGGGGTTAAAAGTGTTCATTTTTTGGTCCTCTGTCTTTTGTCCCCACCTCATTCTTTTAGAGGAATTGAGGTGTAAGGGTCAATCACCTCATTGCAGACTGCAAGACTCTACCATGACAGTGGAGTGACCATAAAGCATTGCTAATGTAGCAGAACAGAGTGATAACACAAATCTCTGGAGCTCAAGCTGCAGCTTCCAAGGCACTGAGGAGGCTGTTCCTCATTCTCTATATTCCTGAGCAAGCCCTTTTGTTGCCCATATGATGAGGGTGGAGCAGGGAGGCATTAAATAGCACGGCTTTGTTTGAACTTGTAATTACTTCTGCTTAACAATATGCTGTATAAAAGGGGCAAGGGTCTGTCATGCTTTTTAATTTACTAAATAAGAATATTTTTCTCCAGTAATTTTCTGTGGAGGCTGATTGTTTGAAAAGTACCAAATATAAAGCATATGATAAATGAGCCAACCCAGACTTCACCTTATTGTCCACTCTCCCTTCTCTTACAATGGCTGGCATGTTATTAAGGAAATGGTCATATGTAATTGGCCTTTTTGTTTGCTTAAAAACATGAATCTTGAAAAATCATTCTGTAGTTCATCTATCTCCTCTACCAAAATTGCTCAGACCTCTGTTGAAATTAAAAGCTTTAAAAATCATCAACTGACAAAATGTTCATAAAAACATTAGGAGAGAAGACCAGAAGTTTCAATGTTACTTGTTATAACTTCTTCACTGTGAACAGGAAGATGACCCTTACCAAAGCAGCCCTTACTGGAGTTTCCTTGTCATTGTTTTTGCAATTCACTGAAATACCATTTATAGCCTTTGGGGATGTTTTTGTTGGCTTGTGTTTTGGAGGTTGTGGGATTTTTTTTTGTTTGTTTACTCACACCTAAAATGACATACTTTTATTTTTTTCCCAGTTACTTTAAACAGATGGCCTTATGCAATGATTCTGAGTGCTCTGTAAGTCTTATCTCTTCTGAAAAACAGGAAGAGTAGAAAGAGTACAGTATAAATAAAGTGGGAATATCTGTAAAACAAGTTCAGTAAGGGCTCCATATCCATTCACTGGGAAGCAAATACAAAGCTATGAACACTCCTAATTCCCAGCACTAGGCCATACAGCCTGTACACGTCTGGAGTTCTGCACTATAAATAACCTTGGCAGTACATGAGTGATATTAATAAAACAGCCAGACCTGTTGCTAATTCAAAGACATCTTCCTTTTCTATCTGCTTTTTCTTCTCACAGCTGCTTCATGCCCGCTATGTACTGCAGCTGCTAAGTGAAACTAGGAGGGTTCTCAAGGAGATGCCAAATATCACCCATCTTTCAACTTCCTACTCCAAGGAGATAACTGTCTGTGGTAAGATGCCAGAGAAGATACCTGCTTTGGGCTATGGATTGATATTCTAAGTGGTTAGAGAATGATACTGACATTTCCAAGTTTTGCCATGAGAAGAAAGTTCTCAATGCCCTTTAAAAAGTTACTTACTTGTTTTATTTTCCCCCACAAATACATAAATTGGAGCAAACAAACAAAAAAATAAAGTTCCTGAGTCACAGTAAGTTTATTTTAAGAAATTCCCTCACCTCCTCTTTCCTCTTCTTGTTTAACATTTCTGAATGAGTCAGTATTAATTCAGCTAACACTGCAGTGCAGCTTAAATACTCCTGCACTTCCACCTCTAAAATGCCACCAAGTATTTTGATCACTGGCTGTAAGTGTCACCTCTTTCTCCTCTCACTGAGAAAAAGACCTTAATCCGTAATGATTTTAATGATTTTAATAATAATTTACTCCATAATGATTTTAATGAAGGTTTAATATGGGTGGCAAAAAAGACCTTTCATTGACAACATGACTATCTAGAATAAATTGAAATTATAATAACCCCTCATTTCTGAGGAGACCCAGGAGGATGGATAAGTCTTTATACAACCAACAAATTAGTCTCACAAAATAATGTGTCACACAGTAAAGAACTAAGAGCTCTTTGCCCATCTATTTTGTTACATATTTGTAAATTATGGATAATGGGATGCAGTATCCTGACTCGACACAGAATGCAGTAGCTAGCTGCAAAACAGAACAATAATGGTGACATAACTCTTGACATCTATCAGTGTGTGCTGTGTGTAATAGTAAAGTGGTATAAGGGAGGTACTGTGAGACATGCAAAATAAATGGTGGTTTTTAAGATGTGGTTATAGACCTACTTAGGTTTTGTATAAACAATAATTTATTGACCCAGCCAACAAGACCCCTTTCCAAATCAAGGAAACACAGATTTATGCTTCTTCACAACACAACGTGTCCTTGTTAAATAAACATTTCTCTTCATCTTGTATTGCATTTGTACTACGTAAGCAGCATCAAAAAAGATCCCTCTCCTGTACTGAAACTAAAAGCTTTTGTCACCAGAAAGAGCCTATGAAGAAGAGAGATAACCCATTTACAAGCATAATCGATCCAAAATGTTGATTTCCTTAAGGTATCACTCTCCTTTTTGTATAATTTCAAATAATGCAGATTAAATATATACGTGAAATGTTTGCATCCACATGTGTGCTAAATATCAATCATAGCTTGAAAGACCCCTTCGAACAAATTCAGTAGGCTCATAATTAATCAAAAGTTGCACAGAAAACGTATACACATAAAAATGTCACTTCTCTTTTCCTAATCATTGGTGGTAAAAGCCAATTATCACAAGATAGGTTTTGAAACTTTCCTGCAGCTTCGTGGTGGTGAGTCACAGACATAAGAAGGTTGGCTCTGTGAGTATGAAATGCAGTCAGATGCACAGGGGATCTGTGCTGCAGTGATGCTTTTTGTTAGGGTGAAATCCTCTTGCCTGTTCCAAACAAATGTCTCAAAAAGGGCCCAATCTGTCATTTCTGTGGCCTCAGCATTGGGGCACAAAGGCATGGACAGATCTTGACACTCTCCGTCACTTCTTTCTGGTAGTAATCAAACTCCATCCCTGAAACACATTCAATTGTGCAGTATAAAAAGGGCTACTTTGATAAATTTAAACCCATTAGTATGTAGAAATCTATTACATTTAAAAATGTCTTTTAGTGACATTTTCTGGGTTTATATATGTAAGGAAAATAACATGGGGAAAACTTGAAACCTCCTCTGTGAGAAAATTAAAAAAAAGAAGTTTTTGTTTCCTGTAGGAGATTTGCATGGAAACCTGGATGATCTTTTGTTGATATTCTATAAGGTAAGTAGATACTCTGAGATCTGGCATTTCTACTTTGTGACATTTTATTATTTATGTGTGACAGATTTATCACCATTAGAACTGCTCATGTGGTGTGCATACATTTCACACACAAATCCTGGAATAATTTGGTGTCTTTGTCAGGGCTTTTCCTTCTTCATATCCTCCTGCTCACTGTGAAGGAGATTGAGGTGATTATTTTCCTGAATGCTGAACTGTAGCATGAGCCAAAACTTAAGAGGACTCCCTGCAAGTCTCCAAAGTTCTGCCACTGTTTTAAATTCCATATTGAACTGAAGTCTGCTAAAATCAGGAGCTAAGTGAGTTCCTGATAATTTTGTAACTGAAGAAAAAATGCAGAAGCTTTCATTTAGGCCTTCCATTGAAATCTGCAGGTTTTTTGTTTGCTTTTGGGTTGGTTTGGGGTTTCTTGTTGTTTGGTTGGGTTTTTTTATTTTGGTTTGGTTTTTTGGATTTGTTGGATTTTTTGTTGTTGTTGATTTTGGGGGGGGGGAGTTGTTTTTGTTTTTTTGTTTTTAACAGGAAACAGGAAAGAGTGGTGTTTAAAAGCTTTTTAAGCCTTGGAAGCAGTCACATAGTCTGCACAAAATAGAAGTACTTTGGGCACCCTTTACATATCCTTTTGTATCATGTTAAAAAAAGCATAGCACTGTTTTACTGATGTGCAAAACAAATTAAGCTCCAGGCTAGCTTTTCCACAATTGTGTGTTTAACTGAAGATGCAGGAAATGTTGTGTATTTAGTTTCACATTTATCTTCAGGATGAATCACCACCTTTGATTGAGTAGGTACTCTCTTTGATTTGAGCTTTCCGGGGGGGGTAAAGGGTTTGTGTCAGATCCTGCACTGAATGGAGACTGAAGTGAGATAAACCAGGTGTTTAAATGATGTAATTCTCCCCCTGCTTCCAGCTTTGTTACACTTAGTGTGACACTTGTTGAATGTATATGTGGTTGTTTTGCCCAAATGCACACTTGAAGTCTGTTGAAGTATTGTTAAAGTATAATCAGACCTTTTATAGAGTCCTGCTTTTCTTACTAATCAGCCATCCTTAGCTGGTCCTTGGCTTGCAGTCTTTTAGTTGTTTGGCTCTCTTTTCAAAACTGGAATAAGAATATGATACATATTGGTTTCAAACACAGAATCTAGAATGGGAAATATAACTAGTTTGGAGATAAATGCTCAGATATAATTATATTTACAACTGCTTTCATCCTGCATTTTATTTTTTGGAGTAAACAGATGCCAATTCTTTCCCTCCCCTCTAATGGATGCTATAAAGAGAAAAAAAAAAAAAAGCAACTCTCACCCTGACTTCAGTAAATTCAGAGCCAAAACTCCCACTGACTTCAGACTAGAGATAACACCCAGTTGTTCTCTGTTAAACTTCTAGGGGAGTCCCTTCCATCAAACCAAATAAAATAGGCAAATGTTTTGTCATTTCAAAGTAGTTGAGAATATAGGGAGCATATGATAGAGCTGATTAGTTATTTAGAAGCAAATTAAATGACACTATTTTCTGTCCCCTCTGAGCAGTTTACTCAGATGAGCAGAACCCAGATGGCTTCTGGGATCCATTATTTTTCTCCTTCCCAAACTCTATTTCAGTTGGAAGGGATTTCATCCTCTGAGTTGGTACAAACTACCTTAAACAAGAGGGTGCAATCCTAAACAACGCCATGGGAGTGATCTTGTTCTGCCCAGGGCTGTGCAGAGCTGAAATGGATTCTGGAGGCCTGCATGCAGACCAGGCTTGTCACTTCCACAAATCACCCCCAGCAAACACACAGAGCTGGCAATCCACAGTATATTGATACAATGCTGCAGATGATGTTTAATCCTTACACCCGGTTTGGCTGAAGCTAAGACACTTACTTTTTTTTCCCCTCAATAACCAGTTTGTGAGGTTCATTCAGTCCCTGCATTAATCTTTATTAAATTACAGAATTTCCTGGTATTCCATGAAACACTTGAATTTTAAATTATGTATTGCTAAGTTAGATTGTTAAAGGGATGCTATATATAGAAATAGCCTGAAGCATAGAAAATGCCAACAATAAACGGAAGTTAATTAATCACTAACCCAGGAGATACAGTAATGATGCCCAGCAGCAAGTTGCTAATCATTAGAGGGCCTTGTTTGCCTCTCTGACATGTTAGAGGCTGCAACAGCTTTTAATTTAGTTTTGCTCTCATTGTTGGTTGAAACCACAGAAAAGCAGAGTGCATATGAGTGGGACAAAACTAAAATGTCACATTGAAGTTGGAAGTCCAAGCCAAACTTGTTTAAAACTCAAATTGTGTGTAACCTTTTCCAAAAGAAGGATGATAGAGTCTGGAAAGTGCTCCAGTAGAGATGTCTTTCCATGAGTACTGCAGTTAGAGTGGTTGTGTGTATATTCACAATCTGCTGGTGAATTCACACGCCTATTGGTTTTAAGACAAAGATTTTATTTATTTATCTATCTTTCTAGAAACTGCTGCTGAATTTCTGCTGTCTGTTCCACTCCTGAAATCAATCCTCTTCTTTATAAAATCGCTTCAACCTACTGCATTAGAAGTCTCATACATTGCAACTCCTGTGAGCACAAAGCAAACACAGGCCCCTTCTAAGTTAACTTGGAAAGGGATCAAGACAGGCTATAGCAAAATCCAAGGAAACTAATTTTACAGCAGCCAGGATGGAGAGACCAGGGTTCACTACTGCATCCTAACATGAAAGCACAGGACACTGACTGGGACAAAAAAAGATATTCTCATAAGGATTCAAATTACATATTTCATTGAGTCCCTGCCACATGATATGTCCTGCAATAAACCCACTAAGGCAGAATACCAGTAATGCCATAGGAGCATAAGAAAGGCTTGACACTGACACCATCAATATATTCAAGAAGTGGGATGTCTTCCAATGCTGCCAAACCTTTTAAGAGTGGCTTCCACAGTTATAATGTAATTTTATAGATGTTCTATTAGTATTTCTTGTGCATATCGCTTAAGAAAACAGAGGTTTCCTTTTTCCAGCAAGTCAAAGTTGAAATACTATTTCTGATACTTGTGACTGGAAATGATGAAGCTATATATATATAGGTGTTGCTATATTTTCTGTAAGCTGATGGCACCCATTGATGTTTTGGTAATTAATCTCATAAAACATACCATCAGTTCAAAATACTTGTTTTTACTAAGTCACTATTTAATATAAAGGATTTCTCTGTATATTGAGAAAAAAAAGGTAAGGTAAGAAATAGCTGTATATACAACCTCTCAGGTTTGTGAGCTTTCAAGTGTATCTCAGCTCTCATGAGTAAAATTCAAGTAGTGCTTTCAGGATTATAGTAACTGAAATCAAACTCTTCAAACTTCTGTCTTAAGATTTTATATCCTCTGGACTATAGTCTTTTCAGGAGTTTTGGAAGCATACACTGCAAATAATGTAAATATACAAAATCCATTCAAACTTACATCAGAAGGTAATTTTTCATATATTTCTTATCTTCCATTCAAACTGAATTACTCCCTTCTGTTTGCAAGTGCATGATTTCCTGGCAACAGTTGCATTAACAGAAAAGTATATTTTACTACAAAATTTTTATTCCTTTTGCTGCCTTTCAATTTAATTTAATAGGTAGAGGAAAGAATTAGAGATGGCATTGTAAGAACAGCCAGAGAGGCCCTCTCTTCTCTAATGGCTCTGGTTGTCTGATATGAAGGTTTTTATTCTAAGCAGTGGAAATAAAGAAATGCTGCATTTTAGATCTCTGTATTATGCAGGATTTTCTTCAGAATTTCTAGCAATGGGATCTCATTTAAATGCAATTTCCTTTATTACAGTAGCATAGCAGCCTCTCTAAATGCCCCTTTTTCTTTCTTTCTGCAGAATGGTCTGCCTTCAGAACAAAACCGTTATGTCTTTAACGGTGATTTCGTCGACAGAGGGAAAAATTCTATGGAAATACTTATAATCCTATTTGCATTTCTTCTAATCTATCCCAATGATTTACACTTGAATAGAGGAAACCATGAAGACTACATCATGAACCTGAGGTAGATTTTGGGGGTGGGGCAGGTGTTATCTGGCCTATCACTAGAAATATTTGCACTTTTGAATGCTACTTCAGCCACTGTGACACCCTAAAACAGAAATCATGTTTTATTGAGTAGTCAAGTGTAGCTTTGCCTTTTCAGCATGCGTGTGGGGGAGGAACATCCTTACTACACACAAACATTTGAATGGGAATAATGTCTTGTCTTTGATCTAATCATAATTCATTGAAGTCAGAGGGCTTAGTGCACCTTCCAGATATCAAAATTGGGGCAGGAAGGATGGAAAGATGATATTTTAATTAAAGCACATATTTAGCAAAATCTGATATTTTAGTTAACTTTGAACTAAGATTTCACATCTCTAACAATAGGGGCAGGTAAATATCCTACCTTCTACTTAGAGGAGTTTCATTATTTGGAGGTGTCAGTGCAGGAAAGCTGACACCCTGTTTTCTAGCACAGATGTTTGCACTTAGCTGTGGAGTGCAGCCAGTGGTGTGAGCACAGTCAGTGGCTCTGGCTGTAGTCAAAGTGTGACTTGGAAACAAAAAGCATCTCAGAGACATGAGAACTCCTCAGTCCTACTCCCTACAATTCTAAGGCACCTCAGAAAGTGTTTGAGTGACTGACTGGTGGATAACCTGCTGTACCCCTTGCATCATTTGATGTGTGCACACAGGATGATGTATTGCTGTTTTAACACAAGCCTATGTGTTAGCACCTGGGTCAGAGGCCCATAGGCACTAACGATCCACAAAAGAGAATCAGTTTCACATGATAGTTACTTTTTCAGCACTTAACTGAAAACACCCCAAAAAACAACAAACCAAGATCAGTTACTTAACCTCCCCAAAACAATAGAAAATACTAAGTCTGTGATGGTATGGTGCACAGAAATATTCTTGTCTATCACTCTTTGCTGTGCATTTTGATTAGCAGTGCTGCACATTGGTAAATTTGAAAGCTGAGGGTTGTGAAAATGCCCCTTGATGAAGGATATCTTGGTGTTAAAAGAATGAGGTATCAAAATCCTTGTCCCTTGTGGGGGAAAAGACATGACAGTTGGATGAAGCCCTGAGCAATCTGATCTAGTGGGAGGTGTCCCTGCCCATGGCAGGAGGTTGGAATGAGATGATTTTTAAGGCCCCTTCCAACGCAAACCATTCTATGATATATGATATAGATTAGATATATAGATATATAGATATATAGATATATAGATATATAGATATATAGATATAGATATAATATTCTATTATATGATTCTATGATGATATGATATGATATGATATTTAAGACAAAAACTCTCTGGAAGTTTTGTGGGAATTTACGCCCATCATCAGGTTCCTTTGGAATTTCTCTCTGGTATGTAAAAGGTAGAGCTGGCAAAAAGGCCTCTTAATAATTATTAGACTGGATTCCAACCTCTCTTATGTATGTACAAGAAACCAGATTAACTCAGTTCTCAAGAGTGGAGGAAAGGACATTTCAACTCAGATGAGATGGAATGGCAGGTGAAAAAGAGGGCTAGAAAACTCCAGGAAAACACCATAGCACAGGAAACCATGCAGAAGGGGCATACTGAAAACTAGTTCATGATGCTGTCCTGTTTTCAGATATGGCTTCACAAAAGAAGTTTCAAAGAAGTACAAGGTAAGATTCCTTCTCCTTCCCCTATATTTTTTTGCAGTCTCACACATGTACGATGAAACCTGTGTAAATTTCAAATCAGTTCATTTAGGTGTAGCAGAGAATGACTTTAGTGATGTAGGTGAAATTATTTTGGCCTATCAGTGGAATAACTGACAAAACTATTTTAAGTGCTAGTCTCTTATGCCCAGAGATCTATGGGATGAAATAAGTAACATCCATAATACCAATCAAGAACACAAAAAGAGGTGAACATGAAAGAAAAAACTAAATGCTACAGTGACAACTAAATGGCTCTAAAGTAAATGTCAGAACATGTTTGTCAGGGTTGCAGTTCAGGATATCACCTGAACAAAATTGTTCATATAAACTGTAGCAGACACTTCAGCAAAATCTTGAACTTAGAAGCAACAGAATCTGTCAGAAGTAGGATCTAATGTAAGAGTATATTTTCCAGGACCATTGGAAACAGATTTTGTGTCTTCTGCGAGATGTTTTTAGCTGGCTTCCCCTTGCCACTATAATTGATAGCAAAGTTCTTATCCTACATGGAGGGATTTCAGACACCACAGATTTGGATTTCCTGAATGCACTTGAGAGAAATAAGGTAAGAGATCATATTAATGGGAGCATAATTTTGTTTTCTTTTAATATTTTTGCAGTACAAATGCTAGGATCAGGTAGTTTGCATTAGGAAAGGAAATGGCAGCAGTATAAGAAAAATAATAGTTTTTCTTCAAAGTCAGAGCTTAGGAAGGAAGGTTGTACTAGGTGTTGAGAGCCAATTGTCTGGCTCTCCATGTAACATGGGTCTTTTGATCTTAAAATAGCTAAAGCTGCTTTAGATGCCTCCTCCTGCAGTGATAACACATTAGCCAGAAAGTATGAAAACTACTTGATTCTTGGGCATTTCCTTTAAAAACTTTAGAAATCAATCTAGCCACATATTTCTAGCACTGCCTTTTTTCCTGGGGCTGTGCTTCTGCCATCTGTTGTGTGGGGGAAGTTCTCCACCTGTGAGGCGCTCCCTTGGCAGCAGCCGAGTGTTGTTCATGTGGGAGAGCCTTTCCAGAAGGATGAAAATTCAAGAACTAGCCTTGTTAAAACAGAATCTACTGCTTTTCAGGGATTTAGAAGATAGAAATGTTCATGTTTTTTTCTGGAATTATGAGCAATAACAGATCTTTCAAATCAGTGGAAAATGGTGTGGGATTTGGTCTCGATTTGGATAACTAAATCTAGATATCTGCTTGTGATCAGGTGCTGAGACTCCTTATAGTCAATGGAGATGCAGGAGATCTGGTGGAGATCATTTCTTAGGCACACATCTCCAGTGCAAGGAAGTGTGCCACTGGCTGGGGATGTCCCCTCTGGCCTTTGCCTGCCTCTGAGGAAAGTCTTCTCTGTAGGTCCCCTCCACCAGTCCCCTTTAGGCCCGATTTGTGTCTGTCCCACTCACACTAATTCACAGACATAGTGGAGCATCTCAGATGGCATAGGAGACCAACCTTTGAGCAACTTAGTGTACCCTGTCATCAATGTTGGTGGAATCTAGAGCTATTTTTGTCATCCTCATATTTTCTAAAGCAGAAAGAAATGCTTTGCAGGGCAGTCAGTTATGTCTCTTTTTTTAAGATAGTAAAAAGGGCATAAATACTTCTGATCATTGGAGTCTAGGCTCTGTTGGCTGCACCACTGTGCACTAAAACTGGGTGCCAACTACAGATAGAGGTGTCCTAACTGTGAGCTGAATTCTGCCCATGCTTTCACCAGAGCTCAGCTATGCATGTTTCTGATGCAGCATCTGTGAAATGCAGAATTAACAGGCCAAAGCTGCTGCCACAGGAGAGCGTTGCTAATGAGACATGTGTGGGCCACAACCCAGGGCAGTGTCACTCAAGGCCAAGTGATGTATTTTAATTGGTACAGCTGGCAGCTGACAGGTTGCAAGTACTGGTCAGTGCACTGGCAAATAACCTCGTGTTGTGCATTTTGTTCTGAATTAGTCCTTTTCTTTGTTAAAGAGTAAAATCTGGGGGTCTGTGGACTGTGTATGTTTTATTGGTGGTGGTTTTTTTGGGTTTGGAGTTTTTTTGTTTTGCTTTGGGTTTTTTATGTTGGTTTGTTGGTTTTGGTTTTGGGGTTTATTTTGACTTTGTTCTGGAAATGAGGTAGTATGGGAAAATTTTAAATGAGCAGACATTCCCTAGAGAAGAATCCATATTAATGGTCACCATTCATGGAACCATAGCACACCACTCCAAAAAGGCAAATGCAAATATTTAGCAGTATAAGGCCTGATATAGTATCTTATCAGTTTCACTACTGTCTTCCTGATACTCCATTTAATTTAGCTAAATTAATCTAACAGCATGGCCCTGTGTCAGAGCAGAAGTGAATGGAGTTTCACCTTCAGTACAATATGAATGTATATCTTGTTTCCAGGGAAGCTGGACACTGAAGTGTCTACCCTGATCCCAGGCCTTACTTGCTGTATAGTGAGACCTTAAGATTGACTGTATTTGGAACGAGTGTGTGTGTCTGGATAAGAATATGAAAGCAGCTCTGAAGAGCCTGGTTACTGACAGGTATAAAAGCAGAATTTTTGCCAAATACCTGCAGCGTCTCCTAAACCTGTGAATTCAGGACATTATGAGAGTTAACATTAGTTGAACTCTCAAGGAGTTTTCCTGAGTACAGGAAACATGATCTGATGTGCTTTTCAGCCAACATCTCTGTATCAACTTTTGTTGTTGTGATGGTAACTTTTTTTGTTGTTGTCGAAGTTGAAATCTTTGATGCGGCCACCAAAGTCAATAAGAGACAGACAGGACCAAACAAAGAAGAGAATTCCAACAACAAAACCCAGTAAACACATTGCTAACCAGCATGTTACAGCGAAGACACAACACAACTCTTCACCGGGCTTCACTGAGTCTTCGGGCTCAAATTTGCCTCCAGACCCCGCCCTGAAGGAATGGAAACAAGTAGGTGAAACCAAAGACACACTGATACCAAACCCCTCCCGCACAAACTCAGCAGGTGTTCTGTTCTGGCAGTGTATTTATGAGTCTGAGGGAACTGTCTCTTCATAGGAAAACAGAGGTTCTAAGGAGTATATTAGATAACTATTAGTTTTTTGGATGCTGTTTGTAGACCTGGTAATAAAGGCTTGGGATTTTATACTTTACAAGTAAAATTGACCCAGTATTTTGTTTTCTTAGTCGTTAGGAGGAGGAAGCTGCTCAGTAGGAAATGGATTTGCCTGCCCTCATGTGGTTGGATCTGTTGGTACATAAATGGTTGTTGGTTTAAACAGGTCAGACTGCAATTGTTGGTGAGATAAAGCACTTTTTTTTGGCTGTGCTTTTGGCAGTTGAATGCTGATATAGCCCAGAAAAGCCACTCAGCTCCTGAGACCTACAGGCAGATTACTCAGAAGCGGGAAGTTTTTGTCCTCTGGCTATTCATTTCACCTCGAATACCAGAGCCTTTGTTATACTGTAATTTAATAAATTGTGGCAATTTGGAAAGCTTAATTTCTCTAAAAATATGATTTCCCAAGATACCTATCTGACCTACAAACTAACATAATGGGCACAAGCAAAGCTCCCCTTTTACCCCAAATCTGACACTCCCCCAGCTAATCAAGCATCCATTAAGCCATGCTCACAAACATGAAGTGGAATGTGTTAGTGCAAACCTTGCCCAAAAAAGTTTAAACAAACACATTTTGAATCATGTTTGCCACTGACTAGAATTAAACCATGATCTTCATGTCTGAACTCTGCTAAAATGTTAATATGTAAAATGTTGGTTTGAAGCATGAGCTAACTAATGACAATAAAGCCAAAGGCAACTCTTGTCTTGTTTAGAGCATGTACTCCCAAGCTTAGGTAAAACCACTGACCAATGTGGTTATCCAGTCTGTGCTGGGAAATAGAAATTGCCTCTCCTACAAGAAGGCAGCTTTTGTTCCCTTTGAAATAGCCCAGGTACTGTTCCTGTGCCTGCTCAAGTCTGAAAACCTCAGCTGTGAAAGGAGGTACATTGCTGAAATCTAGATAATGTTTCTTAAAAAGTAGAACAAAAGTCTCAGCCCAAAAGAATATGCTCCTGAAAGGAAGGAAAAACCCCAAGACCTATGTATTAGCTCAAATGTGTTTTCTCCCTGTACTGTGGGGCTTTTGCTGTGGCCAGGACTTTAGACAGCCATAGCCTGTCAGTCTTCCCCTACTATGAGTCCTCAGTTGCTTGAGTTTGCTATTTATAGATCCTTGACATTCTGTGGAGTGATCCAAGAAGCCAAAATGGCTGTACACCAAACAAGTGTCGAGGAGGAGGCTGTTACTTTGGTCCTGATGTCACTACCAAGCTGTTTGAGAGGTATAATCTGAAGATGCTCATCAGGTCTCATGAATTTAAGCCAGAAGGTTATGAGATCAGTCATGATGGAAAGGTAAGATGCTTCCATGTAAAGCAGAATTCTCCTGTGAATTTCACAGGAACATCCTCAGTAGATTTGTCTGCAAAATTTATTTTTAAAAAAGAGAGTCACTATGTTAAACTGGGCTTGGGGGAACTTCGCCCTAGATAGATGTTACAACAAATTACTGAGTTCCAAGTAACAAAGTTCTTTATGGCTTTAGGGAGTGGGGACCAATTTATTACTTAGACGAAAACAAATGGACATCAACAAAATTGCCCACAAGAGTTTTGTGTGAATACAGTTCAAGAGTGCTCTAAGGCTCTAGAAGCCTTTAATTTACTGATTTCTCTTTTGGCCCTGCTTTCTAACATGCTGTATTGGGAGGCCAAGAATCCTGAAAACCAGGTCTCTCTTACAAAGAAGTTTCTGTTAAGCAGCATGTTATATCTCACTGCTCTCTGAAGTCTGACAGGTCAAAAATAAAGGCCCAGAGCTCTGACTCAAAAGGCAAGAGCAATTTGGTGAATGACATAATTTTATATGTAGACACATAATTTTGTAACCTTCAAAATAAGTGTCAAGAAGAACTAGCTGTTCTGGCCAATCCAGTTTCTTTGTATCCTGTGTCAGGTTATCACCATATTCTCGGCCTCTAACTATTATGAAGAGGGCAGTAACCGGGGCGCTTACATCAAGCTGAATCCCGAGCTCATCCCCCGGTTTGTGCAGTACCAGGTCAGCAAGTTCACGCACAGGAAGAATCTCCGGGAGAGGTAAAGCTCTGTGTTGCATGCAGTGAGGGTTGACTCACCTCACATGTGAGTGTACCTGCCACAGGTCTAGAGCTTCACTGAATAACTGTATAGGCATCCATTTTCCTTGATTCTCACTGGTTTTCTATTTTTCAATTTAAAAATTAATACAGTAGACAAAACATATTCTAAGTGCTTAACTTAAAACTTTTTGACAAACTCCCAAAGGTAATTAGGTGAGGTAAGCAGTTAGAACAGACAATTGACAGGGACTCATAAATGGCCTGCACCCGTCTGCTTTAAGGTTGCAGTGTTAATCTGGACAAATCCTGTTATGAATTGAGTCTCAAAAGTTTATCATGACAGCTTTTCCATGCCTAGTAGTGTGGTCAGATTACTAAAGGAAAGCAGCTTAGAATTACCTGCATAAACTCAATTATCTCATAAACTCAGATTTTTCTTATGGGGCATTGTTGGTTTTGTTTGGTTTGGGGTTTTCCCCCCTCCCTGAATGCTGTCTTATGTGTTCTAGTGTGTTTTCGGTCATCCTACTTAAACATACTATACCCTAAACATACTACATGTTAAAGGATGTAAGAATTTTATAATTAGTGTTGAAAAGCATAAAATGCTAGAGGATGTTAATCCTTTCATAATCTGCTGATTTTTTTTTCCTCCTAGGGTGGGTACAATTGAATCATCTGCCTTAAAGTCCTTACGAGAGAAGATTTATGCTCACAAGTCTGAACTCACCAGTGCTTTTGCACAATACGACATCAATGGCACAGGTACTACTTCCTCTCTGTCTAGTTGCCACCGTGGCAAAAACAGCTTCTGTGTGCGGGGGCAGAGGGGACAAACCCCATGGAGAGGAGTCCTACCTGCCTGCCAGAGTCAGGTTGAGGGCAGAAGAGCTGGCTGATCTTGTTCTTCATGACTACAGAGGAGGATGGGCATTGGGAAGGGCTTAGGTCCAAACAACTTGAGGGGATGAAGCTTGAAGTAAGAAAAAGAAAACTGAAAGAAATGGGCAAATAAAGAATGTTTGCTGTTGGGTAGAGAGTTTGGACAGGCAAATCCAGTTCCAGAAGCTCAAAAGTCACCTTCACGTAGGAGTGTCTTCAGAATGTGTCAGACAGGGAACTCAGGGATCTCAGGTGGGGGGAGGAATAGGTCTCCTTCTGAGTCTGAGAAGTATCTGAGGAAAGTTGCCTGCCTATGCCTCCAGCAGACACACACTCACCTTAGCTGAAGAAAAGTCATTGCTAACTTAATAGATGAACCTTTTATGTAGAAGCAAGAAGTTGATTTCTGCCACAAATACAACTTTTCCTTGTGACGGCTTCTCACTTGACTGTGTCCTTACAAGGGCACTCAATAACATGATGTTGTTGTTTCTTTGGCCACTAAACTGCTGTTTCACATATTTCTGTCTGGTTGAGTTTTCAGCCACATGTCACTTAACTGCAGCTCAGCTGAAACCTGAAGTACTCTTCATGGCATAATCTGGCTTTCTAAAAAGGTGTTAAAACATACTGAACATCATAACAGCATGACAACTTTGTGGCTGGAAGGGACCTGTGGAAATGCCTAGTCCAACCCCACTGTTCTTTTGTTATGAGGGCTTTGATCCTAGGGTTGAGAGAAAATTCTTGTGTTTTATAACCCTTTGTGCTAGTGACTGATGTGTGCTGTGTCCTGTGCTTTTAACCATGACCTGACCCCTTCTGGCAGGCAGGATTTCTGTCAACGACTGGGCTGCAGCAATGGAGTCTGTCCTACAGCTGGAACTGCCCTGGAGGATGCTGCGGTCTCAGTTAGCACAAATGAACCCAGATGGAGAAGTTGACTTCATGTCGTGTTTTTATGATTTGAAAATGGGTCAACCTATAAAAGAGGTAAAGAGGAAAATACCTCCTTGCAATACTTGGAGGAACAACTTCTGGTGCAAATTGAAGCACAAGACAGTGGTTTGGCCCAACAAGTAGACATCTACATCTGAACTAGTTGCTGATCTTCCTTTTATAGTCACTGGAGGAAAATGAGCACTGCTAGGGTACGAATCATCATTCCCTGCTAAGGTAGAAGCTTAAAATAGGTTGGATGAATCACATGCTAGAACTGCTTCTTAACTTTCTGTTGGCTCTCGAGGGCGTTTAGATAACAGATCTGAGGAGATGTGACAAATCCTGCCCAGAGCACTCAACCCTTACTCTTTGAAATGAGCTTTTCAAACAAGCTCGAGGCAGTTTAGGCCCCTGTGGGAGGAAGTCATATTTGCTGATGGACTTCTAGATGTTTATAATTGTATCTGAGGTCACTTCTACAGAGCCCAATTGTTACCAAATGGCTGCACAGTGCTTCGGTATGGAGGCATCACCATAATTTTCCTAAACAGTGGGATCCATTCACATCTGTACAGTGAGTGCTTTGTATGAGTGCATGGTCTACACCATCTTCCCTAGATTATCCAAGATTATTTCCACAAATAATTACTGAAGGTAGGAGGTGTGAAGGGCTCCCCCTTGCCCTGCCATCTGAAAGTGACAGGTTTTAGCTGATTATTCAGGGCAAGACACAGAAGTGTCATTCCAGAGAACTCAAGTCTAAAATTTTGGGTTTTTTAACATTTGACAAGTTAAACTGAGAAAATGGAAATTGGATAGTAGATACTCTGTTGGTTAAATTAACTCAAACCAAGGTCTGAATAGCTTCTTGTATGTGATTTCAAAACCAGGCTCAGCCAGCTTTGGCAGAAACACTGTGCAGATACAGAAAGGATCTGGAGATCATCTTTAACATCATTGACAAAGATCACTCAGGTAAGTCCAGGTAACTTCACTGTGTCAGCTCTAAGGAGCCTATACCAGTTATCTTCTCCCCACTGTGTTTCCTCCTTAAGGCTTCTAAATATAGAGGAACCAGAGGTGATGTAATTTCTCCAGTTTAGTGGAAACTATTTTAAGCAGTTAGTCTGCAACCATATAAGGGACAGTGCACAGAGCCTAACAAGAAAAGATTCTCACATACCCCAACTCCAGTACTGGCTTCACTCTTTTGGGGCCTTTTTCTCCCTTCCACTCAGTCTTTACTGCTTTCTCAATTCCACTGTCAAAAGCATTCAATCATTACCTAATAATTTGCTTCAATCATGAAAGCAGTAACCTCACCATAGTAGGCAGGTAACTTTCTTGCAGTTAAGGAGTGTGCATGTGTGTGTTTATGCAGGAAAGGGAAACAACAATGCCAAAAGCAACCTATTTTCTATCATCTCCTTTAGGTTTGATTTCTCTTGAGGAATTCAGCCAGACCTGGAGACTCTTCACTTCTCACCTGGGCATTGATGTACAGGATGACTCCATTGACAAGTTAGTCCTCAGCATAGACTTCAACAAAGATGGCCACATTGACTTCAATGAATTTTTAGAGGCCTTTCACGTTGTTCACAGACTCGAGAAAAAGGCAACCTCCTGAAAAGGCAGAACTTCTTGTGGGTTGTTTTGGAAGCTCAGCTTGCTGTCATTAGTCATAAAAGGACTGCTCAATAGGGTCACTGTGCAAGCCTTTATTTAGCCCTTCCTGGATGATCTGTACCTGCTAATAATGGACAGAGGAAATGAAAACCCACATTTACAGTATTACTGTATCACTGCCACACACTGCCAGGACCTTTCAATTCACCCCCTCCTCTTGGTGGCATCTCCCCCATCAATCTAATCCCTGAAGATTGCCAAGGTCATGCCTACAGCTGTATAGGAAGAGAGACTTTGGTATGTGTCTGTCAGCAGTCCTTAGTGACAGCTGAGAGCATTGATCACCACAAGGAACATATCAGACCCATCCTGGTGATGGAACAGGCACAAGAGAGGCTGGCTGTGGGGTGTCCATTGCAGGAGAGGAAAACAGGGAAGAAGCATCTGGTTAAAATGGGTAGTTCTGTATTTAATCTTACTCTTTGCATGATGAAGAGGAATTAAATCATTCCAGGTCAATCTCTTATCCTTCCAAAAGTTTACACAACTTAGGCACAACTTAGAAGATTGTGGCTGAAAGGTGGTTACATTTGCATTCAATTTTCTCTTGCCTCTGGTTACTTTTCCCCACATTTGTTGGGATTTGGAGCTATGAAACAATCATAACTGTTTCTGAGATGGAGCCAGGCTCTCCACAATGGTGCTGAGCAATAGGACAAGAGGCAATGGGCAGAAACTGATGCACAGGAAGTTCCACCTGAACATGAGGAAGAACTTCTTCCCTGTGCAGTGACTGAGCACTGGAACAGAATGCCCAGAGAGGGTGTTGAGTCTCCGTCACTGGAGATATTCAAGAACAATCTGCATGTAGTCCTTTGCTTTGTGTTATGGGATGACCCTGTCTGAGCAGGGAGGTTGGACCAGATGATTCATTGTGATTTCTTCCAGCATGATCCATTCTGGGATTTGGTGATTCCATGATAAATTGTCACCTTAATGAAGGCTAAATCCACAGCATGTTAATGCAACACATGATAGATCACAGAATAAAGCTGTAACTTTCTGAGCAATGCCTAAGTGGGGTGTCTCTATGCATGTGCTTTGCTACCCTGCCCCAATCACCACAGAACAGTGTTCCTGAAGATTAAATGGGTTTCTTAAAAACAGAGAGGACTAAGAACACAAGAGTAAACATATTTTGATACTATCAAATATAAATATTCTTGCATGCAGTTAAACGTAAATTCTTTACCAAGAAAAGGAAACCAAGAAATTCTGAAATTGTATTTTTGGAAGGCAGCAAGATGGAAGACTCTTGCACTCACATTCCTGACTCCTTTCCCTGATTGCAAGTCAATATTCCCATTCTTGCCAGTACCACCCTGTCAGTTCCCAAGGGGGAGAAGTCAGGAGGTCTGGCCCAAATTCTCTTGCATCTTACACTCTGAAAGCAACATGAGGTCAGGAGCTTTTTCGTAACTATGACCTCATTCAGCCTCAGTAAATCCAATGCACATAAAGTGCTTTTTGGATAGGAAGAAGTTCCAACCTAGTCCCTCTTTAAATTTTAATAGCTAAAGATGACCTAAAAGCAGCTCAGTTTTATTTAACAGAAATGTTGAAAGTACAAAAAAGTTGAAAGTATCATCCCAGAATGTAACAGCAGCCTAAGCCCAAGGCACTACTGTCTCTCTAAAATCTTATTTTCTACTATTAAATACAGAACACTTTTCCAGAAGTATTTTGTGACTTGACAGATGAATGAACAAACATGCAGACACTTATTTCTACTGCCTTGGGGGAGGAGAAAGAAAAGTTTTTAATAGGACAAACAGAATTTACAGTAAAACTTTAATGACATTGGTAATACATAATGTGTATTTATAGCATGCAGTTATTCTGATATATGCACTGTGATGATCAGTCCCACCTTATTCCAGTGGAGTGACAAAAAGGCTCCACTTACAATGGCCAAGCACTACTGTGTGGTGGGATCTTGCTTCCCCCTGTTGGCATCCATGTGGTGGGTGTGAAGTGACAAGGTGGAACTGGAGACTGCAGCACTGGAGTCCCCCTTTGCCACCTGCCCCAGTAAAGAGGACAGAGCCAGGCTGTACAATGATAGAAGAGTTCTGAAGGATGGCTGGCAGCCTCCAGTGTGGATGTCCCCCACTAAGGACACACTCCTGAACCTGGCATGAAGGGGACTGGCCTCAAGGGATCACTTCCTGAGAGGGGATGCCAAAGTACAGTCGCAGCACAGCCTCACTCGGCAAGCAGTGAGAGCCTTTTGGGGATGTATGACTGAGGTGTGGGAGGAGCTGAATCTTTGAGCCAAAACAGACAGCGCTGTCCCGTCAGCTGCTGGTGGCACAAAGAGACCCCTGACAGAAGGGGGGTGACAGGGGGACTTACCGTGAAACATCTAACACTGGGAATAAATGCCACTTGAGACTGAAACTGGGAGTGGGAAAAAGCCCTGCTGCTTGTACTTAAATCCAAACTGTTCGAGCTGAAGCTCTTCTTCTATAACCGCCATCCTCAACCCCCTTTTTCAGTTGGGATTCTATGCAGCAGCTACTTAATATTCCAGATGTGAGTGGTCCTTTAAACAGCGCCTGAATCAGCCTGCACACGAGAGCCAAGCTCTCACCCTACATATGCCACCACTGGTAGCATCTCTCTCCTGCTTTCTGGGCAATTCTGCTCCTACCTGACCACTCCAAAAAGTACCCAAGGTTGGACTTGGACTGACTCAAGCTCCTGCTTCATTCAAGGCCCTGGCTACTGCCAGAGGGGTGACACATTCCCAGTGTCCCATGCCCACATGGGGCAGGCCAGGTGTTTCATTACCCCATAGAAAGTGGCTTCTCCTTTGCAGGGCAGCTAAGGACTGTGTGGCTCACCTGCACCTTCCAGGAACAAGCAGGACTCTTTCCCTTAGAAAGGAGACTACAGTTAGCAGGAGAGAAGCCAGACAAACTTTTTACTCTATCCGTTCAGTTTTCAGTTACTTGTGGGACCAGCAGCTGAGGGACATCAATGCTTTTAATGTGTCTGCAAGTAATGTAAGTTTGCCTTCCACTAACCTTGTGTTTGAGTACCACCCTGCACCACCAGATACCTAAACTCTTCAAATTACCACATAAATACCACGTGGAATGCAGGCAATTGGAAAGTAATTCATTGTGATCATCATGAATATACCATAACCTAGGTCATATTATGAATTTGATATTAAAGATACCAATGACACTCCCATTTAAAAACAAAGAACTGTTAACGGGTGCCCAGGTATGCTAGGCCATAAATTTAATTGCTTTAGACTTTAATGCAGCTTCATGGAAAACCAACATCAGACTTCTTGTTTCTGAAAAAAATCCACACACTAGGTAAAAAAAAAAAATTACAAGTCCTAGCAAAAAGTCATCTTGTATCCCTCTCAATCTAGGATTCAAGAAGAAAAGCAAAAATAGCTGCTACTACTTTTTGTGTGATACTAGGTAGAATAAAAAACATCACCTTGCTCTTTTTGTGCTTATGCCCTGCACTTTCACATCTGCTTAAGCTAGGAAAAAGATTTCATTTCCTTTTACTGGGAAACAAGCCAAGTGAGCTCTCACAATATGTATGAAAAGTTGAAAAACCCAAACCAAACAATAACAAAGGCAAACACAAAACAGGCACCACATCAATAAAATAATTTCCACACCCAAGTGCTAATTGTACCTGAACTGTCACTTTATACTGGCTCCTGCACAGGCCCACGGTTCCCATGGTGGTTAACACAGGGCTCTGGACTACCAAACTCCTCTGGTCTCTGAAAACAACATTAAATCACCTCACACTAAGGCCTCCTATACCTACACTCTCTTGAGCCAGTTCCCAGATACTACTGCAGCAGCAGTGACTGTGTAGAGGGACAGCACGGAGGGTGTCATGGCCTTTGGAGCTCAGACCTTCTGGGACCATGAGGGCTGGCAAGTGAGACAGGACATTACTTCTACTGGAAACACAAACCTCACTCTCAAAAGCAGCACACATTACTGTTAAAAAAAAAAAAGAAATTAAATCCTAAATAAATGGCACAGTTTTGTTTTGAAAGAGTGGAGGGGAGACTCACAGAAACAGCTTATCAGGCTTATATAGCTCAGAAAGCACTTATTTTCACAGGCCTATCTGCTCTTTTCCCCTCCACAGGGAAGACAGAATTGCTCTGATCCTTTCTGCTCACATGGCATCAGCGCTGCTGAGGGAACCTGTCTGTGGCAATGGGATGCTGAAGCTACTGCCACTTTCCTAAGCTGTTAGCCAGATGCTGACATGTGGCTGGTGGCAAAGCCAGCAGCACAGGCACAAGGAAAACCACAGCCAGTGCCTGGGGTAAGGCAGAGTTTTCCTCTCCAGAGGCTGCCTACCTCTGTTTTGAGTTTAAATGGCAACGGAGTCATGTCCATGCAGGATGCATGGAAGCACCTGCAGCATCTCAGAGCTTCCAACTGACAGCATGAACCTGGGAAGTGTCTGCAGGGAGACTTCCAGGAAGCCCAGCCCCTAATTACATGAGACCACTGTGACTTCAAACTAGAAAGAATAAAAAGAAAAAATGGAAAAAGAAAAAAGAAAAAGAGAAAAAGAAAAAAACAAAGAGAAACATCAAAGCCTTCCATAAACTCATGCTACACTGGAAAAGCCACAATTATGCCATTCTTAACTCTGAGGCTGTTTGGGAGGGAAATGATCAGGAGACTTGGAGAGGGTGCTCGAGTGGAAGAGGTTTATCTTGTTCCATTCAGAGGAAAGGAATACAGGCATAAAACTGTCTCTCACACTGGAGAAGCTGGAGTCTTGAGATTTTGCCTCCAAAGTCTTGGGGATGCAGGGAACTAAACTATTGAGATTACAGACAGATGTGGCTTCCTGACAGAGGCTATCCTCTTAAATGAGTGGATATTGTAGGATGTTTGTCCATGCTGGCATTAGCCCTGCACTAACTAGGTGCAAATGAGAAGAGAATCAGGATAAAAGTGTACTAGAAATATCACCACGTTATTTCAAGTTCTTCTTACTCCTCTAATTTACATTTCCCTGGATGTTTCACACTGTGCATTAGTGATTCACAATGATGTACATTTACACACAGCAGGAGAAAAATTAATGAATTCCATCACTTCCCTTATTTGTGAGACTCTGTGCTTGCGATGCAGCTCCCTCATTTTATTATGCCTTTTGATCTCCACAAAGTAATCTGTTTTGCCCTTGGCAGAATTGTGTAATTCTTGCTAATTTAATATAAATTACATTTATGCACTTTGGGCAGAATAAGCCTCATTATTTGTTATTTCTCACACACTCTCCTAAAACCAGGCCAAATTCTAGCTCCCTGTCCCCAGCAGAGGTGTGCACAGAGCATCCCCAGCAGTGCCAAATGCTGAGGGAGTGCATGGCACACACACAGGCAGCAACCAACCAAGGGGTTCGTGACAGCAAACTGGGAAGGAAGAGCCTCTGAGCCTTCCCTCCTGTGTGAGGTGTCACTGCATTGCACAGCCTGTGCTGGGCAGGAAATCGTGTAAATAAATAATTATGGCTTTTGTTAGGTAAGTCATGGTGCCATAGGCTCCGCTGGGAGCACTGTCATAAAAATAGTGGCAAATTCCTGTGGCTGTGTCTTTCTCCAGGATACTACCAGTAGCTCCAAATGATTTCTGTAAAGACACAAGCAAAGAAGTAGAGCAAGTTAGGCATGCATGCTTATTTATTCTAAAAAACCACACCACATTATTTTTTATTTGTGCTGAGCACTGAAAGCAACTCTCTTTCCCCTCATGAAAACCTCTATCAGGATTACTATAGGGCCCACATGACTTAGTTGGATCAGTGCAAGTAAATGAAGAACATATAACTTCATGGATTTTGTCCTTTGGAGGAAATGGGTGGGATTACTCAAACATTGGTAATAGTAATGCCTTGATAAAGCAAAACTTCAATCTACCCTTGTACTTCCGAGCTAGTTAGCCATTACAATTTTATTCCCTTTAAATCTCTCACGATTCTTACATTACTTTTCCCAGTTATATTTCCAGAAGATACTTAAGTGATTTGGTCTGTCTTTGACAAAGACAAAGGAGAAAGAGCCAGGACAAAATCAAGTTCATCACGCACATTAAAAAAGGATCAGGGGATAATTTTGAAAGGAGGAAGCTTCCCCTCGCTGCCCTTTGAGCTCACCAGCTCCTGCAGAAACAGGTCATTGGCCATGTGCACGATTCTGTCCACGTGGATGATGCCCCCGATGCTGTTCACCTCGATGTCAGAGAGGAACGTCAGGACAAGAATAGCTTCCACCAGGAGCTGCCTGTACTCGGGCTGGGGGACGTGGTTCAGCACCGACTCCACGTGCACTGCAAACTTGATTTCGCACGGGGTCATCTGGCAAGTTTGAGTGGAAATGGAAAGACAAACTGACAAATCCAAAAGACTAGCTCCTCACATCCTGCAAGCACTGAAACATATGCTCCTCTCCACACATGGGGGCAGACTGACTGAAGCGAACAAAATGTTTATGCAGCTTTAGCACTTACAGAAAGTTCTCGTGTTGCTAGACCTGATTCTGCAAACAGTTATACAACGTCCAGGAGCCTGCTCCAGCCCTGCAACCCATCACACACTCATCTCACTTACACACAGTGCTGCTGATGCTTAGCTGGCACATTAACTCTTTGCTCCTCAGGCTGTGGTCTTGCACGCTCTGCCTTGTACATACCTTTCTGGCATTGCAGGTGAGTTGCAAAGCCAAACTTGCTGCTGAGTTTTAAAAACAACCACCTGCTTAGAGGGGAGATTTTTAAATAACTCCTGAACTTTGCCATGCAGGAATATCACTATTCTATGTTTGGAGTGCAGCTTAATTTGCACTGGCATGGCTCTGTGGATGTTATGCTGCCTTAGGAAGTTTGTGCTTATTTTATTCAATTGCTTTAAACAGCAAAATTTTAGATACTGTCCAGGTCTGACAGGCTAAAAATAGAAGTCTATCTACACAATAGGGATAAATAAAGCTCTCCTTTCTGAAAAAAAAGCCACAAACCCCAACATTTAAATTTGACAGAAAATTCCAGCTCCTCTCTTCAGTTGTTATCACAGTTCCTCAGAAAAGAAGGAAGCCAGAGACAAATCTGAGGAAAACGGTCAGGAAAACAGTCTTGGGCACATAAGCACCACTCTTGCACTGATGGATTACTATTCACAAGAGTTTGTTTTATAGATGTGAATTCAAAATTTGCCAGAGCACCTAAAGACAGTATCCAGCTACAAAAAAAAGCAAGAAAATATAGATTTAAAAAGCCAAAGCTTTTCTTAGAAACAATCATTCTTAACTGTTATTTACTTTTGAGACTGTAAAGCCAAAATACAAAGCCTGCTGTTGCAACACATTAAAAACAGTAAGTGGCAAGCAATGTGTGTTCTTTATTCCAAGAAGTCTGTGCTGCTTCACCTTCCCCTCAAAGGGCTGCTCTCAGCCACCCTCTCTGGAGCCTCCCAGTGGGCACAGGGGGACAGTGAGGGTGTGCAGGGCAGGCTCAGCAAAGGGAAAACCTGTCACAAGCCTCCTCCCAGGCCTGCCTGGCAGGAATTCACCTGCACAGACCCAGCGAAGCTGGTGGAGGTGCTGGGTCCAGATGTTCTAAAAGTAAACCAAGAATCTGTAACAGAGGCCCTGCTATATCAAAACAGACATTCAGACATGTGGCTAGAAAATCATGGGCATTTTACTGTACCTCTCTGGTAGTTGAAGAAGGAAGGACATACCCATCAATGGACAGACCATGGCACTGAAACATTTCAAGAGTGAACAGAAATTACAGTTTTTGCAAGTCAGTCTGAGGGTTCTCTGTTCTAAGCCAGTATGTAACAACTTTCAGTTAGGAAAAAAAAAAGCAAAGCAAAAGCCCCCAAATGACACAAAAAGCCCGATTCAAAAACATTATTTTATCCTTCCTGAAGAAGTTATTATGTAACTGGCAAAGATTAGAAATAGCCTGACATGACACACCAGAGCATGCTGTGCTCCAACCCAGCTAACGAAGCACAGCACTTCAGGAGCCACTACAGCAAAAGCACACAGAAGAGGGAAACAAATTGATGGGAGCATTCTTCTGGAAGGGATTTGGAAATGTAAGATACCACAAAAGCAAGACAACAGACCACAAGAGAAGAATCTTTTTTCATTTTCACTAGAGCAAAATTTAGTTATGTGTTTCAGATCCAGGACACCACATCTGAGGATGTCAACCACTGGGGGAGAGAAATAACAAGTAGTATAAAGAAAACAGTGACAAAACCTAAATGGTGAAAAGGCAGGTTAAGGAGGGACACATCTGGGTACGTGAGGTATAGAAACACAGCAAAAAGAAGAGACAGATTTTATGAATAGTCCAAAGAGATTTTAAGAATGAAATACTGAAGACAAGCACAATTCATTTTAACAGCCAGAAAAACCATACAATTACTCCCAGCTATTATATTAGGTTAGAAGTGATGCTCACTCTACTGGAAGATCCTATTAGTAAATAGTCAAGAGGTAATATATGATTTGTCTTGGCTGACATCAACACTAACAGCTTCAGTGTAAGGGACTTTAGAAGGACAAACCAGCCTAAATTGGTGATGCACTCTTTTCCCAACTAAGCAAGCATGAACATCTCAGTGCTGCAAGGTGCCAAATGCTGGCTGGTATCCAGCAAAGCAGAAAAGCAGGTGCATAATCTTTTTGAAGTAAGTTAAAATTTGTAATTCCCCTCTCCTTCTTCCTGGAGAGTTGCTTTATTGTTTTACATTTCTATACCCCTGATATCCAAGGTGCTAGCAAGGACTTCCTTTTCACTTAAAACCAAACTAACAAACGAAAAAAGTTAAGAATGTCATACAGCTCAGAAGAGCCAGCAAGAGGTCTCAATACATTCTGGAAGAGTTAGAGCAGTTTCCTACTTCATTTCTCACAGCCTTTCTGACCTGGAGCACAGAACTGCATTGCACTGCAGTTTATGTGCACTGACAATGTGCACTAGGCCAAATGATGCACAACAGGCAGTGGTGGAACAGAATCATTCAGCCAAAATTCAGCATTGATGGTTTCAGAGAAAAATACTTTCAAAGAAACACATGAACTTGTGTTAATGGAGTCCTTTTATGTTGAAGAGACACCCTTCTACCAATGACTCTGGTTTCCACCTTTTAACCAACTTCCACTCCTGGCAAGATGCCACCCCTAGACCACCACCTCCCTGAGTTACAGCTCGCTTGCTTTCTTACCTTCTGAAGGATTTTCCACACTTTCTCATAAAAGCCAACAGGAACTCTGTTAATAGCACCATCAAGCCTCCTTCTGCGCAGCCACTGCCCTTTTCTGTCACCCCAGCTCATGTCTCCGCTGGAGCCAGTTGGAGAAATACTGGTGGGAGAGGATGGAGTACTGCTCCTCTGAAAGGACATTAAAGCTTTGGTTAGTTGCTTTCTACCACCCCAAGTGCCACTCCTAGCCAATACATTCCTGTTGTAATGCTACCTCAGAACCAGGGAAAAAATACAGGCCTTGGTATCATACAGGACAATGGGGTGGGACTGATCCTTCATCTCTCCCCTTTGCAAGAAGCTTAATTTCTCAAGTACTTCCATCATTCCTCAACAAAACAGGCAAGCACTTCAACATGGTGAACCCATCTGAACTTCACTGCTTGGTTTAATGTAACACCTGACTACTGTAACAAACACGAGCTGCTTCCAGGGCAGTGTCACTGGTGTGCAACATGGGGGGATCTGCAGGGAGGTTTGATTCACTTGGACATGGGGCTCGGTGTTGTAAAAGCATCAAGGGGTTCCTAAGTCCAGCAAGAGAGGCCTTCAGGCAAAAGCTCCATTAAAGTAAGTAGATTAAAAATTGACTTAATGAAGCCATGAAGTCATCATGCCTGCCTCTTTATAAGTATTAGTCTTGTTTCCTTTACTACCCTTTTTACTCTATTATTTCACTCTACCAGGTCTAGACACTAAATTAGGCAGCAAATAATTTTCAAAGTTGGGGCAATACCACCAAATTGCTGTTGTGATTTCCACACATACAGTCTGCCCATTCCTTGCCCTCTCAGAGACTGTGCTCTTCTGTGTTCTTGCCTTAGGTTTCAATACAAGATGTAACCAAAAGTATGTATTCTATTACCATCTGTTAAAACCAGGTGGGGCAGTGATCTTTATCTCTTCTATGACCCATCCCTCATAACTCTGGGGTATATTGTCTGTTAATGGGCCATCTATTAAAATCAGGGCAGTGTTCTATATCTCTTCCACAAGATCCTCCCTCCAGGAGGATATCTTCTGTTAATGGCCCATTGAGTCCCACTGCATGACTGATAAAATTACATCATGCCATTGGGAGATGCTCCACCCAGGGGGAGGAGCTACGCATTCCTATCTGGATATAATCCGAGATTTGGAACACCACAGGCAGCCTTTTTCCACTGGATTCCCAGAGGAAAACCAGACCCTTCTACATTACCCCTGAACCTCGGGTGTCAGGTTATATTCTGACTCTGCCAGTGTTTTTGTACTACTGCATTTTATTTTAATTTTTCTATTAAATTGTAGTTCTGACTTGGGATCTCCCACTGGTTTGCTTTCAAACCAGCACAGTTCTCCTTCCATTTTGATACCTGTTACTTTCAGCCCAGAAAGGACTTCACTGATAAATCCCCTTATCTCCAAGTAAGAAGCCACCTGTAATGGGGAAGGAGGAAAATGATGCCAACTGCATGTTTGGAAAGTGCAGGCTCATAGATTCTACATAGCCAAGCTCTGCAAAAAAAGTCCTCAGCAAACAGTAATTCTCCAGTGCTATTAGTGTCCATGAGGCACACCTGGTGTTCCTTTGATGTTCCAATGCTTGCTGTTCCTTTCCACTGCAAATTGACTGTGACAGACAGAACTTCCTGCTCTGTAGCTGTGTTTTTCAGGCATTTGGGAGGTGTGAGAGCTTAAGGAGAGTTAGAGTTCTCTGCAAGAAGATGACTTCTTGAAGAGATACCCATGCAACCCCTATCTCAGCATCTTGATTCTGAGTTCCTCACTATCTGGAGGCTGTCAGCATTTATCAACACTACATTACTTTTACATGCTGAAGACATCTGTAACAATCCACTATCAAGTAGCTAAATCTGCTATAGTACTTTATCTGCTACAATTGCTTAAGCTTCAGAACTACGTGGATCTAAATGTAAGACTCAACTTCTATTATAACATTATTAATGACAATAGGTTCCCAATGGAGACAAGACAAAGAGGTAGGGTTTGAAAACAAGGTTTTAGGCAGGAGAAGACAGAGGAGGGGTCTAGAGCCAAGACCCCTGCACACAAACATGCACAGGGTGAAGAGCAGGTGCAGAGCTACAGACAGTGTTTTACCGTGGAACCAAACATGCTGCTGGACATGGAGTGACCTTCATGAAAGAACTGCGAAACAAAACCAGACACCAATGTCAGACAGGCAAGGGAACAGAACACAGACAAGGTTAGGCAGCACATAGGTGCAAAGACAAGAAATACACAATAACCTCAGGTACTCAGGGAAAAATTGCAGCAATCCCTGGCCTCTTGCAGTGCTGCACTTCAGGTGATACCAGGGCAGCTGCTGCCCATTCTCAGGGTCACCATGAGGCAGAGCCCGCTGTGCCAGGAGCCTGTTTGGCAGCCCATGCCATCCATGGAGCTCCCAGCATGGCCAGCACAAACCACCAGTTTAAGATGCAAGCAAAAGCTTCCCTGTGACTTGGGGCCAAGGTAAAAACCAAACTGCCTACTTCCATTCCCCATTTGTTGCAATGCCACCAGCTTATCTTTGCCTGAGAAGGTCATCTTGCTGGAGAGACAGCAGGCTGCCAACCAGATGGGCAGCACTAAACAAAAAGGTGCAAGGCAAATTTTTTGCTGAAATGTGGATGCAGGACCTCACAGCCTTTAAGCACTTTTCTCTAAATAAACACCCCAAGCCATGCCTCCACATTCACTGTTAATGATTCTGAGTCAAGAAAGAACAGCCACAAAACAGGGAGCTGCAGTTGCTCAACACATCCAGAGATGTTAGTACAAGTACTTGAAATATTCCTAGTAACAACAAAGTGTATCCTGCAGCACCCCACCAACCACCTGCCAAAATGACATTAGCTGCTAGTCAACATTAGCTGCTAGGCAATAATTCAGAGAATGCAGTGAGATGTGGCAGGAAGCAGCAGGAAAGGCCAAGTGTATGTGTGGGGGGGAGGCACAAAAATAAGCCCAGCCAACTCCTCCTCTGTGCACAATACCAAGTTTTTGTGGAATGTGAAAGCAACAAAGGAACTATGTTTCTAATGTCAAGAGAGGTCTAAGTACTCCAACTCAGGCCCACCTCTGTGTTTCAAACAAAATAATGCTGCCATCTAGTGCCTTGTTCCTCCTCCTTCCTGGAAAGGCCCCGAATCCAGACACCCCCGTTTGACTGGGAGGCCAGCTCAGACTGACCTCCAAGGCCACCTCAGGGCCAGTGCAGCACAGCTGGCAGCACCTTCACAGCCTCCCCCTCATCCACGATGATGCTCTGGCAGTGACACAGCTCAAACACAGCAACCAGGTCTCACTAGAGACATCACAAGTTCCTCAGGGGTCTCTGCTTCCCTGCCTGACCATGGCCCATTAACTTCATTAACTGATCTTTACTGCCCCCAGCAAATGCTTCGTATTAAGACCATGTAAAAATGCCACTCCTTTCTGAAGGCTTATTCAATCTGTTTCATCAATCAAAGGAAAACATCAAATATTTCCTTATATGAGGCTGCTCAAAGCCCCATCCAATCTGACCTTACACATTTCCAGGGACAGGGCATCCACAACTTCATTGGGCAACCTGTTCCCTTCCTCTCCCTCTTCATCCTAAAAAAGTGTCCTTTGTATCTAATTTAAATCCACTCTTTCAGTTTAAAACTGTTGCTCAAAAGCATTTATTCATCTTTCCTTTAAGCCTCCTTTATATATTGCAAGGTTGCAATAAGGCCTCTTGGAGCCTTCTCTCTCTAGTTTGAATAACCCATGAGGAAAAATAGAACCATTCTTACAAATGTATTTTATTTGATCACTACCTTCCTATTTATTTAAAGTAAAAGAATATTACTAATAGAGACACAAAACAGAGAAATCAAACCACTCATAACAAAATTATCAGTCACATTAATTCAGAGTATATATATTTTCAGAGTTATGTTTTCTGTGATCTCTCCATGTACTAAGCTGAAGTAAAATTTAAAGTATTGAACTTGAACATATATATATAAATTCCAGCAGAAATCATCCTCCATTCCTGAAGAAACAGAACTGGAAGAAAACAAAACAAGATTCCTTATCCACATGGCATGGAATCTTTTCCAAAAGGCCTGTGGTCCAGTTTTGCAACCTGGGCCAAGTACAAGAATGAACACTGCATAAAAGCTTCTTTTTGTACATCTCACTTTTCTTTAGCACGATAGAAGAGCTGTTTTTTACAGTGGATGCCACGATTGCATTATAGTTTGTTCAAGTTCTTCTACATTCAGCATGTGAAACAAGAACAAAAGAGGAACAATATGTTTTGAGGAAACATCCCTTAACTGCCTTCTATTTAGTAACCAGTTTTAAAATCAAAGCAGCTTTGGAAATTTCTGTTATTTAGCAAGAATAAAATCTAACATAACACAGTTCCAGAAGAACCATACTTTCTGATGATCATTGACAGAAAACCCTCACCTGCTTCATCTCACTCTTCAATTTAGTAATACCACTTCTTTCTGTTTTGGTTGCTCCAGAATGCCCCATCTCATGAATAGAAATTGCAGGGCTGGATGAAGAAGAATCTACAGGTCGCACTAAAGAAGCAAATGGATATTTTTAACATTTTAGAGATAGAAAAATAGATTAAATTGCACCTAAGAAGTTAAACACAAATCATTTCAGAAATGAGCAATGCTCTTGGTGACAGTATCCTTTCTCAGAATCACATCAGGAGTTCAAACCTGATTGTATCAAATAAGGGGCCCAAATCCATTCTTGGATATCAGAAACTGATTTTCCAAGACAGTGAGCAATTGTAAATTTAGCCAGAAGTGCAACGGGTCTTTGAGGGTCTACAGAGAGCCCAGGAGACAGCTGATGTACCAGTCAGGAATATGTGGGCATCAAAGACATGCTTCTTGAAGGCAGCTTAGATATGACCTTTTAATGGCTTCAGCACAGGATAGCTTCCTGTGTTTTGTTCACTTCACAGCAGACATATATGCATGTATATATGACCTAAATATGTATAGGTCACCCATGATTAATACATTACCTATACCTTTATTTTACATGCAGAAAGAATAGATCCCTGCTTTTAAGACAATGTAACTTAATATATAAAAGTGAACAACTTACAGCTTCTTTCCACTCCAAACTCTTTCCCACTGAGAATATGATGTAGGAGACTTTTCATATCAAAGGGGCTTAGATTCATCAAGCTCTCTGAAGCTTCTTCACCTAGTTTAACAAAATAAAATAAAACAAAATTACAAATGTCACTGGGAAGAGAACAAGCTACAAAGCCAGCTAAGGAAACTGTGAGTGAAGTCAAATCATATTTAACTCTTTGGCTAGCCCTTCCTTTAAAAAAATTAATATGTTGTCACATTTCAAAGAAAATATATTTCAGGACTAAACAACAAACGCTCCATGGAAATAACATTTTTTGCATTAATCTTTACTTTGTCAAAACTTGTGCAAAATTTCACTGAAGCTCATGATGAGCAGTTGCTCCCTTATAGAACAAGATCACTTGGAAAGGTACCACAGCCATCTCCCAACAGCAGATGACATCTGGATCTAAATTCCAGAGACAGAGTTATTCCATAAAGAATATCCTCTGATATTTTTTGAATAACTGGGTGCTGGGGGGAGAGAAATCTTTCACTAAGTCAAAAAGAAGTGATCTTCAAGGTTTGTAACTGTACATATGAACTAAGAGGATTAAACACACTTAAAAGAAAAGATCAACCACAAAGGGTGAAGCAAAAATGATACCATAAGTACCCTTACAATAAAACTGCTTCCTACCTGAGCATTTCAGACTTCGTGCCAGCTCAGTGGCCATGACCTGGATTATCAGACCAATGCGGAGCCTGAGCATCTCCACAAAAAGACTGGGCTGTGACCGCACGTACATCGCCAAGTACATGATTATCTCCTGTAAGGACAAATCCATAAAGGCACCTGTCAGAGTGGGTCTTCTTGGCTTTCCCAGTCTCACAGCAAACACTGGCACAGCACTGGGCACAGTCCAAGAAGCCTTTCTGCCCAGGCTGCATACCTGTGTCAGGACTGCAATACTGATGTCTTGCCCACTGGCTTCATAAATGAGATCAGTGAGCTCCTCAGGTGGCAGTGGGCTGCAAGAAGACAAACCACAGGTAGCAGCTACTCAGCACAACCAGCTATTAAATTCTTGAACAAGCACTGGGATCAAATCACCCAGAACAAAGGTGCCTACAATTCTACCTGGGTGGCTGTAAATCCTTTTCAGGGCAAGGAGTGAGGTTTAAAAGAAGGTAATAGCAGCAGAATGGTACCAGCAGGAAGATGAAGGGCAGCCTGTGCCTGAGGCAGAGCTCCAACTTACGTGGTAATGATTTTCTCACGGGGTTCTGGTGGCAGGCCCACTGTAAGTTGCTTGTGGTGTGACAGAAGGTCTGTACATGCCTATCATAAGGGGACAAAAAGCAAGACATCTTTCTCTGAGTCATGTGGAAGTGATAGGGCTTTTAATTCACCAAATTAAATTAATTCAATTTCTTCAGCAATTTTAAAATGCATTTCTATTAATCACCAGACATGCAAATCCAGCAGAATGCTGTTAAATAGTTTCCAAAGATCTCCTGAGGTTAACAGGGCTATGAGAGTTTGCCCAGGCTGAATGTGGCCTGTTTCCCTGCTCAGTGAAATCAGCAGCATAACGATTAGATTAGGAACTCTAGGGGGGCTGACAGATCAATAAGGGCTTTCATCCTTTATCATATGATAAACTACTGTTCTTTATTTAAGACAACCATATTTTTAATCAATGAAAAGTTTGGCAGCATTAGTCAAAAAACACTGTGTACTAATGTATCTCCTAAAACAAACACCCAGCATACTGCATGACATTCCTGATTGATTCTGAAATAGGTACTTTTCCAGGTATCTCAGTGCTTACTCTTTTATGTTGACCTCCTTTAAAAGTGGGTGTTCAGTTTACTTGTTTTAGTGTCCTGAATCAAAAACATCACAGACCAGTGTTCCTCTGATTTTGAAATGTCTATTTTCACTGCCTTAATGTGGAAGAAAACAGATCATCTCTATTCTCCTCCTCTTCAATTCTTTGTTAACCTTCTCAAGTTAACATACATGGTTTTTTGTGAGCGTGTCTGTACTGCTCGTCCATTGTGTCTTGAGAAGGGAAAAAAGTTCTGTGCTTAATGAAACACCATGCACAATGATTATCACAAACTGCTCCCCACAGACAAGACTGTCACTAAATAAGGCACCCTAGATGTGATAGAGAGCCTTGAAAGTGGCCAGGAATTACAGAAAGAGCTCCTCAGAAATATGCAGGGGATTACTAGTAAATTAAACAAATACTTTTAGAATACTTTGTGTAATGATTGAAGTCATATCTGTACTCTTAACAGTGGATTTTTCTTGTTACCACTTAATAGTCATGGATATTTAAATGGTTCCAAACATCCATTCACAAGGCAGACTGTCCACCCAAGGGGACGGAAATGGGCAGAACATGCTTTCCTGTCACCACTAGCACCCTGACACAGCAGCGCTCCAAAAGTGTTCATACTATCACAACAGACAACAGCCAGCGACAACTGCAGATTTCAAAGCACACAATTAAGATCCTCTAATTAACAGGGATGAAATGAAGCCTTCACAACTATTTACAGTGTGACATTCTCAGTCTATGCCAACATTAGCAGTTTGCAGTACAGACAGATATAGAAAGATAAAGACGTAGTAAGACTCTAGATCAGGAAAACAACCAATATTTAATTAAATATGCTGGACTACTTATGTTGTGAAGTAAAACTAGAAGAAGGGCAAACACAAACCCCAACAGCAAACTGGTAGCTTTATCTCTGTTCCCAAGCAGGAAGCTGAACCAGGATTATCTATATTTCATACCTCAGCCAGGACTTCAACTCTCTTTTTGAGTATGCCAGAAATGTAACGGATTAAGCCCCATTCCTGATTGAGGCCTGCCTTTCTGTAGAGCTCATTGAGGAGGCAGTGAACAGTGACACCATACTGTCCATCCAGCTCTGTGTCCCAGTCAGCACCTCTGCCACAAAACAAACAGGAGGTAGTTGTCATCAGGCAAGAAGCTAAACTTTACCACGCAGCTGGATTTTGACTGCCTTGCTCACATTGGTGACAGAATTAAATACCAAATGGGACATCTGTGCCTTCACCACACATGCATTACATGTGGACAAAATCCTCTTGAGACGAGGAACTTTCGCATTAATTTGAACACTCCCTCAGCTGGGAGCCATTGACTTGAAAAGGAACCACCTGAAGGATTTCCCACTAGACTTTAAATTGAGCATTCACATGGATAGCTTGCTGGAGGAATACTCCATGTAGTGCTTTTTCAGACCAGAATTCAACAATATCTTCAGTACTGCTGAAGACTACACCATTTTTTCAGATTTTTCAGGGGAATTTTTTAGCCTTTCTTCTTTCTTAGCTATTAACTAAACTTCTGTGTTGCTTATGCTATTACTGAAAAAAGCAAAGGAGATTTCTGTTCCTCTCCTGGTTTTGAAATTCACTGCATTATGGCTTCTCTCTGGTAATGTTTCGAAGTGTCACAGAATAACTTTTCAACTCCTGCTGACAGCGTCCACCAGAGATCCATCTGCCTGCCCAACAGTTTCCCTTGGTGAAATTAGTGGTGTTAGATGCAGTTAAACAACAAAACATAATCTTTATAGGATTTCCTTCACTCTTTAAGAGAGGATGCTGAACATTTTGCTTGGGAAATCAAGATCAAAGAAGAGGTCCTCACAGGAGACAGACTAAAATAAACAAAAATCCAGTCTTTGTAGCAGTAGGAAAGACCAGACCATCTGTGATTAACACATACTTGTCTTTGCAACAAAAGCTAACCGCCTGACAGGTTCCAGCAGAATTCTGCTGCACAGGAAAAAAAAAGCTCAATAAACACACTTCAGAAGATGATTCTGTTGTTTGTATTTGCATTTTGTTCCCATCAAAACAATTTAAATAGCAGGTGTTTACTAACCTCAGCAGATGGGTCTAAGACTACTTCTAAGAATGTTTTAAAAAGTACCAAATTTTAGTCAGTTGTATACGTAAATATGCAAAGGGATTAGAGGAAAAATAGTGAACGCTCATTAAAATTGCATTTTGCCCTTAGAAAATGACAAGATGAATTTTCCCTCCACTTTCATTCTTGTGTATGAAAATCACACCAAATCTTTGTGAACTTTAAATGGAGTATCACAAATACAGGAGGGTGTGTGCTCATTCATGGAAAGGATTTGTGCATCTAATTTGTGAGCCCTGGAGATTTTATGTATTTGCAACTGTGAGCCAATCAACTCTAAAATTTGCACAAGTCTTCTTTTGTATCCAAATAATTCATGTAATCAAACTAACTGAAAATATACTTGTTAAAGCACAAAATATTTCCACTGTCCCCTCAAAACACAACCTGAACAGTGGAAATCTTTTGCACAAGAATAACCAGATACCTGTGACCAAACTTAAAGATGCAGAAGTTCATACTCAGGCAACTTACTTGAGTATATGCAAAATATACAAGATATCTGCTTGATCATGAAGTGTTGGACATTCCTTCAGTTGATCAACGAGCTTCCTGCAATCCAAATCACCATGAGCATCTTTAGGTAAGTGCAAAACATTTTCACAGTCCTGATAACAAAGATGGATAAAAAAATCAAAAGACATGACCTTGAAAAAAGTAGCAGATCTGTAACTTCCTGTAACTTCCTGTACCTTCCATCTCCCATTAAAAAAACACAATAGACTTGCAACGAAGCTCTGTACTTGAAATACAGACATATCACTTAGTTCTTGCCAGGGTACTGCAGGCACAGAAAGGAGACTAATCCTAAGAAACACAACCCCCAGAATGGAACCTTGTATCTTTTTTTTTTTTTTTTTTTTACAAAACAAATAAATGAAATAATCTGCAAGCAGAGAGATACTATCCTTTTTTTTAATTGAAATAATTCAGAGCTTTTTGAGTTCCATCTCTAACTTGGATACAAGTGGCACTTTATGAATGCAGATAGTGACATTATAAATTTTCCAAGTTTATGAAAGTAAAATGATAACTAATCAGATGATGTAATCCTACACTGAATTCTTGGATGAAAAGAAGTTTTGTTTAACAAGCTGTTCAGCAATTTATATAATCCTAAAATACCATTCCCACAAACAGAGCCTTGTGCAGAGCAGAATCCTTCAGGAGGCTGGATACAATCTCTTTTAGCCATTCTCAGCAGCTGGTCACAAATACCAAGACAAAACAAGTGTCCAGCACAACCCCATCTTCATGGCTTGAGGTGGGATTTGGCTGGTGCCTTAAGGACATTCACACATTCCCTCTTGCTCAGATGTTACTGTAAGCAGTATTTCTTGGAAGACATCTCTAAAGGCTGTGAACATCCTGTCCTTCCCCTTGTGTTCAGCTAGAACTAAAGACAATGACTTAACTTTTGGCTTTTAAAAATAAAGCAACTACTATGTTCTTTTGTGTTTTACACATGCAATTAAAAACTTTCCACTTGACAGTGCCTATTTGACTAAAAAAACCTTCATCCAGCCAAAAAAATAATTTTGAAAACAAGGGAGAGCCTTGGAAGTCTGTGAAGAAAAAATGACACCTGGTGTAGGGTTTGGAAGGAAAACACAAGGAAAGGCATTGCATCCTAAAACCACAAACAGCATAAAAATTCCCACACCTTACCTTTGTCTCAAAGAAACGAGGATTATCAACAAGATTCAGAGACTTTCGGTGTGTGTTCAGAACTTTAGTGGGAAGAGACATAGACACGGCTGGAAAGCAAAGCCACCAGAACAGAAAGAAAAAAAAGTCATTTCAGTAACATGAATATCAGAAACACCTACATAAAGCAGCTTGACTAGGTTAAAAAAACCAGAAATATCTCCAAGAGTTAAAATATAGAGGCAGTGTTTCTGAGACACTGTGCATGGAACTCTGAAACCAGCTCATGTTCTGAACCTTATCTCCCTGCAGGTTTGCTCTGGGAGTTTCTGAGATCAACATGCCAAAGGCTCAGGGGCTACATGCTCAGCTGATCCCTCTTATTTGGCCCGTGACTCTGAAATCCTGCAGCCCAACGACCTGACCCTGCCACGTGTTTTGAACATTTCAGCAGGAAATGAGTGGAGAAAATGGCCTAACTGTAAGACTTCATAACTAAAATTATAATGCTAAAGGCAGGTTAATGCTCTGTTAACTTCATATGTTGAATTCAATGGAAGATCAGATGACATGGCACATGAAAGATAGCAGAAAAGACTAACAAAAAAGTTTGGAAGTTATTAATTTACACTGAAGTTAAGGGAAGTCTTCCATTGACCAGGGCATTGAATACTACATATCTACATATAAAACACTGCATGTGTTGGAATCGATTTACAAATTCAGCTAAGTCTTATTTTGGTGTATATCCTCCAATCAGGCTAGCAGAAATGATTAGAAAGATGGTGTTCCCTCTTTACTTCATTTGTTCTTAGAAATTTAGAAAGTACATGCGAATATCTACGTTTTTCTTGCATTGAAACATTTCATTCCACAGCAACTTTATTAAAATTAAAAACTACATTTTGTCTGCCTTTATACAAGCAAAGACAAAACAATTAATTAACTGATTTGGGTTCTAAAATCCTATCCAACTAAGAAGCTGTAGCAGCTTCCATAACACTAAGTTTGACTAAATGTTACATTTCATTGCAGGCTTTCTGTGTAAACACCATGACACAGGATACTGTGGGAACATGACAGCAACAGCTTCAGTCATTCTTACTTTAGGAATTTCTTGTTTCTTCTCTATACAGAAAGAACTAGTGGCACAAGTATGTCAAAAGGTATAATTCTTAAATACTTGAACGTAAGCTGTAGCAGCCAAACCAGATTTTTAAATTATTATCACTAAATAAACAATAGGGAGAAATACCTGGAACTTCTAAGCCCTTTGTCTTGGCCATTATTGACAGTATCTCTTCTGTGGAATGGTTTGCACTGAACACAGGTGGTTGACTCATTTTGTTTGAAGTTGGAGGCAGGTATGACTTCAGTGCTGTGCTCTGCAGGACATCATTTATATACTGATCCAGCTCATCCTGGCTATCTAGTGTAACATACATTAAAAAAAACCAGGTTTCTTAAAGGTAAAAATCATTATGTATCATCATCACTTTCTTATTCAAACACACCACTATATTCTTGCTTATTTATAAGGGCACTCGAATATGCAAAACTAGTGTAAGTAAAAGATTTTTAAGCCAAATAAATTGGAAACAAAAGAAAAAAAATCATTTTTTGACACTGAAAACGGATTTAGAAGCTAGCTTTGTCTTTGAAAGGAATCAAAAGGGGTTTTATTTGGCTGGTACATCATAGAAAACAGTTTGACCTGATGATTGTATAAATCTCTTCCAACTTGTATGATTCTAAGACTCTATTATCTCTTCCACACAAGCTCTTGTCCATGACTCTTCATAGTCCACTTCCCTCTAACCTCTTCCACACCTCCCTACCTGCTCACTCTCCAGACTCAGCTTTGCTGTAGCAGTTGCCAGTCAATGCCATACTACAAATGCAGGAAGAACACACACGACTTCATTCTCCAAACTGAGTCATGCAGATCCTGTCCTCAGGTGGATGCAAGAGAAAACCAAATGACCATCATCTGTGCATAGAACAGGCTCTGCACTGTAGGCAAACCCAGGCTCTGCTGATAGAACTTGGCAGAGAAAAAAACACCAAGTGAAAAAACACTACTACCTTTTTCACAGAAATCTGCTGGGTAGTCTCCATATTCACTGTCAGGACTATGACAGTCGTCATTACGGTCATCAAACAGTTTCAGGTCACAGTCTGGATCTAGGAAGCTCAGATATGTGTGAAAAGAGGTGGTAAGAAATTCTGATAGCTTGCCTATCTTCACCCTGCAAAAGGGGACACATGCCAAAGAGCATTAATATCCATCATTCTGATACTGATTAATGCTCACTTAGCTCTTAACAACTCCTCCAAAATTTATGAAACCTACTGTTCAATCCACCTTTGGCAACTATAAAGCCACAGAAACTGACACGGAAAAATAAAAAAAAAGGAAAACAACATTTGCAGATCCAGCTGGGTACTTACTGCTCTAGGTATTAATAGATTTTAACTGTGTCATGGTAAGTGGCCTAACTCAAAGCCTAATTATGCAGAGTGTTGCATGTTTGTATGAAGAGATACCCTGAACAAAGACCTGAGCTCCAAGGATAATGCATAAGAAACTGGGGCTGAGAAGGCCTCATGAATGGCAGTGTCTTTTCAAAGAACTGGAGGCTGCTAAACCATCTGTGCTGCATTTAGGGATAGGAGTTAATGATGGGACTATGCTTTGGATTTGTGCTGGAAACAGTGCTGACAACACAGGAATGTATTAGTTATTGCCAAGCAGGGCTTACAAAGCATTTCAGCCTTTTCTGCTTCTCACCTCACCCCACCAGCACAGACTGGGGATGCACAAGGAACTGGGAGGGGACACAGCCAGACAGCTGACCCCTGCTAACCACAGGGACATTCCATACCATAGGGTGTCATACTCAGCATATAAAGTTGGAGGAAGAAGGATGAAGGGGAGGATGTTCAGGGGTACAGGGGTTTGTCTTCCCAAGCCACAGTTACATTTGACGGAATCCAGCTTTCCTGAAGATGGCTGAACTGCCTGCCCATGGAAAATGGTGAATGAATTTCCCATTTTGCTTTGCCTGCATGTGTAGCTTTTGCTCTATTTACTAAACTCTCTTTATCACAACCCACGAGTTTTCTCACTTGTATTCTTCCAGTTCTCTCCCCAGTCCCATTAAGGGGAGGGTGGGTGAGTGGCCATGTGGGGCTGAGTTGTTGACTGGTTTTAAACCATGACAATATCTGATTGTCAAAGGAAGATAGTGATTGAGAGGGCAAATAGAAGAAGAATAGGGAGGTACTGTGGCATCATATTTTACACGTGGATGAATGGAACACACCAGCTTACAAGTACTATATGCAATCAATGTTTAAATCATGTCCAGTAACTGTGAAAGTAATTTACCTTTTAATAACAGAAGCCCAGCCAGAGTCAAGATTTCATATTTCCAAAGATTTTATGTTTGTTTTCTTTATCTATTAATGGCAGAGATCGTACACTTTTTGGGAGACAGATTTTTTCCATTGCACCTGAGGTCCAGCTACAATTTGACTGCCACTAACAATTAAAGCTTCAACTTCCTTCTCTGCAGAATTCTAGTACAAAGTCTGCACACTATCACAAGTTCAAAACCAAGACTTTTACAGGATTAAATCTTAAAAATCATTGAGACAATAATTTGGAGATTCTGACATTACCTTGCACCTCCAAAATAACCATCTTCTAATTTTCTTATTGTGGCAAGAACTGCTGGATGAATGTCAGTACCATCATCAACTAAAAAAGAATAATGGAAGAACTGAAGCTCACCCACACATTCTTAAATTATCACATCAGTGAACAGTGAATTACTGGGTGTTGTATACAATGTAAATCAGGCAAATTTAAAGCAGAATCCACAACTGCTATCAATATTAGCTTATTCAGAATCCCAGACAAACAAGCAAACAAAACACCACCCTTAGACAAGTTCCAAAGACAAACACCAACCTGCTCAAGACAAGTCCCAAAAGGATTTCTGTGAAATTACTTTCAACAGAAATAGCATGGAGATGATGGGGTGATGGAAGCATATGAAGATGGAGTAAAACCAAAATTAAATATGACCATGTCATCCAAATTCAGCATACAGATGAGAAAATTAAACTATACTTCTGATGTTACAAGTCCTGCTACCTGTCTCCTCTCAAACCAACATCCATCCTATTCTCCTTCAGTAATCTACTCTGCTTGAAACAGAGAAAATTAAGTTTACCAAGCATGGTGTGGGTGATGGGAAATGTCAAGGTTGGTCTTCCTGTCATCCTCCAGCAAGAAGTGAGGTAAGCCAGCTCTGTCTTGAGCATCTCCACAATCATCTGATTGTCTAGAGCCAGATAGAAGTGGTGCTGGTCAGTAAACTAGAGAAGAGAAAAATACAACATAGGGTTAGTTGTCAGTGCTTTCCTTATTTTTTTCTATTTCTTTCCTTAAATCATTCACAAAAGCCGTGAGCTACTCCTGATCACAACACAAATTACCTGAATTAACCAAAAAGGCCTCAGACAGTGAAAGAGAAATCCATGCTTGTGCAAGAGTCCATTTTCTTATGCCTGTAGACTGACCATCAAAGTAAGCCATGCAAACAAGACCTAGGCAATCACAGCCATGAAGCAGAATCTTCCTAATGACCAATTACACTGACCTATGATCTGGAATATGGAAGTACTCTGAATGTGGAAAAAAAGCTAATAATAGTAACAAAAGCAATAAACAGGCTCAAGTGCACACTTGGGACTGGGAGCCAGTAACTGTATGTCTCTTGGGAACCATCCTAAAGTCAAGCAGAATACAGAAAAGCTGGCAGTTACTGAGCAAAAAAGGTACATGAAATGTGCAATGGCAAAGTGCTGCTCCCACTGCAGCAGGAAGCCAAGAACCACAGTAAGAGACTATTATGGCTACTTAAAGAGCTGGAACAAAAGAAGCTGGACAAATAATGTAAAGTGTCAAAGCAGCCATAACCAAAGTTAAGGAAGCTCATAAGCCTTGGGGAGGGGTAAGTGCATAAAGAACATGGAAGTTCAAGCTGTCAAAGTCCAGAGAAATTTCTTCATAGAAGGAATCAGGAACTAGCTAAAACAATCCTTGAGCCACTCGCAATTAGCTTTGGTAAATTAGGAAGAACAGGTCCCAGAAATCCAGAGACAAGGAAACACACTGCCTGTTTTTAAAAAGGAAGAGCCATTTAAAAACTCAGGCCAATTTCAGTGTGTGAAAGCAAAGGAAAACAAAGCAAATTTGAGACAGCCAAGATAATTACAAAATTATAAAGTAAGATGGTCAAAAATCAAGCTCAACAGATTAGCTGAAGCAGAACTACTTTAAAAATGGTTCTCAAAAGGTAGTTATTAATAAATTATTCAGAATTACTATATCTGAATTAAGTCAGCCTTTGCCCCACACCTAATCAATGTTCTCACTAGAAAAGAGAATGAAATACAAATGACAAAATCACAAAATTTGTGGACACTCATCAAGATCAACAAGATGATTTAACTGCTAACCTTAGGAAGGTGACATTAAACATTAACTCCATCTACCTAAAAAAAAAAAAAAAGTCAGGGGAAGTGTCTGGCTTCAAAGTACAATGGAAAATGTTATGGATGTTTTAGTAAAACATAAGCAGGAACTGTCATTGTGTTGCTAACATAAAGATAAATGCCATTTTGGAATATCCTAGTAAGTATGTCCTTATTTGATACATGACAAGATTTTAGTGGGAATATTGGGTCCTACTTACATAGTAAGATGTGAACTAAGAGGTATTTTGAAAAAAAAAAATCACATCTCTAAGAAATGTTTCCCTTATTTGCAAAAGTGAAAATTGGTACAGTGAAGTATCATAACAACCAACATTTTATAAAACTGCTTGTGATCAACTGTTCACAAGCAGGGGAAGAATGAGAAAGGATCTACATTTTTTGCAGTAAATCTGATTTATTTGGACATTATGAAGCAGTACAGAAGCCTTCTATGAAGTCCACTGAATGCCTTCAGCTGGAGTTTAAAGACTTCATTAGTCAAACATGTGTTTAGAAGGGTGGATGCATTCTTTATCCTGCATCAGTTATACATGCCTGGAGTAAGTGACTCCCTGGCCATCTAGTACCAACTGCTGGAATAATTCTATTGAAATAAGTGTGTTGCATTTCATTAAATGTATAAATAGAAGCCATTGATTACAGAAGGATCCAAACTTCCAGCAACATTGAAAAAACACACTAAAGAGAAAAAAAAGACAGAATATCCATTTCTCAGCACTACTGACCCTTTCAACAATATAACAAAAAGATCACACCTTCACCTCCTAGGGGTTACAGTATTTGGCACACTTAAGTGGTACTAAATTTTTCATCAAACCAATTGGTAGAAAGATATATTAAGTGATCTGTTTCTGCAGAAACTATTTAATCAATTAGAATGTTGGTGCAGGCAGAGATCAGTAACAACTTTGTATTGATTTGCTGTGTTCTAAGCCAAAAGCCAAAGAAACCAGAGTCTGTATAATGGAAAAGAGATTTATCAGTTCTACCATGCTGATCATCCCATGCTCTTAAAAACCCTACAAAGTAAAGCACATGTGCTGTGTCAGCCCTGTTCTACCTGAGGTACAATGAGAGCAGGGAAAAGCATAGTGCTTCACTAATGATTCACCATTAAGAAAGGAGTGATTTTCCTGACAGCTTTACATGCTTACCTGAGGGGTAAAAGCAAATATTTGATTTCTTATCACGTAGAGCTTGGAGGTGCCCAACACTCCGATGTGTCGGTGTGGTCGGCCACTTAATTTCATGCTCTTGTTCCGGCCTGGAAAGGAAAGAGAAAGAAAAGAATCTCAGCTAAAATCATCTGTGTCGATTTTCAAAATAACCACTTTTGACAGGAAAATTTACTCCACTAATACCAGTCAGGCAGAAAACAAGTAACAGAATGCAAGGCTACAAACTGGTTTTGTAGCAAGCAGGGATATAACAGTCAAAGTCCTTCAAAGGCCTAATTAAAAATTTAAATTTTGGTTTGACTGACCATGGATTTGATTTTATAATAACAGTAATTGTTCATCACCCAAAGCTTCCCCACAAAAAAGGGCAGGCGAGGTGATATTACAAAAGTAAGGCCATCAACATAACCCAGGAATTCCAGTGTTTTCAAATACAGGACCCTAAAAACTCATGCTTTCAGGCTAAATCAACGCACAAAGTACATCCAAATACAATAAACAGATTTTCATCAGGCTTTAGTAAGCTTCATTTTTCTCAGTAGAGCTTATTAGCAAATGATCCACACCACAACCTTTGCACCAGCAGCCAGGAGCTGACTTGAATCTTTCTCACAAGGAATAAGAACCAAACAACCATGTGTATTAAAAAATACTACTGTGAACATCCCCAAAGAAATCACTGTTAAAAGCAATGTATCAAATCATACTACTCCCACCCCCCGCCCAGTGAAAGAAAGCTATTATGAATTATAATAAAATAAATGTAAGCCTCAGCAAAGCCCTGCAAATGTTTCATTTTTGAAAGAACTTTGAGATGAAGAGCGACATTCTTTTGCAGAAGGAACATATACCATTTCTCGTGTAAAAGGCATACTTTCTAAAATTTAACTGAAGGCCCCATTACTTTGAATGATTCCAAAAAAAGCTCCCTGTTAAAACAAAGAAACAAACTTTACAGACAAAAACTACCACAACAAAAAATGTTCACCCCATGAACAGCCTCAGCATTATCTGTAAGCAAATTGCCATGGGAACATGCTCCAGACTAAGGGAAGCAGGATACAGCTCCCCTTGTCCACACAGCAAAGGAATCTACCAGTGCTGAGTCACCCCACTTCAATTTTACTTTATAGCAGCATCCACAATTTTGTGTCAAGAGTTGCTGGCATGCCTGAAGAAGTAAAACTAAGTTAAATCAGGAATACACGTAACAAACTTTCCACCAAGACCCAAATAATTCCAGCAAGGATTATCAAGAACCAGTTATGAAAAGACTTAACAACTAGAACCAGTCAGAGCTTTGGGGCATTTATTTAAGTCACTTCAGGCTCTGAGGAAAACAGGATTTGAGTGCCTCTGCTGAGGAACTGGAATGTATGTAAAGTCCTGTGTTTAGAAAAGCCCCAAAGGCTTCTGAGTTTGCAACAGCGACAGAGAGCTTCAGCAGCTTATCTCAGCTGTGGGTAGGAAGGAACTTCAGCAAGAACCTGACAGCCCAGAGATGCTCTGATAGCAGCACAGCTTCCTTGATTTGGAGCAGAAAACTTCTCAGACTGCCTGCCGGGAAGATAAAAATCATAGTGCCCAGTTTCCAGACTCCAATGACTTCTCAAAGGAAAAATATTTGATTTTTTGTTCTGTGGTTTTCCAGGCATTTTTTCAAAAACCAGTTTCTCTGTGGAAGTAGTTTCTGGAGGACAAAAGAAGAGTCAGTTTTTGTCTAACTCCAAAAGCACAGGGAAACTTGTATTCTTGCCACCCTTTCTAACACGGTAATTTTTCCCCATTTTGAGTCCCTTATTTAAGACAGAAGTTCTAAGTTGGTTAAGCTTCTTAAAAAAATATCTTGCCTGGCAGTAGAGAGGCTTCCATGTCAAAATACTTACCCAGCATGGTGTAGAGGTTGCTGAGGATGCGAGCTGGCTGCACTCTGAGTGGATGGATATCAGCAATACTCTGAACATTGATTCCACGGTTTTGCAAGAGATTCTTAATTTGATTAGATTCTGCCAAAACAGTTACTGTATAATAGAAAACAAAAACACAAGTAAACCCCAATGTTCTCTTTTTAACTGACTGTTTCTACTGTCACCTCTCAACAAATGCATTTAGTTAACTAAAAAGGCACAAAGGCCTCACTTTTTTCCTAATTTATGGATTCATGAAATCAAAAGGGATTGCAATCGGGCACAGACAGATTTTAATTCTCTGTTTCTCAGTATTTCTTGCCATTCCTGTCCACTATGGACAATAGTGGTGATCAGAAGGGTCAGAAGAGTCCTCTGAGGTCTCTACTGGAACTTCCTGCTGAAAGCAGGGTCAGAGCTGCTGAGGTTAAAGTAGGTTCTTGGGGACTTAATCAGTCACTTCTGATTTCTTTGAGTACCACTAGTTTGGATCACACAGTCGTTTTTAGCAGAGTCTTTTTGGGCTTTCTCCCCATAGAACAAAGCGAAACATGACTGGAAAATCTTTGTTATTTTAACATAGCACATTACAATAATGCAGCCAAGTCACTGGGGAACAGATGCTGTCACTTGAAGAGCAATAAATGTTTCAGAGGACACAAAATGGCAGAGGTAGGGAGAAAAAAAAAATCCCTAATGAGAGGAATTTACAATCCAGGTCCAGAACCCATCTCTTGTCCCACTTGAGGTTTTGCCCATGATAAGTGGCTTGTTGATTTGGGACTAATAATGCAGTATTGTTCTTTGTATTGTGAATACTTGCCAAAGAATGCTAAAAATAAGCAAACATGTCTATTTCTATTGGCAATGAAGCATTTCAGAATAATGAAATGCTACTCCCATGAGGCACCAATGGTAAACAAGCACCAGCTCAGGTCACAGGATCCTTTACAAAGGCTGCTCCTGATAAATGAGCTGGTTGCTCTTTCAGAGCAGTCCAGGCCCTGAAAAAGTCTTTAAGACCTGATCTGCTGGTGTTTGCTCTCTACTTCATTTCTGGTTTTGGCTGTCCTTGCACAAACTACAGAGGCTACTCCCTGCAGCAGCCAAAAGCTGGTAACTCTGTGTGCCTCACCTCTGTGTACAGGGATCCTCAGCACTCAGTGTGCTCTGGTTCCTCTGAAAAGGAGCTACATGAAACCTGATTAACCTGATCCATCTCCTCTCAGTCCTGCTTCTTCTTTCTAGAAGCTGCGAAGATTTTCCTTTCCACAACAAGATTAAGTTTGCCACTCTCCAGTTCCAGACAAGTCTTAAAATTTTAACAAATTAACATAATGTTATAATGTCATAAACCTGATGTTCCCTCCTGGGAAAAGGCAGCTAAGTAAACTAAATCTTTCCCCTTCTCACGGTGTCATCAAAGCATCCATGTCGCATGCAAAAAAAATCCACATTATTTTTAAACACATCTTTCATCTCTCCTGTGCACAGGGACTTTGCCACCACATGATTCAATTCACACGCAATGTTCACAGAATTCCCTCACCTTGTACCACAACATCAGGTTTAAATCCAGTGGAAAATCTCCTGTTTAAGGGATCGATTTCACCTGCAGCAAGAAATCCCTAAAACAAATGCAAAAGAAAGAAAAAAGTAAGGAAACAAACAATTTAAGCAAAAGGCTTCTGACATCTAGAATAAATCCTAACCAATTTTCATATTTTTCAGGACAGCAGGATTTAAAAGCCTGGTCTGTCTACCCTGTCCACTAAGAAGTACATTCAATAAAAACAATGGCTGCAATATTTTTTGGAACAACAAGAAAATGGTTCTGACTGACACAATCTGTATTCAGAATTCCTATTTCAGAGTTACAGCAGCTGACATAATTTCACCAGAAAAGTGCTTTTTTTTGTAGCTCCACAGAGATATTTGTGCTTCTTATAACTAGTCTGACTTTATTGTGTCTGACTAGTAGATACATCATGCCACAGAGCAAGGAATAGCCTAGTAAAGCTGAAATGGCCCAAAATCCTGGCTCTGGAGCAGCCAAGTCAGCCTGGGCATACACCTCTATTCTAACCATATATCCAGACCATGTGACAACTTACTCAGCTTGATTAGAAACAGACAATTGTATAGCTATATTAAAAAGCAAAAATAAATGTCCTGAAATCTCAGAGTCAGCCTTTCATCGTTCATGTACATGTTTCTACTGGAAAATCCACTGTCCCCTACCTGTTAACCAAACTGTACTTAAAGCCCAAGCCATCTCTAACAAAATGAAATATAAATTTATCTACTATGGAAGAAATAACTACCTCTGCTAACAGGCAGCTCAGGACATACAATGACTGGCCCCAAAGATGTGGCAACTTTCCCACTGGGACACGATCCACTGAGTGAGGATTTTCATACTCCTCATCCACCTGAAGACAAATACACAAGCAAAAAGAATTACCCTAAAGTTGTGAAGAACAATCAATAACATGTGAGAATTTGCAGACAGACAGTCTAACATCAACCTTCTCAAGCTTGCTCATACTACTGAGGCAGACGTTGTGGTTTCACTTTTAAGGCTACACATTTTCTGAGACAAAAACTATACTACCTTTTTGCACCTTTTCCCACCCTTTAAAGCTGGAGGATGAATAGGGAGTCCACATGCAATTACAGCTTTGGAATTAGCTCTTCCACTTTCCTCTCACCATGCCTTTGCTGCCTTCCCTCTTGGCTGCTCATAGGTAACTGGGTGTTTGTTTTCCAACCCCTTCCAAGATAATACTTCAACTTCACTGATGTCTACCCAACTTTCTGAAGCAAAGGTGCTTTCCAATATTAACATCATTCCACCTTTTCTGCATTAACAAGGATAGTCAATAGAAAAATTAAGGGTAGAATTCAGAAATTCTGAAAATTCAGAAAACCTGCCTTAGTTTTGCAGTATACAGATCTATTGAGGACAGGGCAAAAACCCTCCCAGGGTTTTTACATCTTCAGGCAGCTATTTCATATTTCTTTTACAGACAGACAGAATCTACTCTATTTATGTAGCATGTTTTTCAGATCATTATCATCATATCAAAATTCACAAGAAGGCTCTGGACTCTTACACGCTTGTTCCCACTAGGAAGGCAATTCAGTTTCCACCTCAGATCTGCGAGCAAGGCATCAGCTGTCGGCTGAGCAACTCAGACCAACCCAGGAGGCTCCACACCCTTAGTGAGTGAGGGCTGAGAAGTCTGGAGTGGGAGAAGAAGTTGGCAGGGAGGGATACAAAGGCAAATAGCATGGAAGAGCACATAAGCTCGTCTGAATTTCTCTGTCACAATGGGAGAATGAGATAAACAGTAACAGCAAAGGTGGCGGACAAGAAAATACCCAAAACAAACCAAACAAAAACTCCAGATTAAATCCTAATCCTTTTGAAACCTGTCTCCCATACATGCTCTGGAAAAGGGCAGCACAATCAATCAATACTAGACAGGCAGGACAATCTGTGCTTTATTTCTTCTTTGAGCATCAGTTCCTAAGTCAGTATCAACACTTCTTAAATATATGTCTTGCTCTAAGGATGTAAAATTTTAGACCTGCTGTAATATTTCCACAGACACTCAAATCTGCAAGTGAAAAATGTGACCATTTGGAACCCTAAAGTTTATAATTTCTCAGCAGGAGCTGTGAGAGGTCTCTTTCTAGAAAAGTGTGCAATGGTGCTTTTTATTGTTGGTTTAGATTCATCAGACACAAGAAAACTATAAGACTGACATTCCTCTGCTCTCTCTACTTCGCATTCAGAAGTGGATGCTGCATTTTCACAATACCTTTTCTGGAGGGACTGCATACAGCTCAGGCATTAGCACTAATCCATTCTTCTCTCTAATAAGTATTCCTTCCAGAGCCTCTCTGTACTCTTGTACCTGGAATTATTTTTAAAAGAGAGTGAGAATTCACATTACAGTCCACAGAACTGAAACAATAAAGTATTTTTGAACAGTACTTTTTTACTGCAAGTTCATATAATTAAGAAAGAAAAAAAAAGGGGTGGAGGAATCATAACTTGCTGATGATGGAAGAACAGGGCTCAAATTATCAGACTGTTCCAGCATTTCAATGTTATGAGAAATATGGAACACTTGTCTTTAATCTTAACACACTGCTGCAGTACAAAACTTCCAATATATTCCTATTGAGAAGTCACTGGAACAGATCCTGCATGGAATTTTCAATGGATGACAGTGCAGTGACACAGAAATCAGACTGCCAGTATCTGTCAGAGTGTAAGGAGTATAAATTATTAGCTGTATGCCATGAACATTTGCCTATGGCTTACTGAATCCTGTTTTCTAGGATTGGGAAATCAGTTCCTCTTAACTGATTTGATTAAAATTTTGTCACAAGAAAAAGTTAAAATAGAGCTTAAGATATGTTTAAAAATATCTAAGTTCACTGAACAGCAAATCATCTTGCTCTTGTGGTATTAGACAACATATTAGGAATAGCAGACTGTTAAGAACATGTAATACTTTTTTTTTACCAGATTCCTTAGCTTGTTCCATTTATTAACTATCTATTCCAAGTTTTTACTTCAAGGGAAACTTTCCAAGCACTACCAGCACCTGCCTTAGAAATCCTTTTTCTGCTATTCCTGAGTACAGTGGATCACTCAAAGTAAGGTACCCAGGTTCACATACACTGACATTTTCAGTATCCTATCCCACTCCACTTTTTTTGAGTCCTCAGGATGCTTATTTTTCTAGCGAAACCATTTTGTTGCAGCAGTAATTGGGGACTAGACACTCACCTGAGTGTCTCAGTGACTCATTCAGCTATGTTTAAACAGTGGAAACTTCAATTGCCCTGACCATGCCCTAGAAAAGTCCATCTGCACACCAAAAAAAACAACGAGGTACATACTGTCCCAGATAATCCAACTAAGATCTAGAGACCACTTCAGGAAGTGGTATTTTGTTGGCAATATTTAAGTTTCAGTAAACTTTCTGATTTTCCCCCTCACAAAATAATGCCATTTCTCTCTTCACCAGACTACTTTTACTGCGTTCATTTTATGTGTCTAGTGTTAGGAGGAATTTCACTTGATTTGCAATATCTGATACAGACAGAGGGCTCTTTGGTCTGAAACTCTCTGAATTTTTTCAGATAACATTTCAAATTTTAAAGCAGTTTAGCAATCTCCCATCCCTTTGCATACTAGGCAATTTTAAATCACATATAGTCTTAATTTCTTTCAAGCTACCAATCTGCAGAAGTTCTGGTATGAATGCATTTAGTCCTGGCTACTTGCTGCTCTTTAACTCACCAATACTCCCCAGGTGCCACCATAACCTCTAGAGGGCTACATCAATTTAGTTCCACTGACCACAGTAACAGCACGAAGTGACTTAGGGAATTAGTGAAAATGAAATTGTCCCACATAAGCCAATACCAAATCTCTCTGAATGTACAAAAAGACTTAAATTACTATGAATCTTGTTCTCAGCAGCCAAGCCAGAGAGGTTGGGGAAAAAGAAGCTTGTCTCATCCTGAAGTAATTGTGAATGGGGCATCAAAGTTGGTGATAAGACAAAACCAGGCAAATAAACCCTCTTCAGCCCAGTTTCACCACCCCAGCCAACAGAGCCACTCAACCTGGTAGGCAGAAGGCAACCAGGCCCCAGTGTGCACAGCCCTGCTGCCTCTCTACCACATCATGAACTCCCCAGGAAGGTGAAATTGGCTGAAGACTATTTCACTCTGCTAATAGGGTGGAATATCCAAATAATACCCCAAACAAACACGGAACAAAGTTACAAAATACTGTGGGTAAATGGTTATGCAATTTGAAAGCAATTTCTTCTTTCCTCACCTGAATTTTGTCCTCATTAAATATTCCATCAATTAGGAAGTATGTCCAGAATACTGGCCACTCACATTCAATATTCTCAAAGAGCTTGAGCTCAGCAGGATCATAGTGCAGCCTGCTTGGATCCTAAAAAATTCAACCACGCTCATTTAGTCACAGTAAATAAGTCACTTATATTCCAATCATAATGGTAGTCTATTTTATACAAATTAAAGCATAGAAACAAATGAATCCACCAGAAATAGCTTCCATGCAGTCTCTTGACTTTGTCACTCTCAAACTCATTTAATGGTACTCTAGACAAATTGATCCTTCCCAGTCTCAAGATCTAAGTGTCTCCCAAACGATTTGGCTCTGCCTCAGTTCAAAGATATTTTGGGATGTTTCAGAGATACTACTTTATCTTAGAAATCATAAGCATATCTAAGGGTTAATTTCTGACAGAATTATGAATTAAGTTCTGTCCTCAATAACTGTTTTATAAACCCTTAGCCTCTCTCAAATATGTGTCTTTCCAGGTTGGATATCTGGATTACCCCCAAATCCACTAAGATGTCTTAGCAGTGGTGGAGAACTTCACCCCTTCATGCAAATAAAATATGTCTATAAAGAAGAGATAAAATTCTTCCCATGTTCTTACTGAAAATATACATCATAAATATACATCAGAAGTACCTCTCTGGGTGTCTTGTAACCATCTCGGAGAAAGCGACAGCAGCCATAACGGCCCTGTAAAAACAGATATCATCGTAGAAAATTTCCCATACACTTCTTCCTCACAGACTAATGTCAGCACAAAGGTATGTGCTGAGTTTTACTGGTCACTTAGGGATCTTCCTCCCTCTCTTCATGCACAGATGAACCAAGTCTAGCAACACTTGTTTAATTAGGATTTTTGGTTTAGAAAGAGGTTCTACTTCTCTCTTTGGAAAACAAAAATAAAGTCAATCCTTACCTGCAATTTGGATATGATTTCACTCTTGGTAACATTAACAAGGTTTACATCCTCCACTGCAAAAGCTGGGTAAGAAATAATAGACAGAAGGCCAGCATCTATCTCCTTTGACGTGGATGCCCTTGGCAACATGGAGTACAGAATAGACTGAGCAAAACAAGAACAGAAGAGGGGGGTGTAAAACAATTTACCTACTTCAAAGAAACTATGACAAGTGCAAATGAGACTACACTGTTTGTAAACTGACAGAGAAGTCTGTACAGTTATTTTTAACTGAGTTAGACTGAGAATGCTTCAGTTTCACATGATCTACTAGGAACAGGGTAAACAGCATAGCCTGAAGATGTCCTTATTATGTTACATTCTTGGCTTAGTTAATCAACATTTCATTTAAAAAAAAAAGGTGTTAGGTTTTCCCCTAGTAAAGCAAAGAGCAGACTAATTTTTACCTGACAGTGTTCCACTTCATCAGGAAGAACATGAATCACTGATTTGTGTCCTCCATGAGCTCCAAAAAGATCTAGTTCATCAATTGCTTCCAAAGCAGCCTTCAAAAAACCAAACAACAACCCAAAATCAATAAATACCTTTTAAACCAAGTATATACCCTAGCACTTGTGCTTAATCTCTGAAAGAAATTACATAAGACAGCAATTTTCCCCACTGACATTCTTTTCATCTTTAAAGGGAAGCTTGGCAATATTTTAAAAAAGTAACTATTTCTGGTTTTCAACTAGTAGGATAGAGGATTGATATACCAGTGATTCTTCCTACAATTTAAAGGCAAAGCAAAAAAACCTGGGAGCTGGGTTTCCACTGAGACATCATCTAAATATTGACATACTTAGTAAAAAAATGCTTGTCCTGTCCTATATTCAAAAATAGCCTCCTTTATCAGTGTGGGGCCAAGACCAGCAGTCTCTCCCTCTTGCAGTGCACACAAGACCTAACAAATCCCGCTGAAAGGCAAATACACCTTTGACCTTAACAATATTTGTCTTCTGTCTGTCCCTCAGACACCATGTAATGAGGTAGTTGTTAATTGCACGTTTGCATTTATGGCTTCTGAGCTTCATTTAGTATCTCTGTGACCCTGTGCTATGAGGGAATCAGAAATATCCACTTTCTTTTAAGTATATCTTCATTTATTTTTCTCTCTAAATTACTTGTAGAAAATTTATTTAACTGATATTCTGTTGTTTTTTTACAATTTACTTCTGACTTAATCTTACCATGACAACATCACATATGATACTGAGGCTGAAGAATTAAGGAGGGAAGAAAACCAGAGACTTTATAAGACTGCACCTCACTGAACCTGTCAGATTTATGGTTCAATTAATCTGGGACACTTCTTGTAATTCTTGGAACAACTGTGCTGAGGTCTTTCAATGAGAGCCATTATCTCAAAGATTTTACACTAAAAAATACTCATACCTAAACAAAAATTCTTATACAATCAGTTAACTACTGCAGTGGCCAAGAAGACCATACAAAGAAAGCCATCAGGCTTGTCAGAGCCCTTAAGCACAACAAAGCAGCCATGAAGGAGGTGTCAGGAGGACATTCTCACTTTGGCCATCCCTACGGAGCTTGCATTCAGTTCAGGGATTCCTTGGTTTGTCTTATCACCACGTTCCCAAATTCCATAATCCTGTAACAACATCATCAAAATGGCACGATTATATACAAAAACAATGTTCTGCCCCCTGTCCCACAACAACTCCCCACCCCTACATGAAATTAGTTTATTATTTGCCTTAAAAAAAAAAAAAAAAAGAAGAAGAAAAGGGGCTCCAAGTCTCAAAAGAGATCCTTCTCATGTTTGAAAAGTAAACCCCAGCAGGATCACAGTCATGAATCACTGCCTTCATAGAACACACAAAGCCTTTTATCCCTGTTCCTGTGCATGTTTCTCACCATGTCCCTTCAACTTGGTTTGTTAACAACCTGCCCTTTCCAGACAGGCCCACAAGACTTATAGTTAGACATCAGGAAATAATATGAATTATCAATAAAACCCCCTATTACTATGATAGAACAAGTCATCCATGCAGCAGTAAATCCTCCACAGCCCTCCCAACATCTCCAAAGATCCTGCTCACAATGTAAAGTACTGACAGGTTCTGATATCTTCTCGTGGAAAAAACAAGTTCCTATTATACTTCTCCAGCAATAAATAATTTTCCACCCACGCTGGAGCAGTGTTCAGATGATTTACATATAAATTACTACGTACAGCAACTTTGTAGGCAGCCTCTATGTAAAAAACAAGATTCTGGATAAAGGTAACTTCATCAAGGGTGAAGATAATACGTAGCCCTGATCAAAAGAAGGAAAGAGAATAATTATATTGTATCAGAACTGCAATAGCTCCTCTTCAGTGAGTTTCATGCTTTTGTTTACTTGCTACCAATCCCTGCTCACTGAAATCGACGGAAAAACTCATCCTGATTTCCAAAGGTGAGGCAGCAAGCCTCAATACTTGCTACTGACAAAATACTTCAAACCCTACCAATACAGACTGTTTCAAAGACCAGCCAAAAACCACCTCTGTGAGGGTGACACTCAGACCATGGGTATAAAGCAGAGGCACCTGTGCCAGCTCTGTATCCCCAGAGCAGTGCACACCAATTCCTGCAGCTCCCCAGCCCTCTGCCTGCTTAGTGCCTAAGAATTTTCAAGATGACCAGGTGCCTGCTCTGCAGGGATCAATTGCAAAGGGTTTCAAGGGCAGAAAAACATGTAAGAAAACTATTCCTTATCCTCACAGGAGGAGCACGAAGAAGAAGAACACAAGATAAAACAGCACCAGTAAAAGAAAAAACTCTGATGGCACAAGTGCACCTCACTTGATGTTGCCACTCTCTGAAGAAATGTGGTTGCATCCGATGAAATCTTTAAAGATGAGACTTCTCTAACATGACTCTAATATCTCATGTATTCGATGCCTTGATTAAGGGCATAGACATTGCCAATTACTATAAACATGAAATTCCAAAAAAGGCTTATCTCTTTTCCAGAGAAACATTACTTGCTTCTGAGTAATAATTATATGAAGATCTTTAGAGCTGGTTACTATTTTTTGTCCTTTTAAAATAAATGCTGGAATAGAAGAGGCTGCAGTAAAAGGCAAAAATATCTTCTGCTTACCTGATGCAGTCATCTGTGCCAAGAAGAGCAGGTAGAGGGAAGTTGCATCCACTTGTAGATGCCCCCACTGGTCATCCCCAACCACCGTGGCACAAGTTGCAGAGTTATACTTGGCATGGAGGCAGTCTTTGGTACTCTGAGTGCGTTTGAACTTCTCTACCTTATCTACCTAGAAAACATCACAAATCTCAAATCTGAAACATTTTGGAATAAATTCTCCAAATTATGTCAAAATTAACATTCTTAGGTGAGGAGAATCTTGAGGTCTTAATCCAGTTACCTCACTCAGTTTTGATTGATCAGAGGGCTTAAACACCACTCTGACTTTAGACTCCAGTTAAATCCACATCTCTACAGGAAAGAATACGATTAAATTACCTTGTTGAGTTCAGATCTAAACTACAGCATGCATCTTAGTGAAAATCAGTTTGCAAAGATAAAACTCTAATTTAATCTCAAAATATTACTTGGACAAGAAGTGGAAGCAAGGTCAGTGTTTTGCTCAAGAGTTTTAAGAAGACTCCCCACACCATCATCTGCACAAACACAAGAACTACACGCTTCAATGAAATGCTTTGTACATACAACATCTACTAATTCAACTCAATCTTATAGCATTACCTGTCTCATCATGCACTGCAAGAGTCCCCGCATCAGCTTCACAACATTCTGCAGGAACAAAACAGACCAGTGACACTTTCAGCCTCATCAGCTCTCACAAACAACATTCAAAAGTGGCCAAGTTCACACCCTCTACTAATGCCTTGCCAAAGATAAAAAAGAATGTGTATTTGCCCAAAATGTTTCGTATGCTTTTTTTTTTTAAATACGCTGATCAGATTTTATTCCTTCATCCCTATCTAGGAGAAGTCTCTTCCCAAAGGTCCTCTCTAAACAGTGGAACAACTCTCCGTGGTCCTTCTATCCAGCTAAAGGAAGTAAGAAGAATGCTATGTCTTGTAAGACTATTAATACTAATAATTTTTTGAGTGACAGATCTAGGGAACGTTGGGAGATGACTTCAAGACATTGACATGACTGCAAAATCTGTAGAGCTTCTTCCACTCTTTATACAGTACAACAAAAATCAAGTGACTGGTAGAGAAAGGGCCATAAGTGTGAATGTAGAGAAGTGCAAGACTGGGCATTAAATAATCAACCCTACCTTTTCACCCCAAAAATATAGCCTCAAAATATGGTCATGCAAACTGAGTCAAGGTTATTCTGTCACCATGGACCTCCCTGTTTCGAGCAGGACATACCAGAAAAAATATACCCAGTGACTCCTAAACAACATCAGGACACCAACAGTCCCTCACTTCCCATTTAACCCACCTCTGCCTACACTCTCATTTCTGATAGTCACATTCCCAGGTGCAGATTTTAGTATTTGACTGTGTGAGTCCCCTTCCAATTCTCCAACACAGATCTTATCAGTCTGGAGACTGGTACCCTCTCTGCTATGATCAAACACACCTACAACTGTGCACAACCCCTGTGCACATTCCAAAGACTTGTACTTTAAATGGCATGCTTCTCTTTATGGAGAATAATGGTCTAGCAGATAAATTGCTGCAAGATCCAACCAGCCTGGGCCTGAGTTTCTGCTCCATAACACACCTCACGAGGGGCCTCAAGGTTTAATCAGAGGGAGGCTTGTAAATTGGAGCACAAAATCTCTCAGAAGCCTAATTTTCAACAATCAGCCAACCGATGGGAGTTTGACTTCTACATATTTTTGTTTTGTTTGCAGTTAAATTCAGATGTTAGCCTCTCTGCCATCCAGCTCTTCAAATCCTCCTTGCCAGAAGGTTGCCAGGGATACTGCACACCACACACCTCATGGATGTTGCTGTCTTTGCAACAAGACACATACTCTAAGCTGGGAAAGCCCTGTCAGATCCCAGACACAGCAGCAGTGCAAATGCATTCTCCAAAAACACTAGAGTAAGAAAACCCAAACAGTGGAACTGGTTTATGCCGAGCCTTGTCGCACCTGCTCGAGCTCGTAGGCTTTGGCTTTATCCTCATCCCGGTCCGCGTTCTTCCGATACGCCATTCCCAGCCCCCACACGGCCAGGATGCTGTAGATGTTGTCCCGGACCCAGGCATCCTTATGGTCCGCCCCAGCCGAAAGCAGCCCCGTCACTGGGTTCTGTCCACGGCAGAAGGAGTAAAGAACAAACATTACCATCTCAAGTCCCATCTGCTAAGAAGCAACACTTCTGTGTGTATTTAAGGGTCACAAACTAAAGATGATCTCATGCTAAGTGCACACCGTGGCTGCTCATGATTTCACAACAGAAGTGAGATCCCATCCTTCTTTCCCAAACTCACACAAGTGAAATGCAGAACTTATTTGAACATTTCAGGTTGTAAAGTTTACAGCATCCAGCTGGACATCTTCATCAGCAGCTATGTCACTGAGTGAAATTCAGAATACATCAAGGAAATGGAAATTTAAATTTTACATATTTATGAGGAAAATAAGGTATTGAGTTATCGCTAGAAATTGAGTGTGGGATATATGCTCCTCTATGTAACTGGTCTGTGGCACAATCTTGAGAAAGTAAAAAACCATTAGTGATCTTCTAGGAGATTAAAGAAGTATTTCTATATACCTGCCCACTGGGTTTATAATAGCTAAATGAAAGCAAAACCTTTTTTATATCCTCCTTTGGAAAACGTACAGGAAAAAATTTCTGAAGGTGTTGAAAAGCAGCACGGTCTGAAAAGCAGAGCACTGAGTAGTCTCCTGCAACCCAAATACTCCATTACATTTTTCATTGCATGATTAATTCTCATCACTTCACTATCCTCAATTCTTTTTAGACCGTCTTTCTTGGCTGTACACTCTTGACGAACAAAATAAATGAGACAAAGAGGCAAAAGTTCAATAGAACTTTCAATCAAATCAAGCCTTTACAGAAAATTTCAGTGAATGAAGACCAGTTGGTGGGGCTGGTGTGACAAGGGGCAAAGATTACAGTAGTAAAGGCCAGTTTTACAAAAGTAAAATTTAAAAGGATACATCCACCAACTTTTCATATCTCTCACACAATGCGGGGAGAAACTCAACTCATTATTTTTTAAAAAGTTGGTCTGAGGGGGAGGGGCTTTAGTTACAATTTTCTGGTCTCTGCAAGTGACCACTGAGCAGCACAGGGGAGACAGCCTGACAGCATGACCCAGCACAGTCAGCCCTATTGTTATGGTTTAATACAGCAATGCTTAGTGGCTCACTCAGAGTAGAAATGAAGTTCTGCTGCAACAGCCCTGCCTCAGCAAGGTCTTACAAACCAAGTAACAGCTGAAGGACCCCTACTCACCTGTCTGACTGGGAAACCAGACCATATGAATGCAAACAGCTTAAAAAACTTCTCTTTGATCTTGAAAAGTCCAACAACGAGTCACAGAAGTCCCAGTTCAGCACTGTGCCCTCATGACAAAACCCAGGATCTCAAAAGGCAGACCGCATACTCCCAACGTTTGTAGAGGACACTTTGTTTCCCTCCCTCCTATGCAGGACAACAAATGTCTGATCACCCACAGCCCTAGCTTGATAGAGATCACCCAGCTGTCTGAGAAATGAGCATTTTTATTTTTCCCTACTCTCCATGCTAGGCTAGCTGCCAGCTGGGAAATTAAAATGTCTCTGTGTACCAAAATGGAAATCCCAGAGAAATTGCCCATCCAAGACTTTAAAAGCTTATTCAGCTGCTAGGGAGGGATTTGCCTACCTCAAGAGGTTGCATTAAACACATCCACAGGCAGCTATCACCATTTCATCACCTTTGATTCCTCTACAAGTTGGTCTCAGATTTTGGGGTGCACTGGGGCTGGTTCTCATGGATTGACTACACATTAACGTCTTTCCTCATGCACATGCAGAATGTTAGCAGAACAATGTAATATACTGATTCATATTTTAAGTGGTTTTGTATTGGCTTTTTTTATAGTGTCTTCTCTTAAAAACTATTACTTTCTTCTATTACCTGCTGACGCCATATGAAAACAACAATGCTTATAAGGTGCTAAGGAACACACAGAAACACTGAGTGCACTTAATCCCACTGATGTCAAAAGGATTTTAGCTTAGCTAGTACTTCAACTTCAAGCATTCCATTTATGCAGTGATGGCTAATTAGACCAGCAGGTCTCATCCTGCAAATCACACTGCACATAAGATCCACAGAGCAAAGAATTTTATCAGCACCATGAGCTGCCAGCTGAGAGCACTGCAACAGAAAGCTGATTGGTGGACTAAGACTTTAAACTGTTGTATCGTGCCCAAACCTATTTTTAAATCTATCTGTCAATCTGGAGACAAAAAGGCCCCCCAACACCCAAACCACAAAACACATCAGTTCCTACAGGGCAGCAGGTGTCAATAAGAACTTCAGCAGGACAGGCACAAAACCAGTGGAGCTCTAACAAGAGCAGCAAAGCAAGTAATTTAGCATCTTGCTGAAAGGTGCAAATTAAGCAGATTATCTCACTGATCTGTCAGGTGAAAACTGAGGTCAGCTCTACCAAAGCTGATTTGCTTGTAAAACCAGATGTAACACAATGCAAGAGAGTCTTGGGGATGGTCCCATGCAGGGCCAGGAGCTGGACTTGACGATTCTTGTGAGTCCCTTCCAATGTGATTCCATAACACACCTGGGGTTACCCACAAAGGTATGAGCTTTCCTTATCAGGTCCATATGCTTTTCACTTATAGTACCATAGCAATACTTAAAATGTACAGAGATGTTAAGTTTTACTATTTCCTAATCTTAAGATTCACATTTTTTCCTTATGTCATTCAATTTAACAGGTGTAATAAGCAGCTGAGAACATCCTTCTGATGGTGCTTTTCAATGTCTGCTCTGCTTCAGCACCAAAGCATCCCTCTGACCCCTGTTCCTGGGGGTACATGCAACAGATGGCAGGCCCCTCACAGACAGGAGCCAGTAGTCTGGTCTTATCCTCCTTTTACAACCTTGAACAGGATGGTAACTATCACTGTGCATGCTACAGGGACTGACAAGGACAATGCAACATCTGCAAAACAGGAAAAGGTTTGCTACTGACCTGATCCTGCAAAGTGCCACACAGAGAAAACTGTCAGCCCTGCTACAGTTGAACCTGTCCTTTGAACATATCTGCCTAGTAGCACAATATCCTGCACTAAATACTGCCTCTAAAATCGCATTGATTTAGAGGGATTGGAACAAGCACAAGATCAATTGCTGCTACTGAGAAACCTGGCTCCTGGTGTATTAAACACCTGCTCAAAGCCCAATGTTCTGCATACACTCTATGTTGTCCTTGCTGCACCTCACAGAGGTGAGTGTGTCCCAGCCCTCTGCCAGAGCACAGCAGCTGATGTGCCAAGGCTGCATTCCTGCAGCCAGGGATGTGAGGTGCAGGGTCACAGTCATACATCACTCCCCAGCTGAGCGTTTTAAACACCTTCTGGTTCTTCTGCCAGGCTGTTCCTGGGCAAACCCATGGCTAAAACTCACCTCCCTGGCTCCTTCCTGAGAGGTACTAAGAAGGCAACAGCAGCAGTGAAGCAGCAGCATCCAAGCCCATCCAGCCACAAACTTTCTGCTCCCAAGAAAGACACAGTTGCATACGGCCCAAAGACAACCTTCCTAACTTGCCCAAGTAAGCACCGCATCTCTTCACCCAGCTAAACACAACATTTTCAATCTATTGCAGTGAAAAAACCAGAAAGACTATAATTATAGGGAAAAAAAATTCTAGAAACATACCTTGAGCATCTCTCTGGGTCTTCTTGAGATACCACTTTTCCTCTGCCTTGATGCTAGCCTGTGACTTGCTTTCCACACAAAGAAGAAAACTTACCTTCTTTCCCCACCTCTGAATTCTCCCAGACATTGAGCCCTTAGTGGAAAAGGCAATATATAGTCATGAACACTCATCCTCTTGCTTTAAATAGCAATTACAAAATTCTGGGTCACCAGTATGAAGCCCTGTATTATCATTTACTTACTGTTTTTACTATTGTTAAATATTAATATCATCAAGCCTTTCACAGGACATGTTTGTGCTCCGAATCTCAGAGGCTCCAGGTATCCCTTAATGGAAGCTGTTATCAGCATCCTCATCTTATAAACAAGGAAATCAAGGCAGACGTTGGAAGCCAAAACTACTTGCCCAAGGTCATCTTGCTGACAAAAGGCAGAGATGGGAACACAACTAAAAGCTTCTCCTGCACCCCAGCACAACAAGAGCCAAAAACTATCTTCTCACATCATATATACCAGTTCTTGCATTTGTTTCTACTAAGCCTACAATAATTAGTACGCAAACACCAATTCACAGGTGTTTGGACCCTGTGCTCGAAACAGCCACTGACAAAACAGCCACTGACAAAAATCTTACTGACCAAAGTGCATTTGGGCCCCAGCCTCTTCTTTCACTTCTTGCAACTCTCATCAACAAACCATATTTGGTAACGGATCTGTGCAAAAAAACCCTGCTGCTCATCTTTATATACTGGATTGTTTTAACCAAAGCATGACACTGCTGAACACCTGAGTTCTCAGCGTACACCTGGGTGAAGCAAGCACACGAAGCAGAGAGCACTGCGCTGACCAGAAAACACACGGAACACAGGGTGGAGAAGCACCGCCCCCAGCCATCCCTGATATTTTCGTTGTTCCGCAGGCAGCCCCGCCTGACGCTCCAGAGCCTCAGCAGTGCGGACAGCGGGAGAACAGACTGGAAGCTCTGGACGTGCCCCGCGGCCACACGTGCTGCGGGGAGCACGCAGGGATCCGCACCGCGCTGTGCTGACAGGCACGGCACAAAGTCCTGCTCGGGACTCTTATCTCACACGGGCTAATTCTCCTGTTACTCTGTGTTTGCCTATATATATACACAGTGTGCACAAAGGGTGGGTGTATATCATATGGCCATGAAGACACTGTATACACAATACTATTATTATTATTTACAAGCTCAGACTCGCTGTTTTCCACACAAAGATTTCCAAGGTGCACTTACACAAGCACCCCCAGGATCCGGCCGGCCTTAGCATTCCCCGCGCTGCTCCGCAGGCGGGGGCGGCACATGCGGACAGGAGACAGTGCTCCGGCCGGAGCAGGGACGGATGTTCGTGTCCCTCCTGCAGCCCCCGCCCCGACAGCCGCCCCACGCCCCGGGCACGGCCCCACCGCGCCCGGCAACCCTAGCCCCGAGCAGGCATCCCGGGGCGGCGGCCGCTCCTCACCTGGTGGCAGAGGATGGTCCGCTGGACCAGGCGGGCGTAGCCGTCCAGGCGCACCCCCGAGTTGCTGCGGCTCCTCATGGCCCCAAGGCCGGCGCAGCTGCCCGGCCCGGCCGAGCTCGGGGTGGCGGTACCCGGAGATGGCGGCGGCCTCTCCCCGCCCTCACGGCGGAGCGGGGCGGGGCGGGAGCGGCCTCCGCCCTCAGGCACCGCGGGGACACGGGAACACCGCTGCACAGGGACCGAGAGGAGGAGGGGCCGCCTGGCGTGACAAAAGCCCGGCTGCATTTGTAAAAAACAGCATCGATTTTATACAACCTCTTCGTAAGTTCGTATGATAAAGCTGAGAATGCTAGAATATTTGTTGGAAGCTTTTCTTTCCCCCAGCCCCAAAAAACCCGACGGTTCTGAGATGTGATCGAATGAGAGCACGGAGCAAATGTTGCAGAGTAGCCGAGCGTGTGGTATTCACTCAAAATTCAGAAAGAACTTTTTTCCCGTTGTCCTTTTTTAATTTTTTTTTAAGTGAAATTGTAGCATTAACAGAATTACTGTTGTAACTTTTCCTTGATGTTCTTCCTTTATTGACTGTCGTGGTTGAGAACGCAGCGTTCACAGACGCGTTCGTTCCCTCGGTGGCTGCCGGACAGCACCGCTGTGGGCTCTGCACAGCAGTAAAGAGGGCAGAGCTCGGAGGTTCCCTCATCTCCCTCTGCCAGAGCTCGGAGGTTCCATCATCTCCCTCTGCCAGAGCCGTGCGGTGAAATCTGCGCCGTGCCAAAACACGGACCCGCTCACTCTTCCCCTGAACTCCGCACCAGCCTCCCCCTTCGGGGCACTGCTTTTTAGAGAGGCTCCACTTAGGGACCAAGTTTGCTGAGCAGGGTGGTGCCAGCTGTACACGGTAGGTTGCTGCTTATCTTTGACTAAGCTTAAAATCTCCTTACAGATCCCCTAGATATCTTTGCAGCCATAAACTACTGCACAGAATTTTACTTTGTGCTCTGGGCAGGTGTTGCAGCTTTCCCCGAGTTCTGGATGTCCTGGCTAAACAAAGACCGAGAGACCAAGTACCAAAAGGATACTGTAACACCCAATGTAAAAACACGTTTTCAGCTAGATTGAGGATGAGCTCAATATTATGCTAAAGTATTATGCTGGTCTAAGTGCAAACTTTTTCTACAGTATGTGCATGCTATTAAGTGGCAAAGTCAGAAAAGACTCCTATCCCCTAGGAATATATAAAATAAAAATTATTTCAAGAATCCTAACATATTTTAGTGTTCAAATATAAAAACAAAAAGAAGACTCCGAGCAGGTCAGTGGAATACGTGTATTCATAGGGAATTTAATTACTGAAGCCAAGCTCAGCTATGTGTTTTTTCTTTCAGCATTGCTGTGGGAGAGCTTCAGCAGATTTGAGGGCAGGCATTGACTGGACTTATGTCAGGGTTTTCTCTGCTAAAATCTAGACCTGTCAGAACCATGCAAGGTAAAATACGTAGCAGACAATAAATGAAAAAGCTGGGTCATCTTTTTCTCCAAGAAGTTACATACTGTTGATCCTGTAATCTGAAGAATTGTAACGCAGCCCAGTATTAATGACACATTTATCTAAAAGACAAAGTTTATATATTTTGTGTTGTTCTTGCTACAAATTTATTACTTTTTTTTACAGTTGAAATTATAAATATAAGAACATTAAATAAATTTACAAGAAACACTGCAAAAGCAATTAGCCAAACAGTCAAAGCATTCACAGAAATGTATTCCAGCTACTAGCATTCCAAGATGGGCTTTTACCAACACGCAGCTAAAACCCTGTGGATAAACACAACATGTACTTTAAATGCTCACCTTAAAAGCATAGTCAGAGTAATCTTGGATGTGACTGAAAGAACCCATGTGCTGCCCACAGAACCACACTGGGGTTTGAGTACTGAAGAGGTTCAATTGCTAACTCCAAGAGAGCCCCAGATAAGAGGTATGTAACATGCTTTTTGTTCAGGAGAATATTTTCAGGGGGCCCCACTGAGCCCTCCCCGCTGGGAAAGCAAAGTCCTTGCTCCCCTTCAGCATGCACCTGCTTCATGCAGCCTCTCTTTACAGGGCCTGGTACTCTGCAGCCTGGCACCAGTTTGTCCTAGTTTGCTTTGGGAGCATCCAACTTTTGCCCAAGAATGCAAATTGAAAAAGCAGTGGCCACAGCTGCACATGTGTGTGAGGAAGAGGAGGTAAAACCAGTGCTTAGGCCAATTTCTGTTCAGGAGAAATCATCACAATGTTGTATGGACTTTCAGCTGTTTTACATGAAGAGCCAAAATCAATTTTGTTCAGGTAAATATCACAAGAAGAATGAAATTATGCTCCAGCAATTACTGAGCTAGTGCCTCAGTATTTGGTTTGTCAACCAAGAGCCAAAGCACAAGCAGAAATTCTCATTAGAATACCTCAAGAGCTGCCCCTTAAAAAATTGCCATGCAATGAAACAAACCATTTCTCAGCTACTAAATATAGCACCTGTCATTTATTATTTCTATTTTTTCTTCAACTTGCCTTCCCCCACCCCCAAAAACTTCTCTACTTTTTGTCATTGCAAATGAGAAATGGCAGTGTCTTACCACTCAAAATAAATACTGATCCTGGTGAAATCAATGGCAAAAACTGATGAGTTCACTCAAGCCACCAACACAACTTAGTTGTACTTAGTAACCTACTGACTACTTTATTTAGTACTCCATTCATGGCACTCTATTTGAATTATACCAAATTTCTATCTCTCTATGGTGTACTAAAAGGTAGCTAAAGGTTCAAGACCAATTGTGCTTGTTATTTACAGTTCTGCATTTAGTGAATATATTCAAACCACTAAGTGACCCACTTACTGGACAAATTAACTTTTGTATTATTCTATGTTAATTAACTAAAGAAAAATGCAAAGTTACAATAAAAGTTACAAACAAAATACCAGTTATTTTTCTATACATGGTATATTTAAATTTATATTACAAGAAATAAATATAAAAGTATTGAAATGCTTAAAGGTTGATATTTTCTGCTTATGTACATCTCTGCAGAGTTTGATACTAAAACGTACAAAAAGTTGAAGACAGTGTAGCTAACATTTTTAAAGTTAACATCGTTTGTATGCACAAATTGTAACTTTCTACATTTATACAATACTACTAAGCATTACATCGAGATAAACTTAATTATATTGAAAAAAGTCTAAATAAAACTTTTGTTTAAATGTAAAAAAAAAAAAAAACCCTCAAAAAACTCCACTCTGTTGAAGAAACAAAATGGAAGTGTGCCAGCTGTAATCTGACATCCAAGACCTTGTCAAAATAGTAGGTTCCTTTTTTTTTTTAAATAATTGTCCTTGTCAATCCATTGCATGGCTGCCTTGAAGTTCCAGTACCATATATTAAATAAAACCAGTTCTTGGTCTGCTCACATTATGTAAAACTGCTAAAGTAAAAACTCTACTTCACACTGTAAAACAATGTGCTGTTTAAAAGGAAATCACATTTTCTCCATAGAACTGAGGCTTCCTCTCTTTGAAGTCCTTCTGTGTGAGATTTGACTTTCTTGGCTGCCAGTATCATCCTTGTCTTGGAATACAAGTTGTTTGCCTGAAAAGTCATGGAGACACACATCACCATTCTGTACACTGAAACAAACACCATTCTTCTCACTGGAAAGATGGCCTGTTGAAACAAGAAAGGTTCAGAATCAAGCCTCCCATGCATTTTAGTCACTGTAGGGAGTTCATACACTCTCATTTTATTCATGCAACAATTTTAAAATGTGTATTTTCAGTAAATATTTTGTATACATTTCTTTTCCTGTATGAAATGCACATACTTGAGAGATGTTAATATATTTATGCACAAGGATTCTATATTTTAAGCAATGAAGGTGACAATACTCAAAATGACTTGGAATAAGTATCACTAGGTAAGATGCATAATTTAATTATCTGCTTTATTGAATTAAGTTTTAAAGGTATCTCAAGTGTGCCATTCATTTGAAAGAAGAAATTGTTTGAGAATACAAGGAATTTTTTTTGCCTTTGAAAGGAAGTCAGCTTACAGCATTTACTTCTGAAGGACAATCAGAATATGGCCTAGGTCTGATCATGGGTCAAAATCATATTTAGACTGCAGAGAATCTCACACATTTAGGTGACCCCACAATGAACACATCTAATACCACTGCTGACTGAAGCCTTTTAATGAAATGCTCCACAAATGTTTAGTTCATTGTATAAGTCTCCTGCTTCTATGTATCATGTTCTAAATATTTTTAATGAGAATTTGGGGTTTTTTATTGTAAGTATTTGTGCAAACACTTCGGTTTGGATTTTTTAAACATTTAGTTACTAATTTAAGCAGCCATCAAGCACTTAAACAGGCACAGTGTAGACAGGGTAAGATGAGCAGAAAAGCTGTGTTCATTAATTCAAATAAGAAAAAGGTTGAAATTATAGAAAATAACCATACTTGCTAACAGTGTGATTGTTGTTTAACCCCTTGACTAACACTGTTTTATCTTAGGAGTGTTAAAAATAGCTGTGCCCTAATGTTAGGGCAAAAGCTGAGAAGAAAATAAGGCTTTTCTGTGAACAAATTCAGAAAGGTGGTTTGTGTTCCTCAGTGAGGAAATCTGCAGGAAATCTGCCATATGATACCTAATGGTATTCACATGTCTGTAACATGCAACTCTGCAAGAGAAAAACTGAAAATAAATATTAGAATGCCATGAAAAGATAAGTCCACTAGGAAAGCAAAGTCACATGTTATACAGACATCCCACACTTACCATGGTAAGTCATTCAGTCCTGAATCTGGAATAGCATTTCAGTAGAAGCAGTGAGGCTAAAACCATCAAGTGTTTACAGCTCAGTATATTTATAATATAGGTCTTAATTTCTACAGTGTTTTCGGTGGTTTTGGAGGTTGCTTTTTAAATGAAGTGTTGCAACGTTATTTTCAAGTTCCAGCTTTGAGAGGAGAGCAATCAGGTGCAGCAAATTAGAAGATCCCATGTCTAATATCAACTACTGCTACTAACAGCAGTCTAATACCTTTTGGAGGCATTAGCCTTGCTCTTCTGAGATATAACTGCCCCATGTTTGGATGATTAGGTGTAAGGAATTGCCTCCAAGAGCTTTGCTGGGAGCTATCCAAGCATAGGTTTAGCCTTTTCTTACTGAAGTTCTAAGGACCCAGAAGAATTATTTAGTGAAACTATGCAGGCAAGGTATCATACAATCCTCTTGATATGAATGGAGGATGTGGTATGAGGTTCACAGCATTCAAAATAGACAATAAAATAGGAAATTAGGTGGGTCACCCGAGATATCCATGTTTGAAAGTGCACAGGAACAAGGTTTTACCAAAATTCTTTCAGCTGCTTTTGTCTAAGAAGCTTTTGGCACAGGACATACAGACATTCACACTGGAAAGGTCTGATTATGTGAATATAGTAGGACAGAATTGGAGCACATCCAACAGAATTGGCATCACTCAATGGTTTAGATCATCAGTTTAGCATCCCATTCTAAAATACCCAAAATAACAAAACTTTTTCCAGAAAGCCACAACAGGCTCATTCACTCAGTTGCTACAACAAACAAACTCAATAGAACATTTCTGCTATCTTTCTTTCTGTAGAGAGAAAAGCAGTCAAAATGCTTTTTGTATAAGCATGTCAGATGTTGCAGGGAGAGATGGCTTCTTTCATCAGAGTAATTAACATAGCAGGGAAAAAAGAACCCTACAAGACATGCAGACTTTTGTGCCTGAAAATTTCTCTCTTTGAAAGGAAATACTTCTACCTGAAAATATTGCCTTACTTTGTATCTAAGGATAGTAAGTGTTACTTGATTCCAGTTCTGAACTGATCTGTTAGATAAAAAGTATGTTAATTATTGCATTATGTGGTGTCCAAATCTAGGGAGATTTTACAAATGAATGTAAAAAATCCCCAAAAAATCTCAATTTGTAAAGCTGTTCAGGGCATATCCAAATGTCATCTCCCAAAGTGTGATTTCTCTGCAATATGCAGTTATTACACTCAAAGGAACTGTAACCTCTAATCCACAGATGAATTCCATAGCTTTTACTCTGTACATCTGAGAGGTTTTCTAGTGATACAACCCTATTGATTATGTGCTGTCCTCTGACAGCAAGAAATGAGGACAACACAGCCTTTCCAACCATGTTCAACAACTTCATAATAAACATTCTGTTGATAACATGACTTCTTAGCCTCAATTCTTGATCAGTTGGGAAAAATACCTAGGCACATAGGAGTAATGTCTTCTGAGTTTTGCTTGACTTAGGGTTTTATACATTCCAGATTTGTAAGTTATTTTTCTGTTTGAAAAACTGATTATCTTTACTGATAGCTCAAATCAGCAGCATGACATGTGCCCTGCAAGAGTATGCAGAACTAGATTATGTTCACCGAAAAAAGATCAGTTTATAGTAAGTACATTCAATGGTGATTCATATCTAGTTTCCTCAACGACAAGCCACAGCAAATTGCAAGTGAAACTGAATGCAGTGCTACTTACACCTGCATTTCAACTTCTCAGGAACAGAGCAGAGGGCAGCAGCACAAAGGACAGTACTATGTTAGAAGAGGAAGGATGGAGAATTTTACTTCTGAACAAACAGTATTTTGTATTATACTTACCATTTCCGTTTGCATGGACTGAATAATCATTATTCATTAACAGTGTTGTAGAGTTAGTGGAGTTACTGTTTGATTGTAAGGAATTGGAAGAACTTGATACTCCTTGATTTACAGTCTGCTTCTTTAAACCATTCGTAGCAGTTCTACTCCAGTCTAAAACAGAAAATAACACAACTCATACAAGCACTATATAAAAATATAGTTAATAATGCAACTGAATTGATGTAAAACCAAGGCTTTATACAGAAATATATTCTCCTAAGAATTTAATTACTCTTGATGGTTAAAATTATTTAAATGTAGTTCCTTTTCTCCTGTCCCTTTTTAAAATACAAGCAGCCAACTGTCATAGTTTTACAACTGCAGATCAGATCAGATCAGAAAAATAACTAAAAATAAAGCACAGTTGGTCCTATAAGTGAAAGTGTATAAAAAGTACATGGCTTTACAAAAGGACTACTTAGCAACAAAATAACATAAAGTAATTAATGTCTTTTCTTGGTTTAAACCATGCTTCGCTTTGTTTTTGTGGAAGTCACTGGTAAAACTATGGTTGATCCAGAAGCCAGAACAAATCTTACCATTTCTAACTGACCAAAAGTCTTCTGCAAAGACATGCCTTTACCCTGCAGTGGAAGAGGTCACATCTTAGCAGTTAACAGCTTAAGGCAACAGCATGTAAACATGCAAGAGCTGCATCAGCTACCACCTTTAAAGAGTATAATTTTGGAGGTTTACTGTATCTTGGATAATAAATTAGAACTGCAACTGCAGCAACATGATCAATTGCTTTTTTTTTTTTTTGTAATTATTACAAAATACCAGGAACTTAACAGTAAATATAAGTATTCAGAAGTTAAAAAAAAGAAAAATTTACCAGAGTTTTCAGCCAGCCTGAATTTCCCACAACAAAGATATCTTCTCCACTGTTTACGGACATTCTCCTTTGTTACACAGTAGAAGATGAAAATGAAGAACCCTGCAAAGCAATAAAATAAAAGACTGTTGCAAAATTCACTTTTACTACTTCCTAATGAACAATGTTTTGGTTTTCTTTCATTTATTTTAAATTTCTAATAGTAATGACACCTTTCTTTGCTGAAAAAGTTTACAACTCTGAACACTACAGAGCACTATTTCCTTACATAGATGAATCATACACACAAAAGACAAAACAACAAATACAAACAAATGCACAAAGTGCGTGAAGTTTCCCTCTATCAAACAAAAAGGGAAAAAAATCTGTTGATCTTGAAATTTACTTAATGCTTTTGGAAAAGAACTCAAAGCAATATCATAGAGAGGCTGTGATACCACACTGTCCAGACTATGAAGCTTTTTTGGCACATGGTGTGACACTGTTACATCTTTTATTAGCAGCTTACCCGTTACTACCAATGATACAAAATTTTGAGCACTCATACAAAGAAAAGAACTCATATCTAAAATAATAATAATAAATGTTACCCCCTTTACCACAATTTCAAATATTTTCTAGAAGGAATGGTGCTCATCCCATCTCCAAGCAGTGCTACATTACAGTCTCTTTGTCTACTTCTCATTCACTACTAACTGATCCAGGAGGGCATCTAACTTTCCCTGCTAAAAAGTTCATCACAATTCCCCCCATAAGGGAAAGTGGCACACACTCTTTGCACAGTTTCCAATCTGCAATGGGAAACAGTCATATTAGATTTAGAAGGAATAGTAAATAATAGTAAATAAATACAGCAAATAGGGAAGAGGTCTATACACTGAACTGCAATTTTCATTGCTTTAGTCTCTCTGGGAAATAATTCAGCCAGTTATTTACGTGCCATTTAAGCAGAAGTTTCAGAAGGGCAGTTCAGGTATATTCAGGACACTGTGGACAGTCACAATACCTCTTGTTTGTATAAAAGACTTTGCAGCGACTCTGCTTTTGGATATGTCCAGTACCACCCTGGCCTTTGCAAAACTTCATGTTTTCATATCTACTTCCCATATGTTCTTAAGTACTATATAGGCCATGCTTAAGAGTAGGGTCACTAACTTGTAGATGTTGCAGCCTTGCCTGTCTCAATGACCCTTTGCTGAATGTCAAACCTCCCCCAGAAGCCTAAGGAGAACTGAAGAAATGATACCATTTTCACTACATTAATTGCATTATAACGTGAACACTTAAGAGTAACTGTGTATTCAAAATTCATCTGTTTATTAGTGAAACTCAGTCACTTCCAGGGGTATCTGGTTTGAATACACTTTTTAAATGACAATATTTATAAATATACCATGCCTATAGAAATAGTATCTAGTTTCTCTGTACCTTATCGTAACAAAACTGCAATTTAAGATTACTGTAAAACAGTACCATCTCATCTCTAATACAATTGATATGATAGTGCACATAGCAAAGTTAAATTTTTATTGCTGAATCAAGAAAATGACATTTCAAAATGTTTCATTTGTTATAATATACAGAGAGAGCTGTTACATGGAGGACAAACTTACCTTGCAAAGTGTTGAAAATAGTAAAGAGGTAAGTAAATACCTCATTTACTGTGAAGAAAGCAAACCCCCAAGTAATTCCCAACAAGAATGTGAGGCCAGCAACACTCCTAAGGTCTTGGATACTGGTTTTCCTTTGAGCACCGAGTTGTTTCTTCTTTTTGATACGACAGAGCTGGATCAGCACAACAATGAACATGCTGATATTGATCAGGAATATCAGGCAAAAGTATCCCACAGCAGTAATATAGAAGACAATTCTATTTTTGATCCAGCAGCTAGAATGAAAGAACAGTCTGTCAAATATTATCAGAAACAGAAATTAAGTGAAATTAAGAAAAATTTATAGTTTGTTGCACATGCAAACCATTTTTGCCTTTTTACAAAAAAAGTGCTTTTTTTAGCCAATGGATATAAGTCTTCATATAGGCAATAACCCTAAAACACATGACATACCATAGAGTTATACCATTTCAAAGCACTAATATTGCTTCCTTACCTTCCTCCCCTTTACTTTAAAGAAAAGCAATTTGTGTGACATCCCTCCAACCCCCACCCTCACCTTCCCCAAAGAACCTCCCTTTAACTCACAATTCATCAGGTCCATTTATTGAAACTTTTCCGGTGGTTATAAGTCCATAATTATCTGGTGATATTGCCAACACAATGGACACAACTACTGCTGGTAACCCTAAAAGATTATGACCAAACACATACATAAAAATCCTAAGAGAGACAGTATTATAAGGATTTGAAATTATTGTATTTTTCTACAAAATCTACAACTTGTTTCTGAAATTTGGCTGTTGAATCCTGCTGACTACTAGCTGTCTGAAAAATTGCAGCGTTCAAACTGCTCAGGAGCACAACTTGCAAAGGAACAAGAGGGTCCTCCACAGTCAGCTCCCAAACTTTCTGAATAAACCAACAAATATCATCAGTCTTCAAACTGATTCAAAATATCTCTTACAGGATAACTGATTTTCTTTCTTACATACGTTTTAAGAAACAAATAGGAGACAAAAATCAGGCCCAGAATCTTTTCATCCTCTATCCAGTTAGATCTGGATTTGCTGCTTTTTGTTAGCAAGAGTGCTATTCCAGAAACAGAATATATATACTTATTGGCATTTATTCTCAAAATAATGGAAGCATGCACTTTCAAAACTAGTTCTATTGTACTATCACAAAGAAAATTTATTATCATTTTGCATTGCAGAAACTTCAGTTCTGCAGCTGGGGGGACTCTCTGCCTCAGAAAGGTGGAACATATATCATAACATTTAATGATTGCCTAATTTTAATTTCTGACCTGTGTCACATCAACTGAAATACTTGACAAGAGGAATTATCTCTTTAGCATAAAAGGAAAAAAAAAATACATACCCCAACCAACAACACAAAATTTAAGAATGTATTTCCGTACATAGGTGTTAAAGACTTTCACAAGGGCCAGGTACATGTGGAAAGCTTCCAGGCCCATCCAGGTGAAGGAAACCAAGAGGAAATAGTGAAGAAATACTGCAACTGCTATACACAGGCCTCGTGTATCATACAGTGCAATCCATGAGTCAAGGAGAAAAACTAAGTTGAGTAGAAGTAATGCAGCACACAGCTGAATAAGTATTTTGGAGGGGTAGTCTCTCCGGATTTTCCTAAAAAAAAAGCAAATTTGTGAGATGACAACAGTTCTCCATGGATCCCTGGCTTATTTCCTCTCTTGCAGTCCTTGGCATTCACAAATGCCAAGAAAAAAAATAAATTACATTTTCATTCATATACAATGCTTTGTGTGGTGCATTTATACACGGAGAGAATAATTTACAACATACTTCCAAATTAATGGTCTGTATATATAAAGTTTTTATAGAAAAGGTTACATAAATAGAAACAATAACTTTAAGTGTTTAGTTCCACAGGTTTTTTTTTTACACTGTAGGTCAGACTACTTGTTACATTGCTATACAAATCCCAAATGTGTCTGTTCTTTATCGCTAAACTAGATCAAGCTTTTGACTGGGTGTCTAAAGCCTTGATAGAGACAAGCCCCAATCTTAGAATAATGAGAGAATAAAGAAAGAATACAAATGCTTTTAAAAATGCTAAAATTCTGTACTTCTTTTTGTATGTTGTATCTTAAATCTTCTATTATGATAATCCATTATAAAACACTTCAGAGTGCTACTTCTTCACATCTTACTGCCTAGAGCTTCATGATAATTCACGTGTTCATAAGATAAACATTTCTGAAGACTGAATCAACATCTTCCTGGTGAACTGTGCATTATTTGTGGAGACAGAATTCATAACTATTGAAAAGGATTTCTCAGTGAAGACTATAATCAATCACAATTGAAGAATAATGGGAGCTCAGCTGACTGTGTACTTACTCAAAGGCTATGTAGGTCACAAGAGTAACAGAAAGAAAAATTGCAGAGAGGCCACAACCTATATATGATATAAAAGTCAGTACCAATTCTTGTGTGGGATTCAAAGGAGTACTTCCATACAAGTCCTAAAACAGAAATAAAAGTTATTTTCAGAGAACAGGTTTATTTAATGGATAGAAGATTAAAAGATTTTAAAAACCATCAAAATAAATCAAAATGCACCTTTCCCTCTACACTTATAAATAAAAAAACAAATTACTCAATTCTTTTCATCATGGCTTTTATAAAAAGTTAGATTAAAAAAAAAGCCAATCTAGTCTTGTAAAGAGCAGGGACTCCATGACCTTTATGGGTCCCTTCCAACTTGAGATATTATTTTATAATTCTATGACTCTAATAATGAAAACCCATTTGATTAAAAACCCGTTTTAAATTTGATTTCCTAAATTTTATTTCCTAGATTATAAACAGCTGCCTAAATGTAAAAGCTGCAGCACTTAAAAGTAGTTTTCCTTCCTGCAGTGGAACCCAAGGAGTCAACAACAAGAAGTTTAAGCATGTGACTATTTGTATGGCTATCTGTATTAACACTGAAGTGAATAGAACCGGAGTATTATTTATTAGTTTGTATGAGCTTATTGGGTCTGTTGTGCTTAAGACAACTCAAGGTCAAATGTGTTCTTGAATCAGGGTGAGATTGCATAATTTTAAAAATAATTACCATCAAAACTGCAAAACTTGTGAGATGGTTGCATGAACAGACTGTTTCATTTACTCCACTTTCTTTAACTGTGCAACCTTCGTATGACCAGCCTCCATGTCCACCTGTTAAGAAAATCAGCTTTGTTATTCATAAAAGGTTTCATTTATGTTAACATGAATTAACGTAGCTAAAACAGCATAGCATCTTGGGTGATCTCAAGTACTTACCATTTTTATTAAAGTCCCAAAAAACACATCTAACCGTTGAATTATCCTGTTTAGGAGCAGAAAGAAAAAACAACAGCTTACTAAACCGTGAGTTTAGATCAAATGATTTATGAATGATCTACAAAATTTAGGCAAAAATAAACACTGTATACAGCAAATATGCCTGTTCTACCCGAACACAAAATTAATTTAGGATTATAAAAGGATTAATATTGCAAAATGCATGCAAAAATACACTGAATAAATCTGAAGTCACCAGACAGGAGAGAGGTGTTGTGCTTATGCAAAGATTCTGTTCCTGGTAGAATCTTTTGAATGCTCTTTCATTGTCTTCCCACACCATACAAATTCTTGGGATTTCTTCTCCTTCCAGACATTGTAACTTTTGAAGTCATGACCACACAGAAAATGAAAAACCTTTTCATTTGCAAATATTTGATCACTTCCTACTATCACAATGCTAAACATTTACATATAGATTTCCCCACATACATGCAAATTCTATAAATACCAGGAGAAATACACTATATTGCTGTAAATATCAATACTTCTACAGTTTTATTTCAAAACTTTTTATTATGTCAAAACAAGGAAAGATGCCACTAAGCCAGCTCCTGAAAAAAACTCCAGGTGCATTGGTGGAATCCTTACATTTTTCACTTTATAATAATTGAGTATTTTAAACTCTCTTAAGAGATGAGATAGAAGACTTTAATCCTTGATGCTAATTTTAGAAAGGGATGGTGTGTAAGAATCCTAATACTTCCAGATGACACAATCCTGTGTTTCATTTCCCCTAAGAAAAAATACTTATTTTCTGGCCATGCAACACCCACAAATGTCATGACTGCAGCATCTATTACCATAGCAACCCACACTGTCAGTCTTGCCTCTGAGAGCTTTTATTCTTTGTAGAATATAACAAAAGGGTAAGTAAGAAAGATAAAAGCTGGATGAATTTCTGATAGAGCAAAATTACCTTACACTACTTGAGAACCAAAATTTATACCAGTGGTAAATAAGCAAACAGGAGTGATTTTTAATGTCTGGGTAGAGATGAAACATCCACACTAGTAAAGCAGAACAAGCTAGCCTCTATTCTTAGTAAAATGTTTCCACTACATAAACTTCAGTGGAGGCAACAAAACTGTACTTTAAGTCTGCCAAAATGTAAATTTTACCTGATTAGGCTTGATATTCTGCAAAATGACAGTAACATTTGCCCTTAAGTTGCTAATTGTGAGGTTAGCAACACTCGATGATATAACACCACTGATTAAAGATGCATTCTTCAAGGACAAATCCTGGAATGACAAAAAAAGTGCCAGATTTTAGAATTTTAAAGGAAACAATACTAGAGTACAGCATCCACAAGCTCATTTACTATGCAGAGCAAACACTGGACAAAAATAATTTTAAGTCAGAAGTTTCAAAGTGTGTTTTGTGGGGAAAAAGAATCCATTCATATTGTGCTCTAAGCTTAAATTTAAAATCCTTATGAACAGCGGGCCAAAAAATACCTGGAACACAGTGGTCTTTTTAAAGAAGTTGAATATAATTCTAGAAGCCAACTCCAACTCTTCAGTGGGGATATTTTTCAGCAATGATGAAGGAACTGTAATTGATCCAAGATTATTTAAATTCTGAATTCTCTGAACTCCTAGAGAGATCTGAAAAATAAACACCAGGATTATGCTTTGTTTCAGTCTCGAAATAAATAAATCATGATTCATTTTCAGTTTAAATTTTCAAAATAAGTATCTCTTTAATTACTGTCAGAAACCTACTGCTGCTCTCATTCATCTCCTGCTCTAATGCATAAATAGCACTTACAAGACTGAAAAATACATCGCATTTCAGGTCTGCCTACCATTGAAAATAATCTGGCTTTAATCATTTCCCTACAGGGACATAACATACTACTGTGTGTTTTGTATTGATTTGAAAAAGGTGAGGAGCAAAATCTCAGGTAGCTCTTTGTAACTGTAACTATGTAGGGAGATCAATATTTCACAACACGAAAGTCTGCAAAGCCAAAGAATTTTTATACCCTGTAGGAAGTATGTCAGAATCCAGGAAGAGTGTAAATAGCTATTATTTGTAAATACATTTTTAAGTTCAGGAGGTTAAGTTTATGTTCTTATCTAAGAACATAAACTCTAACTTATTGATCATCTGACAAAAATTACAAAAGTAAACTGGATAAGCTACAATTCAGGTACCTCAAGAGCTTAGTGATGAAATACTGTACAAAAAGGGATCTGAACTTTCACCCATTTTATGTGCTGTGCTTACAGGCCAGAGAGCTTTGCTTAGTACAAAATGTCTCAACATTCCTGTTGTACATTAGTCCTTTACACACAAATATCATCACCTAAGAGCTCCTGGGAGATGTGAAACATTGCAGAAAGAAATTATATGAGTACTGAAAAAATGGATGTAATAAGAGTAACAATGTGAACTTCCCAAAGTGCCCTAACAATGTGGTTTAACTCAACTCACCTATCAGACCAGCACAGTCCAAATGTTTTTTATCATGCGTCCCCTAAAAGTTTTTGAGCATGAACCCCAGTATATACCTATCCATAGGTTACATATATGAATTAGTCTACTAATATACTATGCAAATTTAAAAATATAAAACATATTAAAATATCAAGATTAAAAATTACTTTTTTAAAATGTATGTTTTATTTATTAATCATATAAATTACATTTTCCTGCACTGCAATGGACTGTTGTGGGCACACCCTGGGGTACTCAAACCCCACTTGGGAGATCACTGGTGTAGACAGCCATCAAAGAAATCCTGAATTCCACAAAAGCACTCCTGTTGCTCTAGTTTGAAGTAGATGATACATATTGAAAATTTTCAGATTTTCATTACCAGTGCCATGAAATAAAAATCATTCCTTAGCACATAAGTATCTGCATGTCAGCACTACCACCCTCTAGTCATCTTACATTCATGCACTACATATTGCTAAAAAATAGAAAAGAATTCAAATGTTAAACATTTATATAATTTTCAGTAACACAGGAAAGTTCCAGTACTACGTATGGCTTACAATACATTAAACTATTTTCTTCTCTGAGGAGGCAGAATGTGTCAAAATTGGTCCAAAACTTTCCATCTCTCCTTGCTTAAGCCTCCCAGGCTGGTATTGTCCATTATTTTCTCTGTCATGAGGGAGGTTTTGAATGAGATAAAGGGGATCCAACCAAACTTTCTAAGCACTTCTTTCTTGGTGAGATGCCATTAGTGACAAATGTCTGAGCATCATTATCCAAGCAACACACATAATAGCTCTTTCTTGGAACCCTCTACAATTAGTTCTTTCTCACAGATGAAGTCATCTTGCAACACTCCTGACAAATTTCAGCACTGTCATGGTGGTTGAATACATGACTCATAATTCAGGGGGCTTGGGGCAAAGTTATTCTGCCAAGCACTTTGTCCATTCTGGTGCTCTAGCACACCCTCCCCAACAGCTCATTAGCTCTGCCAGTTACTGCTAAGTCAGCTCTCTTTTACACCTATTTCCACAGTTGAAAATTAAAGGAAAAACTGTGTAGGGCTTAAAAAAGAGTATGAAACTGACATGAACTAAAAATCCTGAAACTGACATAAACAAAGAACAAACTCATTCTCCTATAAATATAAAACCATAAACACTTTAAAATAAACGTTTGACTATTTGCAGGTATTGTAAATATTTTGTAACCTGGAGATCAGCTGAGTCCTGGACAGCAAAAGACATTTGGTTGGAGCGAATTCTGTTGGTTTTGACAACTGCCAGAGCCAAGGAAGGGGAGGCAAATTCTGCAGATGATGCTGACAAGTTTAGTTTTAAGCCAATATAGTCCACCAGTTTTATAATTCTGTTGAGAAAAAGTACACTTAGTATTACCAAGCACATACATCTAAAATTCTCAAGCAAGTTATGGTAATGGAGTATTAATCCATATGTACTGCAAAATGCTCACTTATTATGGTGGCAACAAAACAACCCCAGTGTTTTCTATGGCATTATATTACAGTAGAGCTGATAACATTAGAATGACAGTCCTTCCACTTTGAAAAACAACATTAAGTAACTAGAAATATTCTTCTGGATTATGATTATGAAAAAGTGAAACTTGCTGAAGCCAATTTATCAATCAATCATGTAATCAATTGCCAAAATGACCTACCTGTTAGAAATTCGTGGTGGTAATGGCTGAGAAGCAGTGAGGATACTGCTCACCTCATTAACCATCCTTTCTACATCTTTTGGCTCTATTTTTCCAGCTGCTAAATCATTTTCTATTTTGGACACAATTTGCTCAGCTGTGGCGACACTGATGGTGGTGTGTACAGAAGTTGTATTTGTGGTAGCTGAAAGCGTTTTTCCTGTGACAAATGAGAAGTTAAACATTGTGTTCAACAAATGACATAAGGTTGGAGAAGCAGAAAAATTAAACAGTTCTCTTGATTAAAAACTTGTATCACTACTTGTAAGGTTTCTCAACAAGTTATGCAATTCCTCCCTATCAGCTACTTTTCAGAGAGTGGTAATTAAAATCTCATGAAAACAAAGCAAGGTTTCAAACTGCCAACATTAATTTCACATTTTATTGATTTCAAAGTTCCATACATCAGACCACTAATATATTAAATAACCTATTATTTTGAATTTTTAGCCACTGAACACCTGACTGTAGAGTAAAATCAAGATAGTGTCAGAAATTTGAAAAGAAGCTTGTAAAGATGTGTACAGTTTTCATAAGAAAATACATAGTCACCAAGAATATTCCCAGTCAACAAAAATACTTTAAGGATGATCCAACATTACTGTGCAGTATTTTAAATATTAGGTTAATTAAAAAAAAAAAAATCTACCTTGCTCTCTGACTTAATTTTTTTCTGTCCAAAAGACATTCGTTTTAACGGAAATTGAGCACTGTACCTACCTATGACAGTTACTAACAATGGTTGTAGGGTAAGTTATCACCCACCATGTATTTCAAAATATGTGAGAATGTATTTCAAAATATGTGTACACCAAATGAAAGTTGTCTCAGAGTTTTCACATAGAACAGAATCACAGAATCATTTAGCTTGGAAAAGACTTTTAAGATCATCAAGTCCAGCCTTTGAGTAAACATCACCTTGTAAACTAGACCAGAGCACTGACTGCCATGTCCAGTTGTTCCTTGAACATCTCCCGAGAGAGTGACTCCACCACATCCCTGGGCAGCCCATTCCAGTGTAACAACCATTTCAGGGAAGAAATTCTTCCTGATGCCCAGCAACCTTCCTGGCTCAGCTTGTGGCCATTTACTCCTATCCTGTCACTGGTTGCCTGGGAGAAGAGGCTGATCCCCCACCTGGCTACAATCTCCTTTCAGGGAGTTGTACAGTGATAAGGCCACCCCTGAGACTCCTCGATACCCTTCCCCAGCTCCACAGCCCTTCTCTGGACTCACTCCAGCACCTCAATGTTTTTCTTGTAGCGTGGGGTCCAGAAATGGACATGAGGTATGAAGTGTGGCCTCACCAGTGCTGAGTACAGGAGGACAATCACTGTCCTGTTCCTGCTGGCCACACTATTGCTGACACAGGCCAGGATGTCATTGGCTTTCTCGGCCACCTGGGCACACCCTGGCTCATGTTCAGCCACTGTCAGCCAGCACAACCAGGTCCTTTTCTTTTGGGCAACTTTCAGATACTATTCCCAAGCCTGGACTGTTCCCTAGGGTTACTGTGACCCAAGTGCAGGACCCAGCACTTGGCCTTGTTGAGCCTCTCATACAGTTTGCCTTGGCTCATCAATCCAGTCTGTCTAAATCCCTCTGTAGAGCCTTCTTACCCTCCAGCAGATCGACACTCCCATCCAAAGTAATTCATAATAATTGTAAGGTCACCTCTCATATATATAACATTGTTTAATGAAGTTTAAAAGAAAGTCCAGTATATGGCATTCAAACAAAAATAATTATTTACTTGTCATATTTACCTGGGGTCCCATGGCCATCAGCAGTAGAATGAGGACGAGAAGCTGAGACAGAATGGTTGACAGGACTAATAGTAGGGGTGAAAGGAGTAAGGGGAACAATAGGTACTGTACTAACATTTTTGTGACCAGATATAGTTTGGCTTGTAGCAGGGGGAATTTGTGCAACAGATTTGGTGATAGCCTCAGGGTGGCGATTTACAATTGGAAGTCTGTGAGGTTCAGAAGAAGAAAGTGAAGGATGTTTAGTGAAACCTACAGAAGGAGAAAGTATTGTAAAAGTCTGGTTAAGGTGTGCAGCCTCAGATTTAATTGAGAAAGCAGTATTAGTGACAGATTTTGTTGCAGGTATGGGAACAGTGATGGATTTATTGGAAGTTATGGAAGAAACAGTTGGCACGGTAGGTTGAGCAGGAGACTCAGAGGAGGAACGCACAGTGGTAACACTGGTCGAAGGCATAGAATTTTCAGAGATAAAGTTTGTAAGCGGAGATATGGAAAGAGTTCCAGAAAAATAATGTTCTGTGACTGGTGGAATCAGTGGTCTAATTGTGGGGCTTTTTTTAGCAGATAGTATAGTGGGGGAAATTAAAGGATTAGATTTGAAAAATGTCTTCTTAAGGAGAGATGGAGAATGAGGGGAAGGAACCCATATAAAATGAGGTGGCACTTGTATAGTACTGTAAAAGAAAAAAAAGCATAAAAATCCATGTTAAGTTTAACACTTTTTCTATTTTAAAGAAAACAAGTTATAATCTAGAAATATATATAAATTATATGGACATACTAAAAATAATGTATATTTTAAAATCAATCAGACTGGATGTTTCATGCTTCACTATTTAGAGGGTTCTTACATTCTATTTTGTTGTAGATATTAACTACCAAGGCCATAAACAAATACTACTATTGCCTTTGTTGCCTGTTCTGAAGGTGAGCTGCTGTTGAACACAAAAGCTAGATGCTTCATGGAAAAAAAAGGGATAAGAAGAGAGGGAAGGGAGGGGAAAGAGGGAGGAAAGCAGGCAGTTGCACTGGAAAATGACTGTCAGCTTTTTCTTGTGGAGTCTTTTCTGGCTATTACACTGAAGCATGCAAGTTGAATCTAGCCATGTATTAGGAAATTTAGGAAATAAGCAAGTCAAATTTTGTATTTATACTTACTAAACTTGTAATTCTTCAGCAGTCAAGGAACAATACTTCAGTGATGAACAGCAGCACTGATCTGAGATGACAAAGAAGCATTATCCTTAAGCATGAAAATGGCTAATACCATTAAGTAGAATATTTAACCATGTGTATTATGTGTCTATACTGCATAATTTATTTTGAAGTTTGTCCTCAAATTAATTTTGCAAAACAAAAGAATACTCGACCAGTCAGAATATTGCCAAACCATAGACTTTTCTTCAATGCCTGACAAGTACAGATTTGTTTTGTTTCTTTTTAATTTTAAACAAACCAAAATGCAACACTACAGCTTTTGAAACAAAGACAAATAGTATGAGCCAGTACTCTATTCTGTGACAATATCTCAAAGAAAGCTTGGCTACTTAACAACCCTTCCAATTCAGATTGTCATTTCAGCAAGACATTTATGTTCTCAGCTTATTTTACACCTAATCCTTTCAAAGTGTGCTCCATTAAAGTAGCTGGTAATTTTATACCAACATGTTTTAAAAAATTATTTTTATCACATACACCCCCAAAAATCAGAAGGCTACATTTTAATGTATTTATATTGCTCAAAACCGAAAATATTTTGAACTAAACATAACTATCTTGTCTTTTTAGCTACTTGAAGACCACATATAAAGACACAAAATTGTGATGTGACTGTGTTTAAAACATAACTTACCAAGTTGACTTATTTTTGCTTTTTCTGTTAAACTGCTTATATTCTCTCTCTCAGCCAGCTTCATTATGAATTTGCAGTGTGTACTATAATGAGAAGAAAAAAAGCTTAAGACTCAAGAAACAGAACTGCCCCATCTTTATAACACATGGAACTAACATCAAATGCTAAATGAAAGCACATGAGCACTAATGCTAAGGGTGAAAGCACATTTTTCCTAGTCTCTGTCAGATTTGGGCATATTTTTAATGCATGTAAACCACTATTGCCAGGCTGATTAGAAGTATAATACATCAGCTTGTGGCATTATTAAATGGGGTCCTCCCTGATCAATGCTGGTCATTAAAGAGTTGATAATTTTGTAAGGATACTCATGTAATCTCCACAGTGTAAATATGCCAGTGTTTATGAAACCTCCATCATCTGAGTAAGACACCATTCTCTCATGACTTTAGAGAGAATTTCAGTGACCCATTCAAGCATGTAACTCTATGACTACAGTTCGAGGACTTGAAGCCCTGCCTAAACTAGGGAATCTCTAGTAAAAAAATTTCATATTCAGCAAACGCAAACATAGAGATGAATGAAAAAGTTTCTTTCCAGCTTATAAGAATGAAAAGATTATCCTAGCAACTGCCAGTATATGACATGAAGGTGAGATCTGACTACTTTCTGTCTATTTTATTTGAGTGTTTTGGACTTTTCTTTCATCCTAAACCAGGAAGATAAAGTCCAGATTCAAGTATTTGGGGAAATTAAGTTTCACATTTTGTTTTAGAATACAATGTTTCTAAGCAGGTCATTTTAAAGGACAATTTAATGGTGAGTAGCAATTGAGACTGAGAGACATAAGCTATGTTTCAGGGTTTCCTGGATCACCTCTTTGGAGCAGTTTTGCCCTTCTGATAATCCATGGTTTCCAGACTCTGAACTGGCTACTTCCTCAGGCTCCCCCTACCCCAAAGAAGGTTGGTTTCCCAAGCTGAAGAACTTGGGATGTCTCAAGAAAATCTCTCGAAGACTGCATTGCATTTACAAATTCTGGAATTCTGGTGCTCCCAGTTATGTGTCTCAGGTAATACCAAGACACAGAAGAAATATGGCAGAGAAGCCTGGGCTTCAGCAGAAGACTAATGAGAAGCAATACATTTCGGTTAAACAAAACCAACAAACTCTAAAAGGTTGTTCCAAAATCACTAATGCCAGGACAATAATGACATCAGAATTTCTTTGTTAACCTATATATATTTCTCCAGCCTGTTTCTTGAACTTCTGAACTTCCTAGAGAGTTTGTCTTTTTCTTCTGGATCAGATCCATGCGTACTTCACATAACACAAGACAATATGTGAGCTTTGAAATATTTTGCCTTTAAAAATTTAAGAACAAACCTCTGGTTTTCTGCACTGCATTCCATAACAGAGGACTGTAATGACAAATGAAAACAGAAAAAAAATTGGTTTATAAGGAGAAATCAGGAGTGATGCCTTATCAGAAGTTGGAAAAAAGTTTTCCAAACAGTAACAAAAATCAGTAATCTTACCTCACTTACTGCTCGCAAGGTTTTGTTGAACTCTGAAATACTTTAAAATAAAATATTACTGTTATGGAGGATTTTTATTTATGTTTCTAAAAACAACTACAACAATTTAATTAAAAAAACCCAAAAAATAAAAAAGAGAAAAAAAAATTTCCTATTAATCAATGTTTTTTTAACATCACACCAGTTCTAATGCTGCAAAACCACATTTCAGAGCATTAAACATTTGAAGAGCTGACTTTTATTAGTCACAACACAAACTAAACTTAAACTTCTGTCATCACATTTGACCATTAACCCACTGTAAATGTTATTTAACAGAGGAAAAGATAAATTTTAATGTTGCCTTTTGCCAAGACTCAAAGCCACAGAAATAGAACGAGTAAGAAATATGGATTTCTTCTACAAACAAGATTTGTTGGCCAAACACATCTTTTTGATTTGCAGGGCAAGTCTGGGAAATATATACTCATTCAAACCTCTCCTTTATAAAGACTGGCAAATAAAAAACTACACCAAAATAAAACCATAGATATGACTTCAAGAATATTTATTGAAGAACATGCAGCTAGGAAAGTTCTCTTCATAATTTCCTGCCATATAGACTGAATCCTTAAATTGTAACAAACATTTGGTGTACCATTTTTTAAAAGAAATTCCAGTGATACATAAACTAGGAGTATTTTAACAAGTATGAACTTTATGTTAAAGAGCAAGAACTTAAAAATTGTGAAATTTTTAATGTGCAGGAATAACCCAATGTTTGCTCAACACATGGAAGGTCTCACTTTATCTTTTTCAAATATAAAAAAGATTTCAATCCTTATTCAGAATTACTTACCTCAGTTCTTGTGGGGCATATGCTGGAATTTCAGTTAATTTTTTGACTCGACTGTGGGTAGTTATGTTATTAATCTGTTATGAAAAAAGATCCCACAGTTAAGTACAACCAGTAATTTTTAGCCTTATAAGAAAATTGTTAATTTCACACATTTTAATAGGCTTAAATTACAAAGATAAGAAGCATGTTTTCTCATGAATACACTGCAACAAGTATTTACCATGACAGTGTTGTCACCATTTATGGAAGGAAGTGTTGATCTAGTATAGACCAAACCCCAAAATCTTTGGAAAAGACAGGGGAAAAAGGACAGTGAACTCACCATGTGTTATGCTGGAAAAAGAGGAATTTGGCATAGTTTGCAACAAAGACAGCTTAGGCCAGACACTGAATTAATTTTTTAATTCTAAGTGCAACAATGGGACAAGCTCCATAAATGACATAAATAACAGATGACAGAATACTGGTAGTGAGAATTCAAGAACTGTAGTGAAAGACATGATAGACCTGAGCTAAGTATGATCTTCCATTAGGGTCTGGGGATACACTGAGGTTTATTTAAGAACCCTTTCTATATATGCATCCTCATGCTCTTTTGGTTACCAGCATTACTGGTTATTTTTACATTTCATGGAAGCAGCAAGGGCCATGAGGAAAAACGTGATCTAATATACGTGGTATTGACTTCCCCTAAAATATATTCTTCAAAAAACCAAGAGTTTCAAGAGATGGAAACCAGTTTTTCCAGAAGCTATAGGTGTAATGTTACCACGCTAGGACAGTTTCAGTCGGCATTATCACCACTGAAACACAGCAGGATGCAGAGGTGGCTTTCTCCAGGGCCATATCCCTGCCCAAACGTGATGCTCCATGTGCAGCTATGCAATAGCTCTTCTCTGTGGTTACATTGCTGACTACTCTCATGCTTTCAGGGACTGGCATGTGAAATTTCAGGCTGAGGGCTGACAGGGATGTGTAGGATAAAGATACATGGTCCTTCTTTTTCCCTCCCCTCAGTTTCCATCAGTAACAACAAGTAGTATTAATATTATCTTAGAATTATCTTGGTACTGGGTCATCTATATGGTCGTTGTCATGCATGACACAGTCCTCTTAAACCCCTCTTGTGTTGTATAAATGGACACATTCATGTCACATAAGCCTATTGCAAAATTAGTAACTCAGTAACCACAAGCCAAAAAAACCAGAGAATGATCATGCAAAAGCATAATCAAAAACCACACAAAACACCATAGAACTATTTATAAGAATCTCAGCATGAATTATTTCAGGATATAATCCAACTTTAATTACGCTTAAACAGTTGCCATTTAATGATGCTGATCTTCCAAAAGCAAGTGCCTAAATTAATCTCCAAAGGAAGATCCTGTGTGCCTAAATGTAAATTCTTGAGATTTTCCAGGGCTTCCCCCTCCTTTCAGAGGCTATGAAGAGAATACAGGTCCTTACTGTAGAAAGTTTACTTAGCTGGAATTTTAAAATTTAGCTATAAAGCAGCCGTTTAAAACAGAGCTGTTCTATCCACTGCAAACAGTATCTTGTACTGCAAACACAGTAAGAATCATGTTACTTATTTTAAGTGTAGACAAAGAAACTTACTTCAACCTTCCTTAGAATAAAGTTTTAAAAGGAAGAATACTTACTATTTCTACATTTAGTGATGCATTACTTTCTTCACTTGCCCGAAGTTTTACCTTGCCCACATAAAACACTAAAACCAAAAGTATAAAAAGTTAGGAAAATCAATGCACTAACATAGAATGCAAATTTTTTTTGAGAACTGAAAAATTTACTGTCTTTGTGTTTTGATACAAGGGAAATAAGAACACTTGCTCTAGCTTATCTATTTTTGCAATTTTTCTTCCATCTTTTTATCTATTTCAAAAAATGAGCTAGTGCAATAGCTTCATTATTTTTTATATATTTAACTTTGACGGCTGTCCCTAAATTCCTTCTATTTAATCTTTTTCCAAAACAGAAAAACTGCACTTCACATTATTATAAATAGAACTCCTAACTTACTTGTTTCTTGGGGGCTTTTTGCAATTCTTATCTGCAACTGTGTGCCTTTGATGAGAAATGGAAGATCAAAAGTACAAGAGTCTAAATACTTCTTAAGCTCCCCGCCTTTAATATTTTTTTAATCCGTATTAAATCTCTCTATATTACAGACCAAGCTTTCACATGGCAACTAAACATTGCTTCATTACTCTGTTTATAGAACATTTGGACAAGATTTTTATTTTAAAAAAGAGAAAAGAAAATCACTAACCTGAATAATTACAGACACGTGTTACGTTGCATACAATGGTTTCTCCTGCTATAGATTTTTTTGGGAAAAAAATCAAACAACTACTGAGTAAAAAAGTTAAACTTAAATCCAATATTATCACACATATTTACAATCATTCCAGTGTTTGAAATGTAAATGACTTTATCTTCTGGAAGTATATGACATACTGTCTAGGCTCCACCTCTCTACAGCACTTAGATGACATTTTCTAAGACTTAGTATTCAGAAATATGCTGCCTTTGTTTAATTTATTTTGAATACTTTTCTGCAACAGTTTTGACAGAAGACTTACATGCAAGTGGTCTCAATTTTTTTCTTTTTTTTATTTTTTAATTTAAATAGAAACAGAAATCAACATATAATTGATAAGCTCTTTAATTATCACAGAATTCAATCACTAGCATATGATCTGCTTCTGAGGATCCTACTATGAGTCCATATGATAGCATGAAGCTAAAACTGTTCTACCTGATGGAATTCAAGCTATGATGACAGCAACCATGTGCACTCTTATCTAGTAGAACATGCCTTCATTTAGTTACAGCAAGTTTTTGGCTGCTTTATATTTTCCATATTTTTAATACAACCTACACTGCTGAGAAATAACACTGATCCTAAACTAGGGTACTGTAAACAGATGGCTCTGTTGTATAATTGCAAAATAAAGCACTAGAAAGATATTTGCATCCAAGACAAAACTCCTACACTTGTTCATTAAAACAACTTTCCTTATTTAAGCAGATGGACTGGCCTCCATTAACAGAAAAGAAACTATTTCTATTTTTTCTGCTGGTAATAGTACCAAATGAGAAGTTTTTTTCACTTTCTCTGTGGTGTAAACATTTTACTGTAAAAGATTGCTGCTTTATTAATTTTATCACTGTCAATAAATAAGTGACCAGAGGTTACAGACTGTAAGTTTGTGGCAATATTAAAATTATTAGAAAAAAAAAATTCAGACAGTAGTTTAGAATCAAATAAATGTGATGGTTGGACTTGATTATCTTAGAGGTCTTTTCAACCTTAATATTTCCATGACTCTAAATTTGCCTTCCCTTTTGATAGCAGTGAAATAGTTACAAACCTTGTATACTGCTTTTTTAAACAATCCTTAAAAAAATAAAATTCTCATAAATAACTGATAAACAATAATCCTACGTGAATATAACAAAAAATTGTCAAAATTATTTACTACAAAGAGAGAAAGTTATAAAAACCCAACACAAAATCTGAAAGTGCCACAAAAGATTAGTATCAACTCCTTTTTCCTTACACATCACCCATGTGTGTGCCTCCTAGTCTTAAGATCTCTGCATGCCACCAAAACGCACAAAACAGATTAGCAGTGTGGAGGATAAAAGATTGATCAAAAATCACCAGGGCTTCCAGTCCCCTGAGAGCATCAGATTACACAGCTGCAATGTTTCTGCAGGTCATGTTCACACAGTCCAATTACCCTTGTCTTTAAGGCTTCAAGCCAGTTCTTCCACTTGCACTAACTCAGAGCAAATCCATTGTAATTGGGCTACGGATCTTCTACATGGGTAATTAAAAAATAAAATTCAGTCTATTCCTGGTCCTACTGGGCCTGCCCTGAGGTTAAATACAACTGTTTTCAGTTTGCTTCATCTACTAAAGAGCATGAAGATTTCTTTTTAAACAAACATGGTCCCTGAGATTGTGTTTCTTACATTACAGTAACCTACAGTACCTACAGTAACTGCTCAGACTTACAAAATAACCAAACTCTTCTAGATGCAGCCATCTAGACAAGCATTGCAAAATTAGTTATTCTACCAGACTGGACATTAATGTGAGGTAAGGCAGACTGTTAATATGACATACCACAATACCAAGTAAAAAGTATATTAAAAACCAGACTTCTTGAACTCACACGCAAAAAATTTGAGATGCACAAAAATGTTAACAGTGGTGACAGATGAACCCTACCTGGTGTTGTGGTGGAGTAATAATCAGTTGTTGTGAGGGCTTCTGTAAAAAAAAAAAAAAAAAGTTTTCACATTTTAACTTAAAAAACCCCCATGAAATACATGTCACAAAAATAAACTCTTATTTCTATTTCAGACTATCTTTACAGGAAAAGTGTAAACACGAGACAATTTATAAGAAAATGAAGTTACTTTCAGCGTGGGAAATGCAAAAGCAGCAAGTGGAGAAATATCCATCCAGTTATATGTTTGTACCCCCATCTGAGCCAGTGACTCCTGGCTCTCTATTGCTTAGAGGAGAAAGTGGTGCTTTTAAGATGATTCCTATTTATCCTATTCCACATGGGTACTTCAACATAAGAGGAATTCCTATTCTAAATATGTGTTTTTCAATAAACAATGAAGAACAGCAGGATGTCCAGCTCGTATACAGGCATGGAGGAATCCATACTGATATGGAATTAACCTACTCCTCGTTTCAAATGGGAAAATCAGGAAAGGAAGGGGTAACAAGCTCTTCTGATTGAGTCTTTTCTGATCCTATTTGACAACTCCTTTTAAGAACATATGTAAGTGTCTTCAAGGAATGGGGTACACATTTTAGTTCTGTAAAATAACTTAAATAGTATCAGAAAGCATAGAAAACATTTTACCCTATATACTTGCTAAAAGAAGTATTTGCCCTGTTTGGGTTTTGGTAAGCAATACAATATTTTGAATGAAAAATAAAGGTTTACAGCTCAGTTAAGTGCACTTCAGAGCCCTAATCATGCAGACTAAAAATACAAATTGCAGATAAATACAAATTTTAAAAACATGTAAGAAAATAATTTTGAATAAACAAATCCCAGTTACTAAAAAAAAAAACAACAAAAAAGCAACTAGAAACATGAATACAATTAACATCTCCCTTGAAACCTTACTCCCTCCATGCAAATTCTCACCTGTACTTTGTGTAGTCTCCTCTGAAGACATATCTGAAATAGAAAAATTCGTAACAGTAAGATCTATAAAAATAAAATAAAACAATAAAAACCCAAAAGTCTAAATACAGCAAAATCTAAATAAGAGAAACATTAATAACATCTTGCCTGAAGAATTAATAGGATAGGTGATAAAAATAACAATAGAGAATTCTACGGAAGAAAAGATTAAAAAAGTAAAAATTGTATTAATAAAGTATTTTACTTCTATGAATTTTTGAGAAAAAAATCAAGATTTTGAACAGAAACTGAATATTATTTATCTAAATTTCATTTCAGAACAACTGCAAAGCTTGTTAAGAGTGTTCAGATTATCTCAATACTAATTGGATTAAAATTCACGTTGTTTCAAAAATCTGAGTATCTGAATACAACCAGCTGGGAATCAAATTTTCCTCAGATAAGTTCCTTTTACTGGTTTCATTCTTTCAGAAGGTGTAGACGAATTTTTGCATATCCAACTGCAGTAACTGCTTAACCCCAAGGACCTTTTCCTGCATGAACTCACAACATTTATAAGCAGAGATGACACTGGGTTTGGCCAACTGTCTGTCCAAAAAAGCTGTTTTTGTCAATAACCATCTATAAATAAAATAGAGTAATAATGTAAAGTTTTTTCAGCTACATCAAAAAGGGAAAAAATAAAATTAAATTAAGACAATAGATGAAAATTTAAAGGGCTGTGCTTAGTGAGAATATTTTAGGTGTCTGCACAGGAATACAAAGTGGTCAGAAGACCACTTTATTCCACTTCAATATGACAACTTAGTGACTTTTTTTAAGTGGATCAGATCAGATTCACAACAGAAGAAGAAATTTTCTAAGGCAACTAACAAGTAGTCAAAATATGAACAGTGTGAAAACTAAGTGCTGCTTTCATCTGTATTAGTTGGTCTAGTATACACCATACATTCAATATACAAATACTGAATGTGATGCAGCTGTTAAAGATGAACCATTCCCAAAGAGAGACTGTATCTATAAAATAACAAGATCATGTGTGTTTGCATCTGTATAATTTCTTTTATCCAGAGCACTAACTCTATGTCAGCATACATTAAGCAAGAAAGCAGCTGGCTTTCACACAGGTTATTTCCATGTGTCTCATTCTTAGTTTTTTTTAAATGCCTTCATAGATGATGCTTATCACCCCTGGTTCCAGGACTTATTAGAGCCTTGTGTGTGTGCACTCTAATACACGGCATGAAATGCCATCTGCTAGGGTGGGAGGAGATGTAAAGGAGCTCTCATTACAATTTTCCTCCTCTACCATCTCTCCAAACTCTTCAGTACTCAGATAACTGAACAAAAGGCTCCTGATCAAGCAACTTGCACCTACTTCACCCCAAGCACCACTGCCACAAGCGATGAGTGATCCTATAAGGTAAGCTATTTACAATGTATGAATGAAACAAGTAATTTGAAATGAAAATATTTTAATTTTGGAACTCTATTACACACTCTATTACTCTATTACACTATTACTCTATTCTGCACTACCGCAGATAAAATCAGATCTAACTAAGAGGAAATACCAAAAATTGGAAAAATCAGTAAAGTCCTGATTTTCTTACCAAAAGTTGTTGTTGCAGCTGATTCTTCTGAATCTGTGAATTTTGTTTTAGATTAAAAAAAAAAAAAGGAAAGACCATTATGAAGTTTCAGACACATACATTATCATCCTCAGCAGGCTTTTCTTATATCATCAAAAGTTTACTGCATTGACCAGAAGAGGGCAACACCTGCTCTTTCAGAACAACACCTCCAAGTTGTCAAAAAAGGCAGCTGTAGCAATCTCTGGTTAAAAACAAACAAAAAAGCCCCACAATTTTTATGCACTCAAATAGAATTCGATGCGAGACAATTTTTTTCAAGTAATACTGGACAGTTTAATTGTATAATGTTACAAAGCCACAATTATGTAATGTTAAAAACCCAAGATACGTGCCACACTAGCCTGAAAGCTACATGCTTATCCTGAGTGCTAATTCTGGGAATGGGAATCAAGCATGCACAGCAAGATGGCTCTAGCTGGGTACGAAAAACTCTTCTCAGACTTTTTATAATAACAGTGAGACTCGCCACTTAAAATTTATCCCATTCATATGCATTCTCTTTTCTCTTCTGCAAAAAGCAACGAGGGGGAAAAAAAACAAACTCATTAATTTCAAGTTTGAACGTCTGATCTTAACAGGAACCAGCCAACTATTTATACAGCAAACTCTAGCTATTAGATTTTTATATTGTTACAGTTAGGATTTTGATCAAAAAGAAATTCAGAAATTTGGTATCTTGTTCACATAGCAACTTTAAAGTTGGCCCTTTCAGTCACTGGGAGGTTTGATACTGCCAGAGACAAGTCAAGTTAGAGGTCACAGTTACCACAAAAATATAATCTAAAGAGCAGCTGGATGCAAACATGAAGCACTATTCAAAAAATATACTTAAGGTATTTCAACATCTTTCAAAGGTCAAAAGTCATCCTATAATGTTACTTACAATACACTAATTTTAGTGTAAAGCCTTTCCTACTGCTGCAGAAGATTTAAATCAGAGATACCATAAGTCCCTGAAGAAAAACAGATTTAATTAAAAATAGTAAAACAGGAATTTTCTGAAATGCTAAACATTTGTGAATTCCTTGCTCCAGTGAGACTATTTTACATGCCTTACTGAAAACTAGCAATAGCTTCTTTCCAAAGGATAAATTATTTCTGTAATGAAGGGAGAATCAGAATCATCTCGGTGACTTTACTTTCATTTCGTCTGGAAAATTACTGATGCTATTTGCACCACAAAATTAGCTAATAAGCCAGAATGATGATATGGAAAATCAACTTGCAAGTGTTTGCATATGCTGAACTAACTATCTCTAAGAATTAAAAAGTAACAGTAGCAGCAATCTTACTACACATTTTCTAAAACAAAAGAACAATGGGGCAAAATCCCCCAGAATCCCAACATACCTGTTATTTTTCTGCTAGGCAGTGTAGCAGTAGTTTCAACTGCAAAATAAGAAGATTTCATATGTATTTATACACACGCATATACATACACACACACTTCTTTAAACACAATCCTTTTAGATGTGGTACTCACATCACTTCAAAATGGCTTGCAAAACTGCTTTGCATCCATTGAGAAATATGTGTCAAGACTTTTTGAAAGCTGGAAGTTAAACTCTTTTGAGTTCAGTTTTGTCCTCAGTTTATCTTTTTATACTTAGGTAAGATACAGATTAGGCCATGAGCTTTGCCACTTCTCTTCCACTGCCAATGTACTCAGAAACCTATTCAGCACATTTACCTGAGTGAAGATGGACTAAAATAGCAGCAACTAAAACTGTAACACGTATTTGAACACCATGATGTGCATGCACATCATATAAATACTCAGGTGTCCAAGAGCTGCACCACCAAAGAACATCTAAACAGTGAAAGATCAGGCTGTCAGAAATGAAGCAGCTCAGGTGGACATGCGCTGGGATGAAAAGGTGAGCTATTTCCAGCTCAATGGGCCCAGGAAACATGTCCCCAGGGACACCCAGGGAGAGATGCAACACACAGATGGGCTCTTGATCTGACAATTGAAGCCATCTCACTCATGATTGTGAAATGAGATGTCATCAATAGAGTAAAGTAACTAAAGCCTCCCTGGAATAAAGATGGTGGTTGGGCTATCAATGAGGAGGCCCAGCAGATGGATTAAATCACACCACTGCAGGGAATCTGCCAGCAAGGCAAGTGCTATGTGCTTCCCGTGGTAGATGAAAAGTAGCAGACAGCTCCAAACGTTCCCTGCAGCTTGTCACCACTCAAAACACCATCCTGGGCCTTGAAAAACAAGTAGCAACACAGCATTACATATACTTAAAGCACTGTCATCTATTTCAGCACCTTTAATAGGCGAGACCCCGTCTGGGCAGGGAGGAAGAAAACCTCAAGTCACTGAACCTGGTGGGGCACTAAGCACAGTCATGATTCAAGCCCAAGGGTATCACAAGAAGAGAGAGATTCTCTCCAAATATCTGGAGTAGATGGGACAGTTTGTCTACAAGTAATGCCTTGATATCTGGCCAGTCCATCACCGCCATGTCACACTGGTGTGTACTAAACTGTGCCACACAGCCCATGTGCAATGGACAGCAATCAGATCCTTGGAGACCTTGCTGCTGTCCAGGTTGCTGTAGATTACCTCCACCACTGCCTATGTCCTTAGATACTGACACCTTCCTTCTTCCAGCAGTGGTGGCCCACTTGCACCTGTAGTCTACATGACCATCCTCAGACTCTGAATCCAGTCATCCATCTGTGGGACCTCCAGTAATCAATCACTTGGAGACGACACACAGGAAAGTGCTCTGAGGGAACAAATTCCTAGGTAGCCTAGAATACCTTCCTAGGTAGCAAGGTGTGCAGGAGAATTTGGGCAGGTGCCTAGAGCAGTATTCACCTCTGATGGCATGGGAGTTTACACTCAAGGCATCCTGGTGAGAAGGCAGATCTCTTGCAGGAAGGATGTATTGCTTACACCAAAGACAGAGACTTTTGGTACTGTGTTAGGTCCTGGCATACACCTACCAGGCCTGTGTCTCACACCCTGAAAGGGGCAATAGGGTCTCTGCATCCAAGGAAAAACAAATGGATGCTGTAGCTGAATCAGAGACACAACCCTAACCATAACATCAAGAGGGAGCTATGGAAGTGGAGGTTGATCCAGTTAGAGAAGGAGGAAGAAGATCCTCTGGAGGTGATGTAGAACAACAACTCAGAAGAGGCAGCCTGTTCTGCAGCAGGACAGCCACAAGAACAGGAGAAGGAAATGACAGAAATCATAAATGAGACAGAAATTAACCTCCCTATTCCTGAGCGAGGTGTGAGATGCACCAAGATGACAGCTGCCAGCCAGGTAAACAGATTGTTGCCTGGCTACTCCAATGCTGGGGTACTGGGACCAGTGATCTGATGTCAGAGACAACATGAGAGCTTGACAAGACGAAAAATGTCAGTTCATTTTTATTGAATGTCTTTCACTGCATGAAGCTAAAAGCAGCAACTCTGAAATATGGCAGGATGAATAAATGGAAATTGGATTAATTGCACTACAATTGTTAAAGATTTTTCCATGAAACTGTTAGTTTTAGTTAATTTACACCCAGGGTAGAAATTTTCTTATGTAGAAGAAGGAGAGAGAGAACCAATATTCTTATTAAAATAATACATATCCATTAAGTTAAAGCACTAGTAAAAATTCACACCTTTATACATATCAGCCTACCGAATTTAAACTCCTTCAGTAAAAATAAAACAAAGTTATATCAAACATCTCTTTTGAGGCAACTTTTGAGATTTTCTTTTGACAACTTTTTTGAGAATTCTGCCAACAGAGAAGTAAAATCGCTCTTTTTGAAAACTAGAACTGTAGTAACTTGATAGATCATGAAAATCTGGATATAACTCTAACTTCTATAGTAATTTTTCAGGAAAATTAAGACTTCTCACTATATGTTAAGTCCAGATAAAATATATACTTACATATTTCTGTAAGAAATATATGTTCTAGAGCTCTTATGTACAAGTGCTGTTACTTTAACATTGTAAAGAGATTAGGTATTACAGATGCCATAAAATTATTTTCTTAGCACCTAGTACAGGCCTGGCAAAAACCTTAATACAACATCAATACCAACTTTAATATGCAGAGGTGAAGCAGTAGTCAGATAAAACTATTCTGTATTGTTTAAAAAGTAATATTTTTTAAGGTAGAATGGGATGAATGAAGATAATTGACGGAACTTCTGGTTAGAGAAGGAAGCATCCTTCCACAGGTGGGCAATCTGGCTTTCCTACTCTAGAAAGTGAATTCTATCTCCAAATGTTTGCCTGTTACTAGTCTTCATCAGTACAAAAGCCCTTATCTCGAAAAAAAAGGTCTGGAGGACATTAAATTCTCAAAAGGAACTCACCTGAATATTCAGCATCTCGGAACAAACACCACCACACTGCTTCTTTTGCCCATTTAAAAAATAAAATCTGTACAGGGAATCTAACATCTTTCTCACTCTAATTCAGTGGAGACAGTCTTGCTGTACACAAGCTGCCTTTTGCATCCTCCATATCCCTTCAACATCGTGAAATTTTGAGAATACAAATAGTACCCTGAGGTAGGTACAAAAATTGTTCATTAACATATTTAGTTTTGTAGCTTAGTAAGTAGACAGTGAACTGTAAAAATGCCAAATGCTTTTAATAGCACATCTAGTAGTACAGGGAGTAAAACAAACTAAACACGAGTCATTAATATGGAGCTGGCAAATGCAGCAACTGATGATGGCATGCATAATCTGAGAGGCACTTTATTTATGAACACCAGTCTAACCATGACTCCTCTTACTCCACAACAGTCATATGCCTACAGCTGCTAGAAATCATCCATGAGTATGAGACTTATCATTTTCAAGGTCCAGCTTTAAGTTCGTTAACCAAGTCTTTAATCAGAATCACCTTTGCATACAGAAAGGAGGAAGGAGAGACTCGTATATAATTTATTTGATAACCCTCCTCCTTTGTTGTGTTTAAGAACAAGAAAATAAAGTGAATAGATTTATTTGGAGACGGATTGGAGTTCACTCTAAAATATCCCTAAAGTTGGCATGTAAAAAGGAAAGTAACTCGAGATGTGTTAGTTACAAGCTAACAGAAAATTTATTGCCCTTAGGTTGTTTACTATTGATAAGAGCATGAAAATCCTTACATATATGAAACCTCCATTTATTTGCTCTATGGATTTTCATTTGCAACACTGTTAGTTTAGGATCACCAAATCAATACACCTAACATATCCTATTCCAAAACAAAGGATTACACATTGTAATAATACTTTGCTACATTTTCTCTAATAGAAAACGCTCTTGAAGATTCAAATAGTAATTAAATAGGCAGTATTATTCATTGTTTTTGTTGCAAGGGAGATAGAATGGGCCCCCACAAGAACTGTTTGGTTTCTTTTCTGAAGGAAAAGGCAACTTGATTAAATGAGGCAAGCACTGGTTTCTGTTACTAACATGCATCATTAGAAACAAAAGCAGCAAGTCCCTTACTGTCTCCATATCACTTTATACTGTTCTGGCACAAATAGCTAGCTAAGCCACGACCTGGGAATCCCATCTGTGTTCCACAGGAATGAAACCTGTTTAGCAGCTCTCACCACAGCCCCACACTACAACTGCAAAAATGGTGACAACCTTCATTTCCCAATGACTTCATCTAACAATGGAAACCAGTGTAACTTCAGCAGCTCCAGACTGGCAGGAGACTAAACCTATTAACAGTACTTAAGGATAGGTGCACAAGCTGATGTAGCTCTGAGAGAGACCAGTAACTGGCCCTGTCTGAAAATATAGCCTTGTGCTTACAGTACTCCTTAGCATGACAGCTTTTAATTCTCAAGCTACTGGATCTTTTAGATGGGATGGTCTCCACATGTCCTGCTGAAACTGTTCCACCAAGCAACGCAGCATTGAAAAATTAATTCAGTGAAAGGCACAAGGTAAAGAAAGGCACAAAGAGGCTTTGGAACACAATGGTCAAGATGGGGCAAATGGTTCTAGTGCCTGCAGCAAAAGCACTGTCACTCAAAGTATATCATTTGTTCAGTAGCTCAGGCACAAGATAGAGAAAAGGCCCTTAAAGCATGAAAGGTGTACAATGTTCTATCTCCAAGTGTGATAACGAAAAAAATCCTTTTTTTCTCCCTACCTTCAATCTCACTTATGAGCAGTACACTGTTTCTCAAATTTTTTGGAAAAGCAACACCCTTTCTGATTCACCTGTCTTCAGGCAACCCGGTCTGTGAGAAGCAGTTCAGTTTTTCCAGGGTGGAGAAGGGAGAAGCAGCTGGAACCTGGCTTCTGATAACAATATGGTGCAAGAACGACATTACTGGCAGCAGTTCCTTGCCCCCCTGTCTCAGGAGAACAGTGCTGCTCCTGACTAAAGCTGTTCTA